ACAATGCACATGCACATGCACAGCCTTTGCCCAGAGGCGGCACCGACACCATCATCTGATGGCCAGTGGCTAGGCCATGCCACTTCCCCACTTCCTCCCACTCTCACTCCCATACCCATCGTCATGGTCATCATCCGTACCGTTTTAATCAATTATAATTGCTAGCATTTTTGATTAGTTGGCACCTGCCTCAATCATCTGCAACGTCCGAATGGTCGGAATCGTTTTGGTCAACCGTACAAAGCAACGGATGTTGGCTGCTGGATACTGGATGTTGGATGTTGGATGTTGCATGTCGGGCCCGGGACTGGTCCTCATCAGGGAAGGGGGAGGGGGAGAGGGGAGAGGGGAGAGGGAATGCGGTTGGTTGGGTGTGGCCATGCCGGATATTCCGGCACAGATAGAGGGACGATGACGCAGGCTGGCAAACATTTTACGTAATTGCGCACATATTTAAATTGCGTTCCATATTGCACAATACATCAAATTATGGCCCAAAAGTAAAGTAAATCTGACAGACACGGGCAAAGCGGCGGGATGGAGACGGAGGATACCTAAGGCCAGTTAATAAGTAAGCCGTAGTAGCCATCATCATCCTGTCCGCCCGGCTGTCCAGTGATGTCCGGTGTACGGCCTTTGTCTCTCTCCGTCTGGGCATGCATTTTGCATGAGATTTTTCAGACGAATGACTCCGGACTTGGCCAGGGACCCACTGTCCCATACTGCACTGTAATTTATTTAGATTGTCTCGGCAAATATTTATGCACATCTTTTCATTGATTTATAAATCAATTGCCGCCCCAGAGAGGCGGTGGAGTCCCCGTCGCCCAAAAGCCGTAATTAACAGACAGGCCATCAAGACAAATTACCTGAAAGCACTTTCCCATTCGAAAACTTTGTGGCCTGAATATCCGCATCGGGGCATCGGGGATCACAATCTCTCCCGGCGCCAGGACCCTTTCGGCGAGCAGTGTCCGGAGTTCAAAGCTAATCCTTTGCCTTGGCTGTCGTCGGAGCTGGATTAGTTTTGAATTGCTCCTGAACCGTTCCTCGCATTACGGCCAATTGTCCGTGGTCTTGGGGTCTCGTTGGGCTCCTTTTTCGCTCCTTGCGGCTCATATCCTTGGCCATGGCTGGTTAAGTTTGCAACTGATTTGATTTCATCCCGGCCAATTGTCCTTGCCAGGCTGCTCGGGGGGCGGGCGTGCTGCCACGCCTACAGCTAAGAGCTCGATAACAAAGAAACTGGCTGGAACGTCCGTCACTTTTCGTTCCTAAGCGGCACAGTCGCGGTCATGAGAATAGAACTGAAAACGGGCAGAATATTTTTCTATCTCGTTATGCAACTTTATCTTTATATTGTTTTTAATTAATAAGCTAAAAAATCGAATTGACTTAATATAAATATATAAATCTAAGCTATAATTTCAAATAAATTTCAATTATATACTAAATGTAAGCTCAGAGTATAGTTACCAAAGGATCATTTTCCAAAGCTAGGAGAAGGAAAAGGATGTACAACTTTATTTTATATGCGTTATGCATCTTATACTTTAGCTTTTCTTGTAAATAAAAATCTGAAAGACATAAATTAAAGGATATAAATATATATAACTAAAAACTAATATAAATAGTAAGCCAACATAAAATAGTTAAACTTAGTTTTAAAGTTACCTAAAGGGAGCTTTATAAAGGATAAAGGTTCTATCTTTCAATTGAAATATCACTTAAGAAATTCATATCATTTATGCTATTCCATTGACCACTGCCGTGCATATCCTTATCGTCCTGCTGTGTGTGTATAGAGAAAATATTTCACAGGCAATTTCGCAGCCCGCCGAGAACGTTTGCGTCTTGGCATCGCTCCGGTCCGGTCCTGTCCCGAAGTCCTGGAGTCCTGGAGTCCATGGCGACATTCACTATTGTGCATACACAAACTCTAATAAAAAATTCAGTTCACGTCCCGAGCACTTATTGATACGTGAGCATAGATGCCACACACTCGCACAGGCCGTGACATAAGTAGCGCATATATATGCATAGGGTCCTTCGCGTTCAAGGGGGATAAGGAGGACATCGAGGACATCGAGGACATCGGCCTCAATCGGGAACGGTGCACGGCCCCGGGGACAATTACTGACCATGAAAAATGGCCAGGAGTCGACGAGACATAAGGACTCGATCAATGCCAATGAGATGAATCAATTTTCGGGGCGCCGGAATCACTGGGAATATATCCAATTAAGGTCAGGTTATATGTTAGGCCGAGAGCAACAGGACAAGGTCAAAGGGCAGAGGGCCAAGTCCTTATTTAAAATGAAAACATTTACTGGCAACTAAATTAAGAATTCATAAACATACGAGCATGTGAGCCAGATACCCATATCCAAACTAGGACAGAATCCATATTCTCGCGTTTCCCCATGAAATACGTGCCATATTGCGGAATTATTCCAAAATGCAATAAACAAAACAGAAAAATAAAACAGTGATGCATTTATCCGGCATTCGTGGATAATAAAACCTGTGGAGGCAAATATCTATGGAATAATTGCAAACACATGTGTATATTTTTATTCAACCCAAATTCAAGCAATTAAGGCATTCATTAAAAGGATGGCATTACGTTATCCTTAGATCAAAAATAGAACCTCAAACGGGCATACATATTTCATCATTATTGTTGCGGAAATTATTATTATATTTGCAATGAGTTCTGTGCTCTAATTAATTAGTGAATTGAAGCGAGTACATGCCAAGGAGTATTGATTACTTTATTATCTATATTATATGCTCGTGGTATATATATATATATATACATATATATATATATATGTAAATGCATTCGAGCAGGAACAGAATCAAATCAATTAACATTATTCATTCAAAAACATTTAATTGCCATAATTAAGCCTGACTGCTGGTCGCTCTTTAATTAAGATAAAAGACTTCCCAAATCTGTGGGATCCAAGCCTAAAGATGTTGATTTCTTAATCACTAAATTAATGTATACATACACTGATAGAAAAATTCGTTTGAATTTAAAAGCATAAATTCTAGAAATAATCAAAATTACTTAAGCTCAGAGAAGATAAAGAAACACTTAAAAAAAATAATACATTTTTTATATTTATTAAATAATTAAATATTTTCATTTCGTTTATTTTTCTTACGTATTCCTATAGCTGTTATATAGTCAACTAAAAAGATGACTTTATCATGACTTATATGTTGTTATATTATATTACTATATCTTAAAACTGTGCAAAATTTCTTGTAATAATAATTTTTCAACTATTCCTATGACAGCTATATACATACTTATATACAAAAAAAAAAAAATTTAAAACTTTATAGGAAATTCTTGAATCAATAAGTAAAAAAAAGAAACACGGCAAAGTTATAATTCTTTTATCAATATCCCGATCGTTCCTATACAAAATATATAATGAAATCAACGGACAGAGAGACGGACAAACGGACACACAGACATGGCTATCTAAAAATTAAACTACATTCTTTTTGATATTATGCCAAAAAATAAAATAATGGGCACTCCCGGCTGAGCCCATTGCCCAGGTGATAATCCAGATGAGCTCGATGATAATGACAAATCGCTACTTTCATTCACTGCACTCTGCTGTGCCTTTGCCTGGGCCTCTGCCCGTGGTGTCCTGTGCCATTTAATGTGCATGTCACAAAGGAGCGAGGCAATCTCGGCATAAACAGGTAACACCAGGAGAGACAATAAGCTGCAATGGCATCGCATGCACGGGGCATGGGGAACGGGTAACGGCAAACGGGAAGTGGGGGACACTAGATGGGACACTGGTGGCATGGCACACAAAGAGTGGAACATTTTGTTAAGGCCACTTTGCGACATTTTAATTTAAATGCTAATCAGTTGCCAATAGACTAAAAAGAACGAACCTAACCCACCTCGAGTGCAGTTCCAGCTCCGTGTGGTTGCTCTCTGCTGCTGTGTGTGTGTGTGTGTGTGTGTGTGTGTGGCGAGTGTGTTGGCACGGGTGTGTGCAAAAATTGCAAGTCATTTGGACGGGGCGAGAGGTGCAGCAGCAGCAGCAGCAGCAGCAACAGCAACACCGCTGCAATTTGTATTTAAAATGTCGGCCATTGTGGATTAGCTGGGGAGCAGAGGAGCAGGCCTACGGCTAAAGCACGACAGGGACAGGATCAGGAGCAGGACACTCGAAAAAAATCTCACCGCTCGCTGTTATCTATAAAACGTATCTTAATGCTCATGTATCTCTGATAATTCATCATCGCATCATATTTGTATATCTATTTTTAAAGGAAAAAACCTTTTCGTCTTCATCAGCATCACCAGGCGAGTCAAATTAGTCATGCCCGTTTGTCCGTAAAAAAAATTTAAAATATACATATTATAAATTTAAAAAAGAAAACAAAAAAAATCTAAATAATGAATACATTTTCTATAAAATGAATTTTATAAATTAAAGATCTTGCTTCTGTACAATGAACACATTTTTCTCCGACTGTAAAGAGTCACCTGGAGCTGATTGTAGCTGTTGTTTGGGTGCCGTGCCCGTCATTATCATTTGCATTTGCATTTTCGGCCGGCTCTCCGTCGGCTTGTTGGGTAAATATGGCCATTTTATGCAGCGTCCGTCCACGAGATGCCATTCAAGGAGGCGACACGAGACGCGGCCTTCCTCCCCAAAGCACACTTGAACCATAAAGGACCCCGCGGGAAATCGAGTTAATAATAAAGGATTTCAGGTTATTAAAAATTAGAATTTAAATTTGAATTATCCAAGCCGCTCGATATCGATAGACTGTAATCGAATACAGGCGCTAACAAGCAGCCTGCTCTGCCACTTAATCCCAAAAATCGTTATTTAGGAATAAATTCGCACTCTTTAATGCAGCAAGAAATAAATAAATACACTATACTGTTTTTAAAATGGTAAAATGAAGCTTCAGATACCGGAGTATATAGGGATATATGATTTTTACAGAGGACCACCTTTCATTTTTGCGCTTTGCAACACTGCCAGCTGATTGCACTTTGGGTTCGTTTTTTTTTTTTCTTGTTCGTTTCGTTTACAATTGTTGTTTATTTTCGAGACAGCGCTCGCCCAGAGCGTACATCCCACCGAATGGCCAACCGGAGGATGTGCATTGGTGAGGACGAGCCCAAGGAGTGCCATCGCCTGCTGCAATTGACCAACTGCCGCCTGGTGCGCGGCCACCGGCTCATCCGCGACGATCTGTGGGTGCGCGATGGGCGGATCGTGAATCCGGAGCCCATATTCTTTGATGAACAGGCCACGGCCCATCGCCGCGTGGACTGCGGAGGCGCCATCATCGCCCCCGGCTACATAGACCTTCAAATCAACGGTGAGTGCGATCAATTCCACTTCCCAATCCCAATCCCGATTCCGACCCACATCAGGTTCTCCATTAAATACTACTTTCGCCTCGCTGCGTTCAATCAGTCGCCAAGGTCGTTGCCGCTGCTGACTCGGTTTCGGTTCATGTTTACCCCTTGGCATATGGAGCACTCGTAATCGCGGCGAGGGTTAATCTTATCGCGGCTTTAACTGCCCAAGCGGCAGCTCAACCAGAATAGGAGTAGTAGGGCACAGTGGGACCTAGCCACGGGTGACCGCCGCTGGTCAGATAAGCGAACAAAGGGGGCCATTACCGCGATGAAGATTCTACGGGAAACAAATTCCCATAGCTGATTAGCTTAGAAGCTTTGAAAGAGATTCAAAATATACCTCACTCCAGTCTATATTTAGTTTAAACTTTTAAAATGCTTAAGTTTTGACTTTTATATATGTTATAAGCTATCAGTTTCCTTTAGAAATTTGTCTATTTTTGTTTTACATTTCTAGTTCAGTTTTTGAACTCTGAAAATCGCCGTATGTGAATATCTTTTATGATTTGTCTATTTATTTGTTGTTTTTCTGTTCAGTTATCAAATTCCACACTAAATAAACTACTACTAGCCACTTTATTTTGTTTATTAACCACTCACAATTTGAGGCCATTGATGCTTAAAAATAGAAAAAACTTAATTAAACCAATTACCTTAAGGTCAACGGGTAAAATAGAGCATTTAAAAGATGATAAATAAATAGAAATCGAAAAAATATTAGAGGAATTTCCAGAAAAGGGGATATTCAATGACCATCCACACCATAAATCCTTACCTTTCAATCCCCCTTTGCAGGTGGCTATGGCGTGGACTTCTCCTACGACACAGAGACCATCGAGGAGGGCGTGGAGAAAGTGGCCTGCGGTCTAGTCAAGAGCGGCGTCACCTCCTTTTGCCCCACCCTGGTGACCTCGCCCAGCCAGAGCTATCACACCATATTGCCTCGCATACCGAAGACGGTGCCGAATGGTGCCGGAATACTAGGCATCCATGCCGAAGGACCGTTCATCAATCCACAGAAGAAGGGCGCGCATCCAGAAAGCTGCATACGGACAATAGACAAGGTGACAAGCTGTAGTTTGAGCTTCTAGTTCCACCTTTCGATCTAATCCCATCGAAATTTACTCAACAGTCACAGGGACTGAGCACGCTGGAGAGCACCTATGGCTCCCTGGAGCGCATCAAGATCTTAACCCTGGCGCCGGAGAAAGTCACGGACCAGCAGGTGATTGGCCAGCTGGTGGACCGAGGCATCACCGTGTCCCTCGGCCATTCGATGGCCTCGCTCAGCGACGGCGAACAGGCTGTGCAGCAGGGCGCCAGTCTAATCACGCATTTGTTCAACGCCATGCTGCCGTTCCATCACCGGGATCCCGGCCTGGTGGGGCTTCTGGCCTCGGATGCCGTACCGCAGGGTAGGACCGTGTACTTTGGCATTATTTCGGATGGCGTTCACACGCATCCAGCAGCTCTGAGGATTGCCTACCGGACACATCCCCAGGGCCTGATCCTGGTGACGGACGCCATCTCGGCCTTGGGCCTGGAAGAGGGCGTCCATCACATTGGACAGTTGCCGCTGGAGGTCAAGCGGGGCAAGGCATTCATTGCCGGCACGGAAACACTGTGCGGCAGCATTGCACCCATGGACGAGTGTGTGCGGATCTTCAAAAAGGCCACTGGTAGGTTGGATAATACCAGCTCTCAGCTCCATTGTTCTCATTTTCGTTATTGTCTCCTCCACCAAAGATTGCTCCATTGTCTATGCCATTGAGGCGGCCACCTTGCATCCCGCCGAATGCCTGAAGATCGAGAAGCAAAAGGGTACCTTGGACTTTGGTTCGGATGCCGATTTTATTATACTGGACGACGAACTGCGGGTTCTCTCCACCTGGATAGCAGGAGAATGTGTTCACCGGACTGCCGACAAGTAGTACATCAAATGTACGTACGGAAACGATTTTTGTATATTATTTACCTGACGCAGGATGTATGTATGTATGTATTTTTGTATACCCAAGATTCTCCCATTAAATTGTTAAATTTATACATTCCAAAGCATTTGTTTTACTTTGACTTGTATAAGACTTGACTTGACTTGACTTGACTTGTATAAGAATCCTCTTGTCTCACGTTGGGCGCCATTATGTTGCTACTGCAACATAGAGGTTGCAATCACCAAAATTTACCTAAAAGTTTTAGTGCTTTTATGACTTTGACACCCCAAAATAAAAACACATTCGGTTACATATGACATGGTTTAGGTTGTTCTTTATATATTTTAATCGGTAAATCATTTGGTGTGGACAACTACACTAAATCCATATACAGTTACAAATAATAAGGTATTACACGACAAAAAAATGTAGAATAAAATTACAAGGAGACAGGAGGAAGAGGAGGAGGAGGAGGTGGCGACACATCGGCTTGATATCATGTGAGTACGGGCATGGATGCACATAAAAACAATGCAGTAAATATATCGTACAATAAATCGATATACATGTATAAATATATATAAATATATATATATAGGCAATAATCAAAAAACAATTTCGGAACAGCTCCAACTCTCAGACTCTGGGCTGGATGAGTGGCTGCAGTGTGTCCAGCGCCTACTACTAAATACTACTATTCCCTGGCCTCCTTCTCCGCTGGCTGAGGATCGAAAAACAAGCGGTGGCTAGCTAGCTGGGATTATGTACTATATATACTATCCGATGAATAATATGGTATGTATATCTAGGCCGCAACGCAACGCAAAACAAAACAAAACAAAAAAAAAAAAACAAGACCTATGTGGTGGCGGTAGGGGAGTGCGTGCGTGAACGAACGAAGTACGGCTGAGTACAGGAATCGTAGGACTATCTACTATATATGTATATATATCAAAAGTTACGTTACAAAAGTTGCTTGTGTCTGTTGTTTGCGTTAAACGTTTTCGTTTCGGTTACCGCATCCAAGATAGCCTCTGGAATCGATCTTCGGTCCACGTTAGCTAACTCAAATGCGATTCTGTTGCTCCTCCCGATCCGTGTGCGCTAACTAACGTATCCTATCCGATGGCTGCTTGTAAAGTGGCGTCCAAATGTTCGTTATTACAATATCTGTCGTTAAACTTTAGGTAGGTTGTTTCTGTTGCTTGTTCCATCTGCGTATCTGCTGCTATTCTCGTAGTAAGTAAGTAGTTCCCTCCGTGCGAGTGCTGATTTGCTCCTGGCCGCTGTATTGCTTCGTTTCATTTTGGGGCAGTTTCAGAAACCGATTCCCTCGATCTAATACCATTTCCATTTTCAATTCCAAATCCAATCCAATCCGCTCCGCTCTGCCCCCGCCATCGCCTTCGCCTTCCCTCCTCCGCACAGCTAAGCGCACGCCCGGGCCAAGCCACGCTCCGTTTGCGCTATTAACGCCGTTTTTTACGCACAGCACTTGCTGTAGCCCGGCGCCTTCTCGTTGTTCCGGCGATCGATGATCACACGCTCCGGATTTTCAGCCGATTCGCGTCCCGATGTCTTGTCTAGAATGGCCTCGGCAAGCTCGCAGAACGCTCGCTCGATGTTTATGTTCGATTTGGCGGATGTTTCCATAAACCGAATGCCATGTTCACGGGCAATCTACAAATTCCAAGAAATAAATAGGGAGAGAGCGCAGTGGGGAAAGTGCTTTAAATTGTGTAAACAAATTGATCAAACACACAACTAACTGTCATTGGAAAGCAATCATAGCGAACAAAGGTTCCACTAATTAAAAAATCACTTGCTGCTTGGTTCCAGTTAGCAAAGCAAAGCAAAGCTAAGAACCAAACTAAGAACGAAACCCTAGTACTCAAATATATTTTACAATCTTTTACAAGCAATTGATTTGAAGTTTTGTGCTACATATAAAATACAACAAGAATTCTATTGAAAATATGACGAAATATGGGAAAACAGAAGTCGTTCAACGTTTTTAGCAGTCTTGTAGCTAAAGTTCAGGGCTAAGGGGATTGTCTATTGTTTATGTACCATTTTAATATGTCAAGTAATAATGCTTCGACTTGTTCTACCTATAATACATATTCCCTTCAAACGGTGTTTTAATTTAAGCGATTAATCACTTGGATTCTACCTGATGTGGGATGATTCACCGCAGAAATGCAAACATTTTGATAAGGTAACTAAGTCAAGTTCCACCGATAATGGGAAAGATGCCAAGCTGATCTCTGATCTGTGGTGCTCTAGGTCTACTTAGATACTGATCCAAAACTGACGCCGCCTAATCAAATGCTCACCGCTTCACCGCGCTCCTTGTTCACCACTCGCTTGTCCGTCATGTCGCACTTGTTGCCCAGTATCATCTTTTCCACATCCTCGTTGGCATGCTGCAAGTGAATACCGGAAAAAGGTGAGTTAGAGAGGGGATCTGATCATGCAGAGAGTGAGTACGCACCTCGTCTATGTTCCGCAGCCATTTGACTATATTCTCGAAGCTCTTTTCGTTCGTTATGTCATAGACGAGCATGATGCCCATCGCACCGCGGTAATAGGACGTGGTTATCGTGTGGAACCGCTCTTGGCCGGCGGTGTCCCATATTTGAAGCTTGATCTTCTTGCCCCGCAGCTCCACTGTTTTGATTTTGAAATCGATGCCTGTGAAATAAGAGATATAGATTCCGCTCGAGTTTTATAATAACAATAATAGAGGTGGCGGGCAATGACGTCACGAGTCCAAGGGTATGTGCGTATAGGTGTATGTGTGTGACCGATTACACTGCCCGAATTGGAGCAATGTGAATCATCCGGAATTCGGAACTTGGAATCCGGATGAAAATGACAACTGTTTGCACGTAACGGTGTTCGTGCGTTATCTATGAATGTATATGTAGGTTCTGCCGTAGCAGCAACAAAAACAATGACAGTCCAAAGGCGATCGACGAACACATACACCCACACAGGGACATGGGCACTGTGCTCGAGTGTGCGTGGGCGATCCATCGATAAGGCAGTGCCACGCCCTATTGCACACACACGCACATATCCTTGCCCCGGGTCGTCGCTGCCGCTGCCGCGGCCGCCTCTCGCGTCGGCGTCGGCTTCGCTGCAGCAGCTGACACAACTCCGACGAACGGCACATGTATGCGTGTGAAGAGGTCCGTTTCGTTCTTTCGTTCCCCTTACCAATGGTCGAGATGAACGTGGAGGTGAAGGCGTCATCGGAGAAGCGGAACAGAATGCAGGTCTTGCCCACGCCCGAGTCGCCGATCAGCAACAGTTTGAAGAGCAAATCGTAGGTTTTCTTGGCCATTTCCGAAACGCTCGCAGAACAAAGCACTAACACACGCGCAGCTCTCGACGCACGCACGCACAGGCACACACACACACTCGCACACGGCACGCAGGTGACTAGCTAGCGATTTTATTGGCCAATGCACTTGTCCCGTCTGAATTGCTCGGGCTTTTTCAGTTCCCTTCGTCACTCTGGATTGCCGTCCTAAACTCTAGCAGCCGCCCCTTCCTCAATATTTTTAAATGCGCCGAAAACTTAATATTTTTCCTTGCAATTGTTGCTATTCGTGCTGGAAACTAGAGATGGACAAAGATCGATGAAAACATCGATGCATTATTGTTTTTTTTAATTTTTGGCAAACATCGACTTTGTTTGCGACTATCGATGAAGTTTTCGCATTATTAACGCAGAGAGAGAGAGAGAGGCAAATGGTTGAAAAAGACTATTCGAGAACGCTGCTTTATAGGGCTTTCCGAAAGCAAGAGATCAAAGTAATAGTAACTTGCCACTAAACTTTATTAGTGATGGTAGAAATATCGACACCAGAACTAGGAACCAATGAAATATCTAAATTGCAGACCTCGTTTTTAATTATGTATTTTTAGTATGTAAAGTTCAAAGATTAATTTGAATATAATGAATATAAATTAAAAAATGGTTTCTTTCCTAAAAGAGGCCGACGTCACATCGATTCCTTCCTAAATCAATAATCTACCAAAAAAAATCGACAGTCGCAATCGATTTTTTCGCAGCTCTTCATTATATTCATGTTCCACTTCTTTGGTATATTGTCCTTTCCTTAGTTTGTAAATAAAAACTAAAAACAAAAACAAATTTATTATCAATGTTTCAATATATACATGGTCCAAAGAATATTATAGTTCTTTAGGATTGCTATCCCTTATATACTATTGCTTATTTTACTATCCTTACTTACTAACCCGAACTTTACTATATATATTTACATGTTTTTGTTTAAGAAGAGGAGCTTATCTACAACGGTCGATTATAGCCGCGTGCGAAGCTCACTTATAAGTTGTCCAGTTTTACGGAAAACTCTTTCAGATTCGCACGAAGATGCGGGAACGCAGAAGTATTTTTTAGCTAACGTTTTAAACGCCTCGCCATCTGTAGTAATCTAAAATATATTTAATACAAAAAATACATAAAAAAAATGGAAAAACATCGATGTTACCGATGTTTCAAAAACATCGATGTCATCGATATTCGCATCGATGTTTCTCCACCTCTATCGAGTTGACAGTCCCGCACATTCCACCATTTTCTTTGTCGCTTTGTTGGAACCTGTGTGGTATCGTGAATTCTGTGATCAAAAACCGACTAATTACGAACTGAAAATGGTAAATTTAAATCAAAGAACCAAACTTTTCCGGTGGTTTACGGCGTGGGCGAGCGGCGGAAAGTGTATTCGGCGGCTTTTCATTGATAATTGCAGGCCTTTCGGCGTTTTCATTTGCCGGGTGTGTGCTGCGGCCATTTGCCTGCTGCTGCCGCCCAGGGCTCGCTTCGCTTCCCGGAGTCTCGAAAGACAGCACGCCTTGCACGTGATTCCAGAAGGTTCTCTTTTGTGGCCACGGGATCTCCGCTTGCCCTCTGATGCACGCGGCCGTGGTGAAAAGATCGGGACAATATATCAAAAGAACCTTCCAGATGTGCAATCCACGCTGTTTTAGTGGCCATTGGATGAATCACTCATCGCTGCCGCCGCCGCCGCTCTCTTACTGCGACTTTTTGGGGGTTAGGTAGAGGCGATATGAGTGCACACAAAAAAAAAAAAAATGCTATATCGGTGCAGGCAGTTGTCTTTTATATCTTCTAAATGAAAAAGTGTCACTAAAATTGTTTAATTAGCAAAGAGTAATGAGCATTTTTTAAAAATATAATTTTAAAGAAAATTTGCTATAACTTAAGAGTTATAATTTATATTTTTAATGTAAATATGAATAACATAAATTTTCCCTTGCAGGAGATGTCCTTGAATCCCGTGCGCGTTCTCAAGAATGAGGCGCAGGAGGAGAAGGCCGAAATGGCCCGCTTGTCCTCGTTCATTGGCGCCATTGCCATCGGGGATCTGGTGAAGAGCACTCTGGGTCCCAAGGGCATGGACAAGATCCTGGTTGCCAACGGACGCAATGCCGGCCAGGTGGAGGTGACCAATGATGGTGCCACTATTCTGCGTGCCGTGGGTGTCGACAATCCGGCTGCCAAGATTCTGGTGGACATGTCGCGTGTCCAGGACGAGGAGGTGGGCGATGGCACCACTTCAGTCACCGTTTTGGCCTCGGAGCTGTTGCGCGAGGCAGAGAAACTGGTTGAGCAGAAGCTGCATCCACAGATCATTGTGGCGGGCTGGCGCCAGGCCACCCAGGTGGCCCTAGAGGCACTCACTGCCGCTGCCCAGGACAACTCGGCCAGCGACGAGAAGTTCAAGAACGATCTACTGAACATTGCCCGCACCACGCTCTCCTCAAAGATTCTGCACCAGCACAAGGACTTCTTTGCCAACCTGGCAGTGGACGCTGTGCTGCGTCTGAAGGGATCCGGCGAACTCAAGTCCATACAGATCATCAAGAAGTCGGGCGGCACTCTGGGCGACTCCTTCCTCGACGAGGGCTTCCTGCTGGACAAGAAGCCCGGCGTGCATCAGCCACAGCGTGTAAGTCCTACTCTGCTTCTAGCTTGCTCCAGTTAATGCCTATTCTCCTCTCCTCCACCTGTGCTTTGCTGTCTATCAACGCGTCAAAATGACTGTGAGCTATGTTGAATTTGACTTCATATCACAGCCATTTTGACGAGTTTGATGGACAGACTCATCATCAATAAATGGAACAGGGATATAGATCGTCCTGTGTGTGTATATCGGATTTATAAGTTTAATATTTAAAGAGAATCCCCTAATGGTGTATTGCTCTTCCTTCTTGCAGATCGAAAAGGCCAAAATTCTGATTGCCAACACTCCCATGGACACAGATAAGATCAAGGTCTTTGGCAGCAGCATCAAAGTTGACTCGCTGGCCAAGATCGCCGATTTGGAGATGGCCGAAAAGGAGAAGATGAAGGAAAAGGTGGCCAAGATCCTGAAGCACGATTGCAACGTGTTCATCAACCGCCAGTTGATCTACAATTATCCGGAGCAGCTGTTTGCCGATGCCAAAGTCATGTCCATCGAGCATGCCGATTTCGATGGCATCGAGCGTCTGGCTTACTGCACCGGCGGCGAGATTGTCTCCACCTTCGAGAACCCCTCGATGGTCAAGCTGGGCGAGTGCGATCTCATCGAGCAGGTGATGATTGGCGAGGATACGCTGTTGCGCTTCAGCGGCGTCAAGCTGGGCGAGGCCTGCACCATTGTGATTCGCGGAGCTACCCAACAGATTCTGGACGAGGCGGATCGTTCGCTCCACGACGCCCTCTGCGTGCTGGCGGCCACCGTCAAGGAGTCACGCATCATTTATGGCGGCGGCTGCTCGGAGGCTCTGATGGCCACCGCCGTGCTGAAGAAGGCGGCCGAGACGCCTGGCAAGGAGGCTATTGCCATTGAGGCCTTTGCTCGTGAGTATTAATTTGTACTTTTTTTTCTAGTGAAGGTTTAATTGATAATGGTTGCTTTCCATATTCAGGTGCATTGCTATCTCTGCCCACGGCCATTGCCGACAATGCCGGCTACGATTCCGCCCAGCTGATCTCTGAGCTGCGCGCCGGCCACGCCCAGGGCAAGCATCAACTGGGTCTGGACATGGAGCTGGGAAAGGTGGCCGATGTCCGTGAACTAGGCATCACTGAGTCCTTTGCCGTCAAGCGTCAGGTGCTGATGTCCGCCTCTGAGGCTGCCGAGATGATCCTGCGTGTGGACAATATTATTAAGTGCGCTCCACGCCGGCGTGTGCCAGACAGGGGCTACTGCTAAGCAGCTTAAGTATTCTTGTTCTAGGATCCTATTTCCTTTATTTTTTTTAAATTACAAACTCTCGTTTAACATCATCGCTAATCTTACACGACGTTCTGTTTTACACACTAATAACACACACACACACACCCACAACACACATTAGCATTTATATTACACACAACAACCAGAACAACAAAATGCATCGCATAGACTTTCTCGCAAAACTTGTCTCTTTCGTGTAAAATTCCCTGTATCTCCATGATTGTTAAACAAACTGATAATGTTGTTGCGCAAGCCGAGCTTTTTTTGTACCCGCGGTACAGATTCAATGGGGGAGGAGCGATCAAAGAAAACATTTCAAAAATGTCTAAAACACACTTAAAAACAAAAGCAAGCAACTTGTAAATGAATACAATCTTTGTAAACATTTGAAATGCGAACATCGAAGTGAATCAAAGACCATAAAAAAGGGGGCAACCAACCAACAAACAAAAAAAAAATTAAAAGAAAATGAAAATAAATCATAATATATTTATGCTTAACAAAACTACAAACAAATTGTTCTCATTTTAGTCGATGAATCTTAAGTTAAAGGGGTTTTAAAATGTTCATTTAAATACAAAAATATGTGGGGAAATGGCCAGCAAAGTTTGGAGCTTAACCAAAAAAAGAATAAAAACTAATATATTTGCTTTGTATATTTATAGTTCTGCTTATCTCCAAATAAGATATTTCCCTATCTTTTTATTATTTGCCACCCACTAAAACCACTTTAAAAACATTGCAAACACATTTTTATTGTAAATATTGCTGCGCGTTCGTTCAACTTCACAGTCCAAACGTTATAATATAAAATAGTAGCTTTTATAATTAATATATAAAAGTTAAAACAATCAAAAGTGTTGTCGTCGCTGCGCGCGTTGACTAACTAATTCGTTTAGGGTTCGAGGTTCGCGTGGAGGAGGAGTATCATCCAAAGGCCGGATAATACGATACTGAAACTCGCGTCAAAAAAAAAAAAACAAACAAAAACACACTAACGAAATGTGATTTGGAACAAAATATATATACAGGCGGTGGTGGAGGCGTCGTTGGGCTTCAAGGGGTCAAAGAGAGAGAGAGAGAGAGAATGAAAGGGAGAGAGAGAAAGAGAGAATAACAATAACGCGCGGGAACGAAAGAGAGAGAGTAACGGCGAGCGATCGAGAACGGACGTTTTTCCAAAGTTGGAAAAGAGATTGGCATTTTTTTTTTAAGTGGAGACATCCGCATCCGCTTTAGGAGATGGCGCACTCCATCTCGCCGTGCTTGGGCACACAGTCCAGGACAAGGGCCACTGCTCGGGACATGTATGTCATGGTTCCATAGCTGCCGCTGGGAGCACTGTAAGAAATTAAATAAAAATGTAATTAGTAAGAGAAAAGAGGCATCCCAGCATTCCTCAAAGAAGACTGCTTAATTCTCAGATCCCCCAATCTTCTTTTGGAAACCTGTTCAGATCGAAGGTATCTGTGATCCTTACCTATCGTATAGGTGCTGACAGATGTAAGCGGCTCCGCCGCAAAGTAGCATTCCTGAGGCAGCCTGCTGCTGCTCCTTGCCGTCCTTAATCTTCGCACAGCATAGGGTGGCATCCCCCTGTACCTTTCGCTGATCCTCAAGGAACAACTGATTGGCCTTATGCACCAGATGCTCCACATAGATAATTCCACCGAGAGTGGGCACCATGTTGTGCTCGGTAACGAGGGTCAGCACCATAAGGGCCTCGACCACCAATTGCCTATACTCCGGCTGGGGTATCTGGTTGAGAGCCGTTTCCACTTCCAAGGCAAACTTCAATTCGCCTGGGGTCATTTCCTGGGTGAGACTCTGCTGCAGGACACGTCCCTCTATGGCCAGGCCCTGGCACTTCTCCAAAACCGTCCAGACGCGGGAGTAAAAATCACGGGGCACACGATTTAGGGCACCATCCAGGCGCCTGCGACGCAGCCACTGTCCCTGCCTGTCGTCAATGGTGGCTATAAGGGCATCCTCGCCCTCCGGGTCACCCAAACCGATTTGGCTCTTCTTGCTGACGCGGCTGCTCTTGCAGCTAACAATGGATAGATTGCCACGAGCCACTAGAATGTGAATATAAGATTAGCACTGGCTAAGGGATTATTATATATGTAGGTGGACATACCGCTGCTGACAGCAAACTCCTTTCCACTGAGTATGTGGTACAGGAGATTCTTCATCTCGAATGGCGATAGGTTAAGTAAATGCTCCGACGCCGCCTCGCCATCGCAGTTGAGTGTGCGCGACAGCTCTTTGGCCATTACCTGGATGATGAGGCCCACGCGCAGGCGCAGCATCTCGTGGAACAGCTGCGGTTCCGTGCGAATGAACATGGCCAGATAGACCATCAGCTCCTGTGTCAGCATCGCTGTACTCTCATCGTCGCCGTAGGCCTGGACAGGATGGGATTACCGATGCATTAATAATAATATATATATATACATATATATATATATATATATATATATATATATATATATATATATATATATATATATATATTCCTACTCACATCATGGATCAACTGTCGCAGCTCGACTTCCGGCAGCGGTGCCGTAATGGTGTGCTCATTGTTCGGCGGCATGCCGACTGTCACCTGCTTCTGACGCACCAGTAGATCCGTCACCGCCTTGGCCAGATCCTCCACACGCTTGCCCAGCATGCCGGCCGTGTGCCGGACCAGGCCCCAGAGCTTCTGCTGGCAGGCCTTCTCGTACAGTCCCTTGAGCAGATCCCGCACGGTAACCACACGTCCCTCCTCCAGCATGCCTTCGGATTGGGAAGAATCGTTGTTATTTTCGTGTGGTGGATTGCTGTTGATGTTGCTGCTGTTGTGGTGGTTGCTGCCGCTGCTGCTGCTGCCGCTGGTGTGGCTAGTGTTGGCATTATCCGGATCGGAGCTAAGCGCAGCTGGAATTGTAGCGGCGTCGATGATCACCGTGGGCAAAGTAATCGCCGGCTTGTGCTTCACCTGCTGCTCATCAGCAACAGTAGCACCTGCACCTGCACCTGCACCACTTGTACCACCTGCAGCACCACCACCACCACCAGCCGCCAGTTCCAGCACCACTTCATCCATAAACGCTTGGTCGAGCTCTTATTTTTGTTTGGTTTTCGGTTTTTATTGCGGGTTAGTTGGGTTAGGATTTGTTTTTATTTCGGAGTTTGCGTTGTATTTTTGAAAATTTATTGTTTGGGTTAATGTTATAATGGAGAGCAAGCGCACAGGACATGCCAGGATGTGTGTGTGTGTTGTGTGTGTTTTTCATGTGGGATTAAATGCGTCGTGGTAGGAGCGGAAAAAGTAAAATAAAATGTTAAAGGATTAAATCACGGTAGTGCCGAAAAGAAGATATTAAATAATAATAAAAATGTAAGATTAATAATGCCAACTTAAAGCAGAGAAGCTTGGAGTTTACTTATTATATTTGTATTTTAGTAAAAATATATATATATTTTTTATATTTTTGAATCTTTTCTAAGAGCTTTTTGTTTTGTTAAGGATCGTTTTGTCAGAAGTGCAGAAAATATCTCCAATACATTTTAACTGACATTGTGACTTCAAACTTTTGCGGGAAAAATATATATTTATCGATTTTAATCGATTTTTTTCGAATTTAATTTAATATTAAATCGAAATTCTGTCTAATGTATGGGAATGGCCCAAAAGAGCCTTAACATAATTGTTGAAAAAATATAGATAATTTTGGAAGATAGGTATTGCAGAAAGTTTCGATATATAAATCGAAGGATTACAACAGAAAAAGCACAAATAAAAGAACGTTTTTTTTTCGATAACATCGATAGTTCAACGTTAAATGCATTTCTTTTGGATATTTAACATTTTGATGAATAAAATTTGACAATATTTTCGATATAATACTGAGTACGATATTTTGTAAATATGCCTTGCATATTCCGATTTCTGGCATAATTGCTTTCATAATTTTTAAATATAATTAAAATATATATATGTACATACAAATTTTGCCAAGTAATGTGAGATTATAAAATCAACAATATAAAGCACACCTTAAAGCAAGGCAAGGATGCAGTGGCAGTTTTAAAAGAATGTCGGGAAATGTCACAGGTCAATCACACAACAATATATGTATGTACAAAACAGTATCGATAGGAGATGGAGACCATAGCTGGGAAGGATATGTTACTGGTGATAAGATGAGTACTCCAATGGTTGGCCAATCAATATACGAAAAAGTTGCAGAGATCACAGGAGAAGAGGATGGATAAGGGAGAGAGGATGGATAAGGGGAAGAGAATAGATACGAGAGAAAGGATGTTTAATGGGGAGAGGGTTTAGGAAAGTTCCGCAGGACCTCCAAACAACAACAATCGACACAGGACACAGGATCGACGACACTTACCGGCAGCTGCGTTGTTAGCGTTGGCGCTATCATCGGACTTATTCTTGAATCCCAGGCCAGCTGTCATTACGGAGCACACGGAACACACACGATGTACGGGACCGGGACAGACGACAAGAAAACACGGGGCAACAACAGCGGAATGAGAGAACGAGAGATGCAAAAGAAATGGTTGAATAATGCTGGATTCGGGCCTTTCTTTCGGACATTGGCTAATCATTCAGACATTCTTTCATTGGCTCACTATTAAACTGTTATACATAGACTGTCCATTATTCATGTTCCCTTGGTTAACTTGGTATCACACTATCGAGAGGTAATCCCATTAAATATGCATACAAACCCAAGGTTTGACAATACTAAAATTAAAGCAAATAACTGAACTCTATACTTAACTGTTATACATAGATAAACTCTAATAAATTTAATTCCTGGTTAAGCGTTAAATGAATGTTTTCATTTAAGAAATAAAAAAAAAGTGTAATAAAACCCAGTTAGAAGTTAAACCTAGGTAAGACCCTATTAAAATTAAAAAATCACGATAACTGTTATACTGTAATATTGATCATTCATTTTAACCACTTCAAGTGAACCTATGGAAATTTAAACTCTTCTTAAATGTTACCCCAATTTGCCAAAAAGAATATAATCCCCATTTAAATGTTAACCCCAAGATAAAATAATTGTGTCGAGCGTGTTTCTGCGTGTATGCTTGGCATGTGCATGTGTTTTTTGGGTGTATTTTTTGTTTTTTAAAGTGTGTATGTGCATGTTCAGGTGTATGTTGTTTCCACCCGTATATATTTCCTACCGAAGTGCTATCAAAAACCGAGCGTTGCAAACAAAACGCCTTAAAAGCATTAAGCGCTGCAAGCTTCGCCATACCTACACATAAACCTAGGAAAAGGGTGTCGATTCTTTGGTTAATCTCAAAGGTATTGCTCACCCGTATTAAAGTCCAGACCCTGGGTATCCACCAGGTACTGCAGGATGTCGCCCTGCTCCTCGAGATTCTCCGTTTCGCGTAGCATTGCGATCAGCTCCTCGACCTCTGTTTCAGCAAAATTTGTGTCGGCACGATGGCGTTGGATGAGAATTTTTGGCACTGTTACTAATCAAGGATTGCATTGCCAATACACGAGTACACGATAATAAAATAATGGAAATGAAATGTAAGAGAAAAGAAAAGCAAGAAAGTAAAATTAACAAAAGTTTAAAATAAGAAAATAACAGTTTCTAACATGAAAACATCATTTCTAAGAGTTTTTGATTTGATTGCAAGGCGAGAACTACTAAACTAAAAAAAAAACCTTTTAAAATGAAATTAAAACCGAAAAATAGAAATATATATATAAGAACTAACTCTCTTGCTGGCGGACAAACTCGCTGCGCCTGTCGATCGCCGATCTAGTACTGTTATGCGGATCTACGGGATATATGTTCTCCCGGACGGATAGCTCATGGCCCAGCTGCCTCGGCGAGCTGGGTCCCTCCTCCGGTGTCGTGGCAAAGACACTGACATGGCTCTGCTTGTTCGGCTGCAGCCAGGGCGGCGGAACGATCGAGGACAGGCGGCGCTCGGTGAGTGGCGAGGGTCCCTCCATGCCCAGGTTGTCAGCTGGCATAGGAGATTCAGTAAATAATTGATTACGCATCAGCAAGGATAACTCACAGTCCACATTGATGGAGCGCGTCTTCTTGATCGCTCCCTTGCAGGACATGCGACGCCTCAGGGTCCGGGGACGCAGTTGGCCGCCCCGGAGATTCATGGTGCTGCGATTGCTAAACGACCTGAGCAGATGCTCATCCAGATAGGTCTGCACATCCGGATGCAAGCGATCCGGATAGCCATCCTCCGTGCTGCCCAAAAAACTCAAGTCAGTGATGGCGGAGGTGTTGAGGAAGTCCTTCAAACTGCCCAGCATCACCCGGGTGCCGTTGATGTAGCCCGACTTGAGTTTCCTCATCGTCTGGATCATGGCCAGCGGTATCTTGTCCTGATCTGTGGCAGCATCCGAATGGAACATGTTAGCTTACACAGGCTCTTCTCAACTTGAACTTTGATTTATGATGGGTACAAATGAATTGGGATGATGCCGGGGGATCGATGGGATTAGGAACAGCGTCTCTTAATAGCTACGGTTGAGTTAGTCACAAAATATTATGCGATATATGCGTTTATTTACACAGCACACAGAGGTTTTCCAGCACCAACTCGGCAATTATCTTGTTTTGCTTTTGAGTTTTAGGAAATAAAATTAGCCACAGCCACAAGGATTAGCAAGTGTTTTGTTGTTTTTAATCACAGAAACTAGCAAAATTGAGGGTTTCAAATTCAAATCAACCAGGTATTTTTTTGTGCTTTCCACATACATATATTAGCCTTTTCAGGTACCTTTTAATTGGACTTGTATCCCCTTTTTGGAAATGTGAATTTACTTACTCTTGTGGCGACTTTCCACATTAAAAAATTTAAGTATTGTAAACATTTAAAGAAGGAATTTGTAATAGCTTGAAAACGGATCATTTGCGAGCCTTTGATGATATCTTAATAGAGGAAATCCGAATAAAATCCATTACGAAGTTATCGCCTAAGGACTCAAAACTAAACATAAAGGGTAAGCTAAATTTCTTAAGGTTTTCGTTCACTAAACGTTCTTTTTTATGACTAAGTGTACGAATATTTCGCGAGCGTTTACGAGCATTTGGCAATAGTTTATTTTTACCATCTCTTGGTTCACTGGTTAGCGATCATCCACAGGGACTTATGTACGAATTTAATAATAAAGAACACCAAAGAAGGCTTTAAATGGTTTATATTTTTTAGGAATAAGGCATATATACCTAAAAGTCATAATATAGGTTTATATATACACTGAAGAAACAGATAAATAGAGAGCGGGGGAGAGCAGGCGGCCATTCACTAAGCAGACACAAGCGCAGGAAAAGGGATCACTGGTCACAGGATCACAGGATCATACTAATTTGCTGGCTTCGATGTGTGTGTGTGTGTTGAGTAATTCGCATATATATTTATATATAGTAAGTAGGATTGTGCCGTGGTCTCACGAAATAATAATAATCAGGAGTTGTGGCTTAGGTGCGGAGTGTGTGGGGGAAGAGTGGATTTGAGGATGCAGAAATCGAACTCAGTGGTTCGTTTTGATTTGGGTTTTTTGGTTTTGGGGTAGTTACCTAGCATATAGTGGGTTGCCATTAGTGTGATTGTCGGCCTGCCCAACATGTGACGCCAATTGTTGGTCAAGAATGCTAAATTTGTGGTAAAATTGCTGGCAAGCAAATCGGGATCGCGTGTTGTATAATATTCTTCATAGTCGATATGCTGTGTGTAGTATGTGTTGTTGTTGTAGTAGTAGTTGTTGTTGTTGTTGATTTTTGTTGTTGAATTTGTTGTTGTTGCATTTGTATTTAATATTTGTTTTCGTTTTGTGTTGGTTGCAATATTTATGGATGGATATTTGTTTTGATTTTTTGAATAAAATAAAGAAGAGAAAGATTTTTTTGATTTTTCTTCGTTTCGATTTCATTTACCCAAACATTATTTCATTGGCCAATTTTTAGGGAATTTGAAAAGGGGGATTTCTAAGGCTATAAAGGTCTAGAGCAGAGCGCTGAGAAATGCAGTATATAGTAATTAAAAACTAAAACTACATTTAATTAAAATTATGGAGGGATTTTTTATATGTATGTAATAAAAAAATAACTAAGTAAAATAAAGTACAGTGTTTTATAAAGTTTCTATAGGGATTATATAGTGTTGAAAGTGTGTAAGATGTCCACAACCAAAACTAAAGGTAACTAAAATCTAAGAAAACTAAGGAGTTCTCGGGAAATTCAAAAGATTAAGTTGCTCAACGTTCAGGGGATACAAGTTAACCGTCCGTTAATGTTTATTTAATTTTTCCAAATAGGAAGATGGGAGCCAGATTGAATTTCATATATTTCGGAGAGTTAACACTTAACAGGCTCTTTTATGGTTTTAACCTTCGGTTAATATTTCTATACTAGTAGCTGTTGTTAACTGACGGACTACCAAGAGGGTTTCTCAGTGTGTAGTTAAAAATTTAACGAGCAGATAATTAACGAATATGAAAGGATAAATTACACTTTTCTAAGAGTTATCTGTGAGTTAACAGTCTCCGTTATCTTTTACATTGAAAAAAACCAAACCAAAGAGGTTAAGGTACACCAAAACTAGGTTTTCAATACATGTGTATAGATTTAATGTGGCTATTTTTAGAGTAACCGAAACCATTTCATTGAACATTGAGCAACCAATTGAATAAATTCCGAAACGAGAGTTAAAATTAAAGTGAATGGTGCTTATGTGTGCTTTAATAGTGTCGTGTGTGCGTGTGTCAATTAATTGATAATAAAAAACATGACCAATACCAAAAGAAAAGCAAACCCTTGCAAATTAATCAAATCAAAAATCAACACAGAAAGGCGAACCCGCGCACAGACAATAAAAGAAGAGGCGGTAAATCAACAGTTTAAATACAAAAAACGAAGAAAAAAATAAAGGCTTATGGAGTGAAAATTATGGGACATTCGGAGGGTCTCTATCTCTCTCTCCCTCTCGGTGGACCGACCTAGATGGATGCGCTTCAGCACGAGGGTGACCAGCGGACGACCCAGTAGATCCCAAGCGGACTTGAGGAAATTGATCTCGCCCTTGAGGATGTCGATCATGAGTTCGTTATCGGAGGCGATATAGAAGCGCGACAGGTCGGCGAACTGATAAACGGCGTGATATAAACGTAATATAAATCATAAGTCATTTCAATAAGTTTCTGGAGGATGCAAACCAATAAAGTTGCTAAACTTTTTAATTATAAATATTATTTTTAATAATTAAAATTTTGCAATTTATTATTTATTTTAATTTTTTTATGCAGCTGATATCAAAAATCTCATAAAATTTGATTTATCGAAAAATATCGCAGCTTTAAAATATCAATTAAGATCGATACAATTATATCGTAATTTTCCTATACGTCATTATTCTTCAAAATTTCTTGATTTAGAATAATAAACAAAAAATGGTGTTAGTTTTCGATAAATTTCAAAGCTTCCCTTTTCATAGAAAAATTAAGGTTAAGTATCCCCTTCATCAGTTTGCATCCCCGTCGATCAAATTCGATACAAAAATGTAGAAAACAGAAGGAGGAAAAGTCTAGGGAATCTTTTTAGGAGGATATTTCGGGGATTAGAGGTGGCCAGAACTCGGTAGTCGGAATGCAATCACTCACCTGCGGCGTAAACGCGAATATGCGATCCTTTAGCGAGTACAGCTTACTGGTACTAAGAATGCCCACGTCGCGCGACTTTCTGCCGCTTAATCCCAGCTTCCGGTTGCGCCCGAGGTACGTGTACAAATGGCTGAGCACGCGGGCTGGCTGCACCTCAATGGGTGCCACCTCGGCAATTGTCTGGACATGCAGATCGTGTTCGGCTAGCTTGTCCCGGATCTCATTATCCTCGGCTATGATCACCACCTGGACGACAACGTCAGGTTTCTTTTGCGCCCCCAGACGACGATTGAGGGGATCCAACTCTCCAACGGCCAGGAAACCCTAAATATTTTTTGAAAATTATAAAGATTCTTAGATATCAAGGCAGAAATGTATGCTCACCTCCTGCAGCAGTCGGCCCAGAATGAAGAGCGACTGACCCCAGAGGAAGGGACACCGACCGACCACTTCGCGGGCCTGTGAGCCCGGCTTTTGGTACTCAAAGCCCACCAGATCCTGCGGCACGGCATAGCTCTCGGGCACAAGCAGTATGCCATCCTCCGAGCGCACCATTATCTTCTCCAAACGATCGGCGTACTCCTGCACCGAGCGCTTGTCGCTCTGGAAGGCATGGAACAAAATCAGGTAGCAGTAGAACAGCGGCCACTCGCACTCAATGTTCTCGAACATGCGCAGCTCCCAGCGCTCGTAGTAGAGCCGCGAGGGATCCTCCTTCGGGGTGCGGTATCCGTCGCGCAGAAATCGCTTGCAGCCATACTTGCCCTGCAATCGGGACAGGATGGCGTCCTTCGTATTGTGTATAAGCTGGGCATCGTCCACGGCAAAGGCTGGGAAGCCAATAACACAGAGCAGTCCCGAATCCAGTTCCTTGCTGTTGGACTCACGCGGTAGCATCGACTGGAGCACCGCCTGGCATTTGTGCGCCTCGTCGGCCAGCACATGGATGACACTGGCGGGGCCGCCGCGTGCTCCGAACAGATCCAGCTCGTTCATGGCCTCCAGAGCCGCCTTGGCCATTCCAATGGAGCTGGCATTCAGCTCGGGCTCACCTGTCAAAGGTAAAAAATGTTTATTAATTTTTTTGATTTTTGTTTTAAAGGAATACTCACCATGATTGGTCTTGTCGCCACGCTCCCAGATCCCATAATCCGGAATGGAGTACGCCGACTCAATGTAAAAGACCAGATTCTGGATGAAGGACACTTCGTCCAAGGAGAAGACAATCTGTAAACCGGAGGCCGTCATCTGGGCCAGAATCAGGAGATACAGGGACACGGCATCGATCTGCAGATGGCCCCACTCATTGTCACCCACAACGGGCAGGCCGTTCTTGCTCGAATACTTGGCGTGGAGGGAATCGTAGGGACTTTGCGTCATCTTGAACTTCTCCACCTTGTCCTTTTGGTTCATCATGGCCATTAGAAGGCCGCGCATCAGCTTCACACAGCTCTGTTCCAGCTCATAGCACTTGGCACGATCCTCGTCCTGATCGGCAATCTTCTTGTACGCCATGGAGAGACCCCAAACGGCTAGGATGCAGTACACATTGTCCCGAATCCAGGCGTGCGAGTTAACATTGGAGGCGGGAAAGAGGCCGGTGACGGGCTCCTGATGGGCCAAAATCAGCCGGTGAACGATACGCTGATAGTAGTCCAGGCGGACGCCCGAATTGCTCCGTGAACGCATGGCTGTGGCTGTCAAAGAGGCACCTTTCCCCGTCAGCTTGTCTGAAATGTGAACGATACTACAGTGGGGTCGCCAAGGGTATGCAAAAGCTTCTAGAGCTTGTTGTGCCTCTTGTTTACTCCAAACGAAACGCACGGCGCAGTGCGGCGGCACGCTCACTTACATAATGTCGGATTGGATCGGATCGTTTGTTGTGGTGGCTCTTCGGCGATGCAGGGGGAGAAGGAGGAGGCGGTGGCTTCGGCTTCGGCGTTGCCCCCCAATATCCCCAATCGAACTGCTCGTCGGATCGCCTATTCACCCCACACGCTAGACGAATCCCTAGAATCCGCTGCACCCGGTCATTCTCCAAAGGGCTGGTCGGTGGAGTGGCACGCACTGCTGCACCGTGCGGAGTTCTGTGCTTTTTCGGGGTCACTTACTTGGCGGATAAATTGTAATTATAATTAAAACTAAAGCAAAATGTCAACTCAATGTCACGCACAGTGTGACCAAAGTGTGTGCGGTAGTGCTGGCAAAATATCGATACTATCGATGTTTATAATTTTTTTCTGAAGAGAGATTTTTTTTGCGCACTATCGGTGATTAAAAATAACGAATTATATACAATTTTATACATTTCTATCAATTTTCATACGTAATTATTTAATCGCCTAATTGTGAAAATTATATGCTTTTTACGTTTTACTAAATGTTTCACGGTTTTAATATTAATATTATATATATTATGACACAAATAAAATGTGCCTTTTTTGTGGAAGATAATACGTTGTCATAAACTAAAACGATAAACAATTAAGAATATTAAAAATATATATCTATTTTTTTTTTATATGTACATGGCTTTAAAAACCGATAGTACCGATGTTTTGTCCGTAATAATAAAACAAAAAATATCTTAAATTGTAATTGTTTGGCCACTTTTGACAATTTCAAATTTTTTAAAATTGGATCAACTTTTTCCATCGATGCGTCTTCCCTTTTCTAATCAATTATTTTTCCAAAACTGTGTCAAAGTTTACCTTGTCTGTTGCTGAACTCAATCCTTTCAGAGTTCATACAGCCTTCACAGGTTCAACATCTCTCCTCTTTTTTAAGTTTTTTTTTTTTTAACAAGTTTTAAACAGCAAAACAATATATTAAATTTTATTCTTATTTTGGTTTTATTTTATTTTAGTTCCTTTTCTTGAAAAGCCATAATATTAACCAGCATTTCGATACGCTTGGCAATCTACAGAAAATTAACATTAGTTTTTTTTTAACTTAAAACTTACTAAAATTTTATTTAGAATTTTTTTTATTTATTTGTTTGTAAAACGGAAATGTATAGTCTTCCTTTTTTATTTGGCAGCAACTCGGCTACTTCCCTGGTTCTTCTTCAGGTTCTGCCTTTTGACGCGACCAGGAGAGCGTGATCCTGGAAAAGACGCTTCTTTAATTTGAATTTAAAACCTTTGAAACAAAATAAAATATATATATATATAATGACAATAGTCGGAAGATTATCTGCAAAGTTTCATTAAGATAGTTTGAAAACTGAGGGGACTAGTTTTCGTAGAAGGGAAGGGGAAGGGGACAAGGCCAGATCGACTCGGTTGTTGATGCCGATTAATGTATCGGGTCGGAAACGACTCCTTCACTGCGTTCCAAACTTCTGACTGAAATTATTACGCCCGGCAGGGGTAAACAAACTAAGAACCTGTTAAAATAATAAAGGTTCAGAATTTTATAAATGTGTAAAGCATATTCTCCCTATTTGGTAATACAAAAAGTTATGAATGACTGGAAGCTTTTAGCACACACACTATGCATTTATTTATGCATTTATTCATTATTTATTCATTACTAATGCTGAAAAGCAGCATCGCGTAGATTAACTATCACTTGCAAGATCAAAGTGCATTGAAAATTCAGGTTTTACCAGAACAACGAAAGCTGAGAGAGCTTGCAATTTGCACTTGGGAAATGTTCCCAGACATTTTCTATAGCCGATAAGCTATATTACTTTGTTTTGATTCCATTTCGAAGCTATGGGCCTGCGATCTGGCGCCTTTATTTCCTGCTACTACCTCTGTTTTTTTGTGCTGGTGGCGGCAGGTAAGTTTTTCATGTCTCAAAGGATCCCACTTGGATCCCAGAGACCTTAGAAGCTAGAGCTACCAAAGTTGGTGATATTTTTCTTAAGATAATACATATAATACTTTTCTGGGAAAATAATACAGTTTAAGCTCAATCCTCTTCTATTTTCCCAGAGGTTCGACTGCACTATGGCCGCTGTCATGGGCCGTCGACCAGAGGCCTGTGCCTGCCCAGCGACGAGTGTTCGGCGGAGCTTAGCTACCACCAGGCGGCGGATGAGTGCTATCACCTGGTTTGCTGCCTGATGAAACCGCAGGCCTATTCCCAACTGACCGAGGATTACTGCCGGATTGAGCCGGTGCCGCGTATTGCCAGCGGTGTGATGACCAACATTCACGAGTTCCCCTGGATGGCCATGTTGCTCTACAGCCATGACGGTAAACATTTCGAGCCCAAGTGCGGTGGATCGCTGATTGACAAAAAGTGGATTGTAACGGCAGCTCACTGTGTGTCCGCGCCAGGCAATGGCCAGGCGCCGCCGCCGCTGCTGCGCGTCCGTTTGGGCGAGTGGGACACCCGATTGAAGTCCAACCGCATCCACGAGTATTCCATCGCGCGAACCATTGTCCATGAGGAGTACTTGCCCAGTGAGCACACGACGGGCAGTGATCTGTACAAGTTCTCCAACGATATTGCCCTGCTGCAGCTTGGCGAAAGCGTCAACTACACCGAGTTCGTCCAGCCCGTCTGCCTGCCCTACCTGCCGACTGGCATTGCCACGCGAATCGATGCCTATGCGAACAATTACCTTACCATTTCCGGCTGGGGCCGCACCAGCGACCAATCCCTGGAGCTCAGCCCCGTGAAGGTCAAGGCTTTGGTAAGTGGCTGGACGATGATTGACTGCAAGAAACACTATGCGGATGTGGGTCCCGGACAGATGTGCGCCGGCGGCAGTCGTCTCTCGGGACAGGCGGCAAGTTGCCAGGGCGATTCCGGGGGTCCGGTCATCGATGACAACCAGCTGGTGGGGATTATTTCGTTGGGGAAGTACCGGTGCGGATCGCTTACTGGACCCATTGTGTTCACCAGGGTGGATCATTATGTGACCTGGCTGGAGAAGACCATCAAAGCGAATGCATAATAAACATGGAAGTATTTTTGTTCCCCCGAAAGGAAGTCAAGTTCAAGTTATTATTCAAATTGTGGCCAAGTTTCGTTTGGTTTTTAGAGTAGTTAAAAAATTTTGTTTGCTGTTGATGAGGAGGATGATGATGATGATGATGATGATGATCTGGCAATGGTTTTCCTTCTGCTAAAGCTTTAATGTCTAGTCGCGCCTGCTGCGCTTGCTTCGGTCCGAGTGGCTGCTTCGCTCGTTGTTTTTCTCCTCGGCTCGCTTCGGCGCCTTCTTGGCCATGTTCAGGAACTGATCCAGACCAAAGGGATCCTCCTCCTTCTCAAACTCGACGGGGCCACTCCTCTGGCTGGTGGCTGCCTCCCGGGAAGCACCCGAGAATTGCTTGTCCGGTACAAAGCGCTTTGTATTTACAATGGCATCCAAGTCGCCGCCATAATTATCGCTATCCGCCTGCTTGCTGGGCCTGTAGATGTGGGCGCCGAGGGTGTTGGAATCGCGCCATGGCTTGTCGTACACATTGTACGCCTCATCGTCCCCGTAGCCCGAGTCCATGCCCTTGGTGGTGTTGAAGAGACGCTGATCGAAGAGAGTTTCCCCATTACCCTGCCCACTCTTGGCCGGCAGACCCAGCGCGATCTGTTCAGAGATGTCGCGCTCCCGCTCCCGCTGCAATTTGGAACGCTTCTCCGGCGCTGCTCGCTGCAGATTACGATCTCGCTGGCGCTCTCTTTGCCTCTCCGCCCTCAAATCGTTGCGTTCACGTGCCTCGGCTCCACCGCCGGCTGCTCCGGAGGAGCCCGAGGGTTCCGCCGCCTCGGGATTGCGCAGACCCGCTCGCTCTTCACGAGCCCGCTGGGCCATCATGCGCAGCATCTCCTCCTTCTTCTCCTTCTCCTTTTGGGCCAGCTTCTTCTCAAGCTGAGCACGGGCCTCCACGGCCTCGCGCGCCTTGCGATCGGCTATGTACAGAGCCTCGGCCATCTTGGCGAACTTCTCGTTGATGTGCACCTGCTGAAGGCCACGTCCGTCGGCCGCCAGGCGCTTGTCCAGCGGAATGGTGTAACCTGTGGGCAGAATTCAAAGAGACACGTCAGGCGAGAACAAGGATTAATGTGTAGTCAATGGTACTCACCTTTGGCGTTCTTCCAGTTTGATATGCAGGGCGGGATCTTCCACTCCTTTTGCTCCTTGACCGTCACCTTGCGCGATGGCGAGTGGAGGACAGGTGCTGGCGGCGACGGCGGTCCGCGCGGTATCTTCTTATTAATCCGGAATTTGGGCGGCTCCATGGGGTCCTGCTGCGCTTCCACCATCCGAATTACACGTTGCTTGGCCCCCGAATTGAAGGCGTCACCCTGCTGCGACGGTGTATACCGGATATACTGGGCGGGTGCAGCCTTTTGGGCATGGCGCACCGGCAGCGCCGAGGTGATTTTCTGGTTGGTCAGCTTTTCCAGGGCCAGGCGTGTCTCCTCGGTGGTTTCCGCCACCGTTTCCTCATCCGGTCGCATTAGCTCCTCGGCATCCTCGGCCAGAACTTCGGCAGGCAGTAGTTGCGAAATGGACGAGTACACAATCTTATCCTTTCCATGACCCTGCCGCGCGATAGCATCGTACTTGATCTTGCCCTTGTCGTCCAGGCGAACGGCCAGCGCATCCGATTTCTTGCCCACATTTCCGGGGGCTCCCAAGCCTGAAATAGAGGGGATAAGTGACGCTTGTAAGACATTCTGCCAGCTTAGCTTGCCAGATGCACAAAAATATATGCTTGTCTGGGGAGAAAGTGCTTCGTAAGGAGGATGAAAGGCGCAGGGCGCCTGCTTACCCAACGGATACTGCGCCACATGAATCTCTGGAAAGGCGCCGCCGTCGCCAAAATCAGCCTCCGTCCGGGGTATCCAATCCTTGCGTTGTCCATAAGGCGGAGCTGCTATTTTGGCGGAGACCAGGGCTCCGATTTTGGGTGCTCCACGGGCGGCCAAGCGACGCTCGTCCTCGCGATCCCATACCGCATTTGTCGGCGTGGGCAGCAGGCTCGACAGCGACATTTCTCTTTTGTGGATTTATTGCCTCGATTTCCTTGTTAAATAAGCGTTTTGCGTGGTTTCTAAGCACTAAAAAAAAATACAATGGAAATTTGTGGAAAAAAACACGCACACTAGAGCTGCGAAAACAACGATATTTTCCTATCGACGATATATCGATTTTTTGTCACATCGGAAGGGAAGGGCGCTGCCAACTTGGTATTTTCCCTCCTAAATATATTTGGTTAAAATTTTCAGTTATAAATATTTATTATTATTTAATTTATTTCAAAAGAAGAGTTAGGCAAATCTCCATAATTTAGAATTATATTACGATTAATTCGTTTAGAGTATTTCGCTATATCGATACCAATCTGGGTATTTTTCCCGCTAGAAAATACAGTTGCCAGCAGTGCCAATCGATACCAATCTGGGTATTTTTCCCGCTAGAAAATACCAGCTGATAATACAGTCATCCAGCCGCCAGCAGTGCCATCCCTGGCAGCGAAGACAACAAAATTAAAGTTTGTTATTTGGCAAAATTAACAATGTACACATTGCTGCACGGCTTCTACAAATACATGACACAGAAGGATGACTACTGCGTTGTGATCCTGGGCCTGGACAATGCGGGCAAAACGGTACTTGTCCACAAAAAACTATACAATTGCAAAACACGTCCTCAAAACCGTTCGTTCTACTTCCCCCGATCTCAACCCAACTCAACCTGACTGACTGTGCTGCCTACGTAGACCTACCTGGAGGCCGCCAAGACCAAGTTTACGCGGAACTACAAGGGCCTGAATCCCAGCAAGATCACCACAACGGTCGGCCTCAACATCGGCACCATCGATGTGCAGGGCGTGCGGTTAAATTTCTGGGATTTGGGCGGCCAGCAGGAACTGCAGTCGCTGTGGGACAAGTATTACCAGGAGTCGCATGGCGTCATCTACGTGATAGACTCTAATGATCGCAAGCGTATGGAGGAGTCCAAGATTATCTTTGGTAAGAATATCCTACTACTATATTTCAACACATTTCGTGACAATATATATTTCCAGACAAAATGATCAAAAACGAACTGCTCTCCGGCGTGCCTTTACTCATTTTGGCCAACAAACAGGACTTGCCGGATGTGATGGGTGTGCGCGAGATCAAGCCAGTGTTCCAGCAGGCGGGCGTCCTGATCGGCCGTCGCGATTGCCTAACCATTCCAGTGTCCGCCCTCCACTGTGAGGGCGTTGACGAGGGCATCAAGTGGCTGGTGGAGGCTATAAAGCGGCATGCGGTGGTAAGGCCACCGCGGGAAAACGATTAATCGCCCGGCAGAAAATCGTGCGGGGGATGGGCTTTAACTAGAATTGTATTTTTGTACCTTTTAAGGCTTTAGGACTACGCTTATATTTGTGTAATTAGATGGGGCGAGTTTTGTGAGATACTACTAATAATTATATGCTGTTATAAATGCGGAAGATTGCCTTGCCCACTTTATCTAGCCAAAGGGCCTTGTAACTGGGTTTCTTAACTAGGTTCTTTCGTATTTTTCAGATTTACAAAGCATTTTTGGCTTGACAGAAGGTTTTGACTGGTTTTGAAATCTTAAAACTTAATGTTACTTGGCATTTTGACTTTCGAATTAGTCACTCTTTACAATCGGAGCGAAAATATCAAGGAAATTCCTTCAGTGGTCAAAGCTTATTTCGAACTGCGCCTATTATTGTGAAAGCGCGGTAGCTCCGTCCCTCCATTAAGTTCCAGCTTTATCTAACAGCGCTCGCGCTACCTCGATGGCGGTTGTCAATGACGCTTCTGCTTATCCGTAAAATAAAAAAAGAAACGACCAGCCTGGATTGCTGCTGGCTTTCTGTGGAGTGTGCGTGTGTTGGTTCTCACGACGGCGGTGCCATTATCAGGCAATAGATAACTGTGTTGTGTGTAGTTTTACTGTGCCACCAAAGACACCAATAACAACAACAAGAACAACGGGAGCAGCAGTACCACCACCAACACCCCGGTGGGTGAGTTGCACCGCATCGGAATCGTCAGTCTTCCGCAGGAGTTTCCACCGCTCAGAGGGCATAAGTGATCGGCTAGGAGAGTCGGAAAAGCAGAGCGCTCGTTACCTGTTACCTGTTACCTGTTAGTGTACATTAGATAACGCATACTATATACATACATACATATATGGAGCAGCAACGCGTTTCGTGCTTATCGCTGCCATTTCACTCGGTTTAGTTTTGTTCCAAGTGCCGTCGTCTGTTTGCTGTGACAAATCCCCCCTCAGAAATCATGTATCCGTACTACGAGCAGGACTGGAGCGTTCTGCCGCCGGAGAACAATCGCAGGTGAGATGAGATTCCCATCCGGAACGGATTGGGTTTCCCCAGACCCCATAAAGACACATCATGTAGTTCTTTTTAAAAATGTGTTTTAAAAAAATGACGTTATCGCGGCGCAGTGTGACCGCGTTTTATCGGTTTTCCTGTGATTATTTTTAAGAGTTTCCGTGGTGTGGCAGAAAAGAAAAACGTTGAATCACGACTGTTTCAAAATCTTATTTAATTATTATTTTAACCTCAGTCCATTGTGGCTAAAAAACTGCATTGTTTGTTTACAACAATAAACTGATCAGCGATAAGCTGCGTCCACCAACGCAGTTATCGATTTTAGTTATCATTAATATTGGCGAAACTTTCAATTATTACTATTAATAATATTAGTTAATTTCATTATACAAATAATTTTTTCAATATATAATAACATATTCAATATTTTGTGTTAAAATTCCCAAAAATACCAAAAATAAACTTTATAAAATAGTTTAAATTTTATAACCCAACAAGTGCCAGAGACAAAGCCCATACATATTTTTTTCCAGTGTTGTTCCAGTGATATTTGCGTAGATAAGAAGACATTTAATTTAATTTAAAGAAAATGCATCTTTAGAACAAAATCAATTAAAACAAAAATTGGTTAAATTTCCCAATAAGAACTTACGGCCAATTGGCATATTTTTGACGTCCCACTGTATGTCACAAGCACTAGTGCGTTTTCCCGCCACGCGTTAGTACATTTCTGCTGCTGCTTGTAAATATCGGCCTCTCGCTCGCACCCACTACCACTGTTGCGCTCATCATCAACATATTCTCCACGAACATTTTTTTTTACTTGTTACGTTGATTTTGTGGCATTAAATCGGAAAAATAACGATAACCCGCGGCCGTGCGAACATGTGCTAAGCGTAATTGCAGTGGTAGAATAACAAATAAACCAACATTCCAGCCGAAAAAAGCAAACGTGTGCGTGTGCGGTGTGTGTTGAAATTTTTTGTCGCGTTGTAAAATTTTTTGCATTGGTAGCGGACGCAGAAGCGTTCGCAAAGGGCAGGTGGTTATAATTTAGTGCTAATGAATAACTGAAAAGCAGTGAGCCACAAAAGGGTTTGTGCCAGCATTTTCAGTGGCTTTTCTTCTTGGCCAAAAAGGAGCATTCGCTAGGCGTATGTGTGCCTGTGCCCGCTGCAACTGTGTGTGTGCGTGTGTTTGCCATCCAGTGAATCGCATAAATTAGCAGGCGAAAAATCACATTGAAAACAAACGAGGAAAGAGCATTGAAAAACACATTAACCCTACGTGTTAACTATACTATATAATATATGTGGTTGGTGACGTTTTTTGTGATTTCTTTTATTAGTGCACAATCGATATATTGTCTATCGATGACGGCAGCTGTTTTTGGCTTTTACCGAAAAAAAAAAACAAGAAAACTAGAACGTTAAAGCACCACGAAATTTTGGTAAACAAGTTGTAATTCAAATAACTGTAAAAACCCAATTGGATTTCCATTTGTTTCTGCTATTGTATTACCTGTGCGTGGGTGGGCGCGACTGTGGCATTAATTATTTAATCAATTCACATTGTGCTCACAGATTTGTGAGGGCTTTGTTTTTTTTTTTATTTAACCAGAGATCATGTGTATATTTGTATAACAGCACACGCATGCACACACACGCACGCACTCGCATTGAGATGTCAAGTTTTTGTAGCTCAGTTTCATAACAACAGCGATCAGCGGCAATTGTTACTTGGCTGCTCTTATTTATCTATTAAACCTTTTAATACATTTTCACATTGCATTTTAGTAAGTGAGCAGAGCGCGAGAGCGAGCGAGAGTGCAACAAAATAGCGGCCGGCTGGTGTGTCCGTGTGCGTGGGAGTGAGGGAGTGTGTGTTTTTGCATGTCCGTGCGTGTGTGTGTGTGAAAGATCTACAAAGAAAAAACAACCGTTAGTTCGTTTGGCGGTCTTGTGTCGCCGCGCCGACCAACAACAAAAATAAAATACGAAAAGCGCGTAGGCCGGAAAACCGAATACAAGAAAAAACTGCAAAAGCAGCCAAACAAAGTGAATAAGCAGCGGAAGAGCGGAGCAGCAGAAAAGCTGATTCAACGTTTCTCGCCTCCACAATGAACTCCGAGCATGGGTAGGCCGCCAACTCCTTCTCCCTTACAGAGCCCCCCTGATCCGTCCAAAGTTTCCATCGTTATCCCCTACAATCTACTGATTACTTTTCTTTCTCTACAGATTCAATCCTGCCTTCAATATGGCCACCATACGGCAAGCTTTCACAGAGGCGGTGGAAAGAGGTAAGCAGAGTGTCGCAGGATACACAAGTGGGGAATATAAGCCGGAGTCGATTGTCAGTCAGAGATATCTTAAAGAGATCGTAAGCAATAAATACCTGTACGGATTGCAGTGGAAGGGAAGGGTGAGAGTAGAAAGAAACCATTGTAGATAGTTCTTAAATGCACTTTAAAACTGTGTAAATCTTCGAGTCCTGACTGAAGCCTCGCTAAATCTATAAAATGGATACAGAAAGAAGTTCTTAGTAAACCAAAATTGTAAATCCCACGTCTCTACAGTCAGAATGCCAACGCCTACACGCCTGCGCGATCTCATCCGGCAGATACGCGCCGCGAGAACTGCTGCCGAGGAACGGGCGGTGGTCAACAAAGAGTGCGCCTACATACGGAGCACGTTCCGCGAGGAGGACTCTGTCTGGCGGTGAGTCATGTCCCTCCGCCCCAAACGCCATATTTAATCACAATCTAATTGCTCATGTTCCTCCGGTTCCTACCTGCTTGCACAGCTGTCGCAACATTGCCAAGCTGCTTTACATACACATGCTCGGTTATCCGGCTCACTTTGGCCAACTGGAGTGCCTTAAGCTGACGGCCAGCACGCGTTTCACAGACAAACGTATCGGCTATTTGGGGGCCATGCTGCTGTTGGACGAGCGGCAGGATGTCCATTTACTCATCACCAACTGTTTGAAGAAGTGAGTGAAGAAAAGTGGCTCGATATAAGTATTTTCCCTAACTAAACCCACTGATTTACTTCCATAAATCTTGCAGCGACTTGAACAGTTCGACACAGTTCGTTGTGGGCCTGGCTCTGTGCACTTTGGGTGCGATTGCCTCGCCGGAGATGGCCCGGGATCTGGCCAGCGAGGTGGAGCGTCTGATGAAGTCACCGAACACGTATATCCGCAAGAAGGCGACGCTGTGTGCCTTCCGTGTTATCCGTCGAGTGCCGGAGCTAATGGAGATCTTTCTGCCAGCCACGCGATCCCTGCTCAGCGAGAAGAATCATGGTGAGCTGAGGAATCTTAACTCTAACTTAGCTAAACTTCAACTGATGGAAACCCGTCTCACCCTTGCAGGCATTTTGATAACTGGCGTCACGCTGATCACGGAGATGTGCGAGAACAGCTCGGACACACTGTTGCATTTCAAGAAGGTAAGTGTTGACGTGGCCAGCGAGTGGTCTCCATGGAATGAGTCCTTGCGCAGTGGCCAACTACTTCAGCTGCCACTGGCATCGCTCCTGCTCCTGCTCCTGCTGCATTTGGTTTTTTCTCTCTTCCCATTTTTGTGGCTAAAAACGCCCCCAAACGGCGGGTTCAAGATTTTTGTGTAAAATTATCTCGCGCCCATAATTTAGACGTAGAATATACCCAGCTATATATCCATTGACATTCAAATGCGTAAATTTATAGCGTTTACTTTGACAATTTAGACACACACACACACACACCCTCCTCTGTTTTTCGTTTTGATCAACCTGTATACTTACGATTTTTTAACGCTTGTTTGTTTTTTTGATCGAATTCGAAATACCGCGCAAAATGAACACAAAATGAAATTTGTTGTAATTTGCTTGCCAGGATAGCGGAAATCGAGAGGTATGATTGTTGTGCCTTAAACTATATAGTAAAAACAAACCTGTAACGCCTTCTACCTACCCCGCACACTATATATACTTGTATATTTATATATAAATATGTTAAAAGTATCATTTCGCATTGAGTTTCTACTGCCTATGTTGTTGCCTATGTATATGTCTCAATGCAGGCAAATTTATAAATTATAAATTTGAATATTATTTTGTAAATTGCTAAAAAAAGGCACTTACTACTAGCAAGTGCATATATCAAAGCCTTTGGGTCCCGCTTTTCGCAATAAATTAATCTAATGTTTATCCAACAATTTTGTGATCCATTAAGCATACATATAGCACAGACATATACATAAAAATCTGCGAAAATTCATGTTTTTCCTATAGCAAATTGAAATTTTTTGGTAGGTTTAGAGTCTCTTCTTACACGGACAACCACCTGTACAAATGTTTTTGGTATATGGCCCTGTCTCTTGAGGCTTTGAGAAGGGCCTGTAGTTACTCTATACGTTTCATTTGCACTTATCAAGTTCTTCAAGTTCCTTCAAGTCTTTTGTCTTTCACAAAAAACACACACTAAATTACACAACACACGATGCACACACCTGTTTTACGCTCTCTCACAAAACACACAATTTTCCGCATTTTTCCCGCCTAAATAATTGCATTTCTTGGTGATCATGTTTGTAATAAAGTTTGTCTGAAATAATAACTCTTTAGATTGTGCCGAACCTCGTGCGCATATTGAAGAACCTGATTCTGGGCGGCTATTCACCGGAGCATGACGTTAGCGGGGTGAGCGATCCCTTCCTGCAGGTAAAGATACTGCGACTACTCCGTATACTGGGCCATAACGATCCGGATGCCTCTGAGGCAATGAACGATATCCTGGCACAAGTGGCCACCAACACGGAGACGAGTAAGAACGTGGGCAATACGATCCTCTATGAGACAGTGCTCTCCATCATGGACATTCGGTAAGATTATTGATATTATTATATATGTTATTTATTTAAAAATAGAACTTACTCTAAAAATTAACAAAGTATACAAGTGTTAACGGCTTTTTCTCTATCTTCCCCCAGCTCGGAGGGTGGATTGCGCGTTCTGGCCGTAAACATTTTGGGGCGTTTCCTGCTCAATTCGGACAAGAACATCCGTTATGTGGCATTGAACACACTGCTGCGGACAGTGCATGCGGACACGTCGGCGGTGCAGAGGCATCGCACTACCATTTTGGAGTGCCTGAAGGATCCGGATGTGTCCATTCGCCGCCGGGCCATGGAGCTGTCGTTTGCATTGATCAATGCACAAAATATACGTACAATGACCAAGGAGCTCCTGCTGTTCCTCGAAAAGGCCGATGCCGAGTTTAAAGCGCAATGCAGCTCGGGCATGATCCTGGCCGCCGAACGGTATTCGCCGAACACACGCTGGCATCTGGATACGCAGCTGAGCGTGCTTATTGCGGCCGGTAACTATGTGCGCGATGACGTCGTCTCCTCCACCATCCAGCTGGTGTCCAGCAGTCCCGTCCCGGAGCAGACGTATATCACGAATCGATTTTGGGAGTCGCTGCAGGTGAGCAATCACTGCGAGGACAAACAGCCGCTACTGCAGGTTGCCGTCTGGGCCATAGGCGAGTACGGCGATCTTTTTATGTACGGCGCCAATGAGGATGGTAAGTGATTAGCATTTATTTTCCATATATTATTTATAAATATTTTTTTTGCAGAGTTTGAACGGCCCACGGAGAGCGATCTGATCGCTGTGTATCATAAGTTTTTAACCTCTGCTCAAGTCTCGACCACAAGCAAGCAATACGCTCTGGTCTCTTTAGCCAAGCTAAGCACGCGTCTGCAGCAGTGCGTGGAGTAAGTAAACAAATTATATTGTATATATATTCCACACATTTTCAGTGTATCATATCAAAAATATTTTAAAATTTGATAAATCGAATCATCAAAAAATATCATAAATATCGTACTTATCTAAATCTTTGCTCATTTCCTTATCGATTTTTATAGGGAAATTCAGGCACTGATCACATCGTTCGGCAGCCATTTGAATGTGGACCTGCAGCAGCGCGGCGTGGAGTTTACGCAGCTCTTTGGACACTATAAGCACCTGCGACCGCCGCTACTGGAGAAGATGCCGGCGATGCAGATAAGCAGGATTAGCTCGCAGAATGGCGAAAGCGGCGGCTCCTTCGACGACAACAGTCCCGATGTTATCGAAAATGGCGTAGAGGGAGCAGGCAATGGCGGTGGCGGACACTCACTTATCGAAAGCAATATGAACACTCTGGGTGACAATACGGTGGGTTCAGTCTCTCTTTTGGTCTCAACTCCAAGTTACAACTAATTATAATCTTTATTTTTGGTTTCAAGAACATTTTGCTAGATCTGCTGGGCAGCACGGATCTGTCGGCGGGCGGTGGCGGTGACTTGGTGGCGGCCACGGATCTATCGAATTCCGTTCATAAAAAGAACTCGCGCAATGCCAATGATGGTGGGGCGACGTCGGCTCCCGTTTCCCATAACCAGGATCTGTTGGATCTGCTTGATTTGGACATGTCGTCGACGACGAACGCGGCAGGACCACCAACAGGTGTTGGAGGCGGCGGTGGTGGTATCCTGGCCTTGGCCATTGGTGATAACAACCAGACTAGTGCGGCGTCGGCCAACATGAACAACATTTTGGGTGGCCTGGATCTGAGTGGATTTGGATCCGGTCTTGTGGATGGTTCGGCGGCCAGTATACCAACAAATGGCAACGATCTCGCCAGCATGCTTGGCGGCCTGAGCGGAGTGTCATCGACATCGGCACCCCTAGCTAGTGCTGCCGCCGGTAACCTTATCGATGGAGGTAACCTGCTGGCCGATCTAAATCCCACGGCTGCCTCTAACAATGCCGCTCTAGTGGTAGGTGGACACCTTAAGCCGTAGTTTGGGAATTGCAAATGATAAAAAAAACCTATATTTTTGCAGCCTCCGAGGGGTCCCAAGCTAACGGCGCTGGACAAAGACGGGCTGCTGGTGCAGCTGGAACCGGTATGGGGCCCGGACTGTATGCGCATCTATGTGACAACCACGAATAGCTCAGATAATACCCTGGATCAGTACGTGCTGAAGGTGAGAGCCCTGACTCGGCTAGGTTTTGTATGATTTAAAGAATTTACTTTTTCCTCCACAGGCGGCTGTACAGAAGAGTTTTCAGCTGCAGTTGGTTACCCCATCCGGCTCACTGCTGCCACCAGGTGGCGTTATTACTCAGGAGATGCGCGTTGTGGCCTCGTCGAATGTAAGTCTTTTGGTATATATTAATATTAAATCGAAAATACTATATGAATAATGTATTTTTTTTTTATTCTTAGGCGACTCTACGCATGCGACTGCGCATCCAGTACTTGCTCGATGGCAAGCAGCAGGTGGAGCAAACAGAAGTTAGCGGCTTCCCAGATCAGGTGCCGGAGTAGGGGAACTTTCAACTGTATTAAAACAAAAATCCAGATTAGCCTAATATATAATGCAAAATTCAACACAACAGCAGGCAGCAGTAACACTAACAAACACACACACACACACACAGACTGTGGTTGTCACACATTTATTGTAAAATAAGTTAACACTCACATACAGAGAGACAGCGACACGGACACCCACAGCCACACCCACGCCCACACCCACACCCACACCCACAACAAGGTCTAAAAAACAATTGTCGAGACTGTTTTTTAAGCGGGAAAAAATCAGTAGAAACAGCAGAAATCAGTTAACTTATATATATTTTTTGTTTCTAATTTATTTTTCTATATATACATAAACACACACACACTATACTTGTCAAATCGAAATTGTTTTTATTGAATTAATTTTCGTTAAATTCCCTAAATTGAGTGTGTTTTTCGTAAACTCTTGTGTGTAAAAGACAACGTTCAATTTTAATTTAAGACAATAAAAGTCATACCTATCCCATAACTATTCTATAAACTTAACACCAAAACAAGAGAAAAGTAACGCAAAACCGATTGTGAAGTTATGTTGGCAAAGCATTTAAAAGCAGAGAAGAAAAAGCGTAGCATTTTAAAAATGGAGTCAAGGAAACGAATGAATGCCATTTCAATCAGTTGATTTTTGTTATTTCTATATATGTGTAATTCGATATTCCTCAATCTGAATCTGTTCTCTCTTTATTTACCCCGCAATATAAGCATTCATATTATATATATATATATATTCTGATATATATTATGTATTGTTATTTCCTGTGTGCGCACGTACTTAAAGCAGAGAGAAGAATCAGGCAGCAGCAACCACAGAGAAAGTCTAAAGAGGGAAAAGGAATGCATAAGCCAGCAGATAGCGCACTGTGGAAAACTAGATAATATCTATTGATAAATATAATTATAACGAAGGAGCAGGACGAAGCAGCAGCTTAGAACTATATATGTAACTGATTAGTTGCTGTCGCAGAGGACGGTGGCGATTACGATGTTGATGATCGCGAGAAGCAAAGAAAATCCATTAACTATTATTATTATTATTATGATTATAAATGAATTACAAGCAGCTGTATTGGACAAGAAAGAAAGGGAGAAAGGTAGAAAGGGAGAAAGAGAGATAGATAGATAGATAGAGAGAGCGAGAGAGAGAGGGGGAGGAAGGGAGGGCGAAGGAGAAGTAATAACATTAACATATTGTACAATATATAATTATTATTTTTGTATTATTATCATTTCCTTTTATATCTTATACTTGTATTCCACAAACCTTTTGAGCCGAAATAAACAAACGATTTCGTTTTATCGAAGGACAAAACCCAAGAATTATTTTTATAGATCGGGGAGCTTTGGATATATTTGTATCCGGTTTGAATTTGTTTTGTTGTTGTTTCAAGGTAAGAACTCTGAAAACAAAACGAATATGGTCTGGATATACAAATGATTTAGATCGAGTATTATAGTTTATTAAATCACTTCTAATTGTTATTGTTACTATATAAACTTTATTTTAAAATGCAAAATAAATGTTCAAGAAAATGTAACTAACCAAATGCTGCTAGCAACATGTTGTGCAACATTCATCCACAGCTTTAGCCCGCCCAAGTAGGCTACAAAAATAAATGCCGCAATGCCAAATGCCGAATATATAATGCCCGAAAGCCATCTCTCTGCCTCGTAAACGCAGAATGTATCGATGCACGTGACAGATTCAAATCACAGAGCTGACAGGCCATTCAGCTTTCGTTGTTTGTTCTCTTCTCCGAACTCCCTGCCATCCTGCCCTGCAATCGTAATCCTAATCCCCGGCGAATCTCTGCAAACAAGTGTAGGCGAATAATGGAAATCATCATGGGATAATGCTCGGAATCAAGATGTCTCAAGGCTGTCAGCTGTGCCGCCAGCTTTGCTAGCTTCTGGCTCCCTTCTCCCCCTCGGTTTTCGTCCTTGCAGCTCACACAGATGTGAGTTTAGCATTTTTTCAACTGTGTATAAACTCTCTATGCTTTTGTTTTTATATGACAGTTAAATAAAATATATGAAATTTGTTATTAAATCACAATTTAGTGTATATATTTTAGTTTTTTTTTTGTGTTTTTCATATTTTTATATTTAACATATAAACATAGATAAATTCAGTCCCTTAATATTTTCCCGCTAATTTATTCCTTTGGCATCAATGTTGCAGATGTCGCTTATTGTTGTTGTTTTTGTTGCCCCTTTCTTGTCTTTTACTGCTTTCCTTGTCTGTCGCTCTCGCGCGATGCTCCTTTGGGTGTTGCTCTCTTCAACTGACGCACTCTCTTGACGTATTGTAACCTTTGGTAAGGTTAAATGTGAGCTGCGGAACCCGCGAATTGTGCCACGCCAAAAAAGAGAGTGGGTCTGTGGGCAGAATAGAGGGCTGACAGTGAGGAGGGGGGCGAGGAGGATGCAGAGGCGCCGACGCATTGGCAGGATGTGGGATATAAGAATATAGCCGTTGTGGACATGGATACGCGGCTCTTCCTCTTATCCCTTGCATCCAACTCGAACTCCGACATGTTGCCTTCGCTTGTTTTTCCTCTCCCTCACTGTCTCCTCGGACTCCCCATTCGCCCCCCCCCTCGCACTACCACTCTCACTTCAAACTCCCACGTGGGGTGTGCTTCAGCTATAAACAGCATAGGCATCTGTGTGCGTGTGTGCAAGAGTATATCGATGCCGTTGCTTCCCTATCAAAATCAAACGGATTCAGCATCTCCATCAGTATCTGTATTAGTATCAGTATTAGTATTAGTGTTGGTATCAGTTCCAGCATCAGCTCTGCTTTAGCCTCTGCCTCGCTGCTGCCGCTGCTGTGGCTGAAGCAGAGGATTCTGTGTAGTGCAAGTACAGTGAAGCTTGTTATACATTTTCCAAACTTTCTTGAATTTTCACAATCTTAAAACGATTTTCCCAAGTGAAGTTATTCAGCTCTAATATTTTACAAATTCAATTTTCAGTTATACAAAGGGACGCTCCACTGTATCTCCCTTGTGTATGTGTGCTCTCAAAGGGGGAGAATCTGGGACTGGGACTGCCTGTCGCTGCAATGATTGAGATTAGTTTCCATTTCTTAATTGAAAAGTTGCTCTAATCTTTTAATATTTGTGGAAATTTGCCACAGAAATTTATCAATTTTCCGGCCCCAGCCTTGGCCGCCTTTTGCCGCCCCCACTTTTCCGCCCGCTCCCCTGAACTAGAGTTGCTTTCTTGAACACAAATCGCCCTTCGGGCAGCTGCCATTACACTGAACAAAATAATTGGGGACTTTGCTTCCCTACGGAATACGAAACCAATTAGCGGATAGAAAAGTTTTAAATATCCTGTTGGGCCATAATGTATGTTGTAGAAAGTACATAATTATGGTAATAATAATATAATGAGGTCATTTCGCGCATTATGTGTGTATTTTACCTTTTAACTTAATTGCCACCTGAAGCTTAGTTTGTTTAAACAAAAATTTTTAATGACTGATGTCCTTCTTTCATAATTTTAAATAATTATGACAACTTTTAGATTTAGGCAGGTAAATTAAATGGAACCCTGGCAGTGATTTGCAGTACTTTTTTATTTGTATTGATTTTATTTTTTATTTAATAAACAATGCTTTTTTGCAGCTATCTTACTTTTTATTAAGAAAAATTGGAAATGAATAAATAATTAGTTTCAACCGACTTTCAGGTTTGCCTTTCAGTGTATTGTTGTTGCTGGCATCTGCTATTGTTGTATTATTCCCTTGGCCAATCTCCTCCAAACCCGGGCACTTGTGGGAGGAAAGGAAAAAAAGTAATTTTGTGCAACGATGCGACGACCCTTGGCCAAAAACAAAAAAAAGACAACATAGAGGAAAAAAAAAATAACAACATAGAAAACACAGAAAAAGGCAAAACAACAAGGGCAACGGCAACAGCGGGAACAAGAACAAAATTGTAATGAGAAACCTTTTATGGCACAAACACATGCTCGCTTTTCCTACCCAACGCCTCCCCCTCTCTCCCAGCCACTTTCCACCCCCCCATCCATCCCGCCAAAGCAAAGTTATCTCTTTTGCTCTCTCTTCTCGTTTGCCTTTTAGTCGTAGTCTAATTTTATTTGGTTGCTTTGCTGCTTCATCTGCCACTTCTTCTTCAACATCTTCCACTTTCTTCTTTTGTCTACTTAGAATTAATAATTTTTGTTGTTGTTACTCATTTTTTTTTATCATCTCCATTTCCTTCTTCATGTTGTAATACAATACATATGCTTGTAGGTACTCTATATATTTGCTTTTGTTTTCTCAACTTTTTTCCTTTATTTGTTGTTTGCTTTTCTTTGTTTGATAATTTATATTACAAAACGAAAGTCAAAAAGGTTGGCTAAGTTGGTGCAAGGGTTAAGATGAGAGCGAATGGGGAAGAATAGGGGTTAAGGGGCGACCACTTGGAGAATCACAGGTGCGAATAGGTCTTGGATAGATCTCAAATTATAACCCTAAAATATTTAGATTTTTGAGTTTTTAGTAATTTTATTTTTTAATGAGACTTTGTAAATATTACTAAAATTTCTCATACATTTTGCGACAAGTGTTAAACAACAACATTTCTTTAGAAATTTAAATTGAACAACAAATGATATTTTGAAGTTAATCCCAGAAGGGTTTGGCATTGGGGTTAGAGGTAAAGAGAGGTTTCTTTTTTGGCAAATGATTTGATTTGACAGGTGTGCCCCTCTCTCCCACGCCCCTTGGGCCTCGACCCACCTCTCATTTATTGAGCGGGAGAGCGCGCTCATTTCTTTTGTGTGCTTATTCGCTGTACTTGTGTGTGTGTGTGTGTGTGACTGGGTGTGGGTGTGGGTGTGGGCGTGTCCATTGGGAGCATTGGAGCATCTTTATCGAAATAACATTGTAATTGCTTTTTGATAAATGAAGCACGCGCTGCACAACTGACAGCCAAACAACAAAAACGACTAAAACAACACACAGAGGGACAGAGGCAAAGAGAGCGAGAAGTAGATTCGAATCCGAGTTACCCTCTCTCCTTACGCGGGCTGCCTACCTCAAATCCAATTGAAGCGGTGTTCCCATTGGGATAACGGATTCCAGCTGGAGTTAGGGAACAAAGTTGATTTCAAGTGGATTCTGAGTGGAAAAATGTCCAGCATGAAGTACACTGCGACTTAAATGAACTACTACAATTAAAATTAAGAATTAATTGTTAACATAATTCATTTTATTTGAAAAGTAGAATCCAAAAATGAAAAGAGGAGATGATCTTAGCATTTAGTTTTATATTTAATTTGATTCATTTTCCTTGAAAATAAATAAAATTGGTAATTCTATCTGTTATTTCATTTTCATAATAATCCATAATATTCAATTTCCTTTGTTTATTATGATTATAATTTATTTTAGTTTATTTTTATTGTATTTGTATAAATGTCTTAGCTTATCAGGAAGAAGTTTATTAGCGTACCGATTTTACTTGAAAAATGGTTAAGTTTTACTAAGTTCAAAATGTTGTTTTGTTGTTTGTTTGATTTTCTGATCAATTAACATTTGTATTTGGTTATACAATACATACACCTAATTTATACTATATTTTTTTTTTACATTTATCTCTTTGGAAAACATTCAGAAGTAAGTTTGGTATACAAAAAATAGGCAAATGTACATTTGAAAGGAATCAAGATTTATCAACATCAGTCCACGCTTAGTTGTATATTCCCTTAAGAATATATATATTCTATGCATTCTATATGTTTGTATATATTTGGAAGATTTTTGTTTTTGGTTCGTTCACATTTAAGAATTGGGAAAATTTCACTAATTATTTGAAAGAAGGATTTATTCTCATTCGAGAAGAATGTTAAATGTTAATGCCGAATACTGAGTAAAAATTTGATATTATTTATGTAATATAATTATAATTATATACGGTTTTCACATCCTAGGGCGCATTTACCATAATTGTCGAAGACGTTTTATTGGGCAAACAATCGGACATGCCGCTGCTGTCGTCCCTAATGGGTATTATTGGGGTTATAAAAGCAGAGAATCGCTCGGACGTGGACGTCTCACTCAAGTGATGCAGCCAGTCCAAACCGCCCCCCCTTTTCCCCATGCCAATCCCAAATCCAAATCCCCCGAACCTAATATCTTCCGTTTGGGGGAGGAGAGGGGCACGCACTCTGCGAAGACAATTTAAAATGTTGAAAAATGCTCAGCTAATTGGCAGTTGACAGCGTCGAGAGCCTGGGATTGGCTTGCCCCACAAAAAAAACAACACAGCTACAAGCACACTGGCGCACAGGGGTTAAGATGGACCAAAGGGAGGCAGGGGAGGGGCGGCGGTGAGCTGTAGGGGCATATAAATTTAATTTGGTTTATAAAAAGTGCTTGAGAACGTGGAGTGGGGGGGCCACAAGGCTGAAGAGGCCGAGAGACGAACGGAAAAAGGGGGCTGCAGCCGGGTTAAGGCGGCCTAATGGCAGCCAAGTGGCCGCCCAAAAGTCAACCCCCTTTGCTTATCCATAAAGAAAAAAATAACAAAACAAATTAAAAAATACAAAACCCAGGAAATTAGAAAAAAAAAGAGAAAATCAATTTTTGAAAAAATTCAAAATGTGAACTTTGGAAACAGAAACTTGGAATACCCTTTTAAAGTTACATACTTTTCTGCACCCCAAGTATCCTCTATTCATCCTCGGTTTATGACTGCCCAATTACATATCGGTTTTAGCTAATCACTTTAGAAGTTCTTCTCAAGACATTCCTTAAAAAATACCTAAGTTCCTATGCCTCAATATAATATCCAATTTTGATTAAACTTAAAGGCTTTCATTCTTAAACTTTTATTTTTAAACCTATTAAAACGTGTGGTTCCTATACCCTTTATACACCCAAAACAAACTATTTTATACTTGTAATGTTACAAATAAAAAAACAGAAAGGAAGTTAAAAGATCAGAAAGCCAAAGTTTGTATACCCTTGCCGTGTAAATGCATACATTATAAAAAATAAATATTAATTTTACCTGGTTCCTATGGCAGCTTTTTATTTATTCGATTCTTGAAAATGAAAACTGTAATTTAAGTGTAAGACAATCCTACATTTATAATATCAACAGTAAAAAAAAGACTATTTATTTAGTTTCATTCAGATATTTATAGTTCTGGCGACTAGTTTTCATAGTAATGGAATGACAGCCAAGGCTAGATCGAATAGGCTATTGATGCTTATCAAAAATATACTTCATACCTTATGGCAAACTTTTGGCTAAAATTAGAATACCCTTGGAAAAGGTATTAAAAGAGCAAACAAACTGAAATCGAAAGGCTATATCCTATTGATAATATGCTCATCGAAAGGGTATATAGTACATAAGGAAGTAAGAAACGGACAACTTTTTAAGGAGCTAAAAAAAGAGAATAAGAGGGAAGTTCTTGGGGTTTGGAGTTTTCAACCAAAAAGCAAGAGTCGCGGGGAGAAAGGAAAAGTTTAATCGGAAATTCTTTGGAGAATACTTTTCCTGGCTTTTCATCCTCCCCTCTTCCCGCCCGGCCAAGGAATTTCTTTTTTTTTTGTTCCATTTCATCTATTCAAAGAAGTTTCTCATAATCGACACGACGCAATCTCATCCCCAATCAACCCCTGCCGGCAACCGAGCCCTCCTCGCCGCTTTGTCTTGACTGCATTTGCATATCCCAACTCTAATTTATATGATAATGGAGGAGAACAGGGAAAGCAGGGGGAAGCCCCCAAAAATCGATGACTTAGTTTTTCTTTTTTCTGTTTTTTTGATAATCAAACCCAAGCACAAGTATGATATTCCCATGCCAACACCCGTAACAAATAAAAGTAGCCAAAAAAGGGAGGAATGAGCTGCAATAACAAATCAAATTATATTTACATAATAATCAAATCAAGGATATAAATGTTGAAAGGGTTCGCGCTCCACTTCCACTTCCAGACTTCTGGGCTTATTCATAAACAGGAGTTCATATCCTAAAATGTGTTTCTTAAAGGAAATAAGGATAAAGAAATATGCGAGTAACGAAATTGGATATCCCTATTAAGACTACTAACTAAAATTAACTTATGATGGTCATATTATTTATATGGCAATGGTTACCGGAGTCTAGATCAGTGAGGCTGTAGACTCTAGAGTTTGTAAAGAAAAGAGCTGTGTGTTTTTGTTTGTTTTGTTATAAGGGAACTAGAAACGATTTTATTCTGATATCTTTTTGGAAGTTTACTAATTAATAACTACAACCATTGGAGTAGACACATTCTTGAATGCAATTTAAAATATATATTTAAATATTAAAGGAGCAACACTCCACTAGCTAACATTGGAGTTTGTTCTTTCCCCGCGTGGAACACATCTCTCGTCTTCTTTAAATCATAATTTAACAAAACAATTGCTTATATAAAATAAGAAAAAAAAAAGAAATTCGAATAAGTAAAACTTGTATCGTTTAATATTACATATAAATAAATTAATGGCTAAAATATTTACAGGCTTTTTGCGTAGCGAAGCTTTCCTTTACTCAGTTTAGACCTTTGATTTAACCGCATTTAACCATAGTTTAGTTTAGTTATCAGTTACTTGTGGTTACTCCTTCTCGTATTTGTTCTTCTATTTTTTTGTTTTTTGTTTTTTGTTTTTTACATGCTCAAGTACAGTGTAAGTCAGTTAATGTAGTTTACTTTGTTGTTAATTCCTTTTACTTGTTAATATAAACATTTAAAAATTTTGAAAAATATTTCGTTTTTTTGATTTAAGTTGTATTTGTTTGTTTAGCTTACTTTCATTTAGTTTGTATGATTTTTTTCTTTTCTGTTAAGATTAAAGACGACACAAATGGAAAAGAGAGATGCATGATATCTTAATTTCTTCTTGTTTTTACTTAGCATTCATTTGTTTTTAACGCGCGAGGTAAAAAAAAAAACAAATTGTAGCTTATATGTTTTTGTTTTTTTCTTCTTTTTTTTGCAAGCGAGCGAGCGACGACGATTGACGACAAAAATTTGTAGCAATTTGTTGCAGTTTAGTTTGGTGTATTTAGTTGGTTGGCCGCTGGCCCCTATATCTATATAATCATATAATATAATATATATGTATATATATCCATAACCGTAACCGTAAACGAATCTTTATCTGTATCTGCTTTTGTATCTTTAGCTTTATCTGCACTTGTTTCTCTAGCTGCTGCCTCGGCATGTATATAACTATGATATATAATATCTATATGTATATAGTAAATGCGTTAAGTGTATATATATATATATATAGTTGGTTTATATATAGAGCTATTTTTAGTATGTTAATCATGCGTGTGTATATATGTATATGACTGCGCTGGTTTGGCTTCGGGATCTACAAATGGCAGAGGATAAAACTTAAACTAAGTTGAGCTTGAATGCTTGACTGTCACTACTCTCCTCCACTCTAAACCGATTCGATCTGATCGATCTGGGGGATCCTGGGTCTCCTTCCTGGGTTTAACTAACGCGTGAAGGTAGCAGGATCAAGGAAGGTATGTAAATATGTACATTGTTGTCTTCGCTTCCGTTTGCTTTTTGCTTTTTGTTTTTTGGGGTGCAGAATATCACATAGTCAGACATCTATATATATGTATATATACGACTACAAGTTCTCCGGATGGCTTAGACGTGCAGCGTGGAGGCGTCCAGCGAGGAGGAGGAGTTCCTCGAGCACGAGGATCGCCCACCTCCCCCGCCGCCGCCGCCGCCTATTAACGTGGCCGTGTCCGTGTCCGCGCTGTCTGTATCCAGGTGATGGAAGCGCTTGCGTTGCGGGCGCAGGAAGAGGAACATGACCAGTAGGGCCAGGAAGAAGGCCAGAGCCCCAAAGGCCGGATAGACCACACCGCCCAGTTCACTGGGCGTCGGCAGGGCGCTGATGATGTATACCCGATCCGTTGGCCGGGTGTGTACAGTGTGCTGCGTATGCGACTCCGAGTGCTCTCGCGCCTCTGCCGATGGGTGTGATTCGGCCTTCGCTGGCATGGTCGTCGTCGTTGTGCCCACCAACTGGCTGGTGTCCACATTGAGCTTGATCGAACGGCGCATCAGTCCGGTGAGCTGTTGGAAACGAATTGGATGAAAAATAAGGCAATGATATTAGGTTTGGTTGGGGTTTTCAATAATAAAATCAAATTACAATATGAATTCGTTTCTTTTCATTGCAAAATTACTTAAAAATGTGTCTAAAACTATGTCAAAGCAAATTTATTAAAAAAAGACTTAAAATCGCTTGAAAAGATACCGAAAAGTATGCAATAAAATATTACAGCTTCCTAAAGTGTTCTGAAATTGTTGTTTTCGTATAGCGTTGCCTTCTTTTGGACACTATTTCAACTGCATCTCTCAATTCTTTCAATTTCAATTGAATTTCCCGAAAGAAGGACACTTACCTTGTGCTTGCACTTGACTTGAATGTTGTAGACGGTGTCCGGCCACAAGGAGAGCTCTGCCCGGGCGGTGTCCGTGAGCAGATTTCCGATTAGGCCGCCGCCGGACACCTCCCAGGTGATGAGGCACTGGCGCGAGGCATTGGCTATCATCTCGTCCCAGCCGATGTCCGTGAGGACCAGTGATTCCTGGCGCTGAGCCTTCAGGATCTTCAGCTCGAAGGGTGACACCAGCTTCTGGCAGCACTGTAGAGGGTCGTGTAAGTCCAGGACGAACAAGGACATCGCCGGAGGCAGGGCACGTAAAAGGAACAGAGACAGAGAGGAAAGTTAGCTATTTGTCAATTATTTCTTGTAATTATGTGGCACGCCCGCAGGTAGGCAATGAAATTTGTTCATCTTTCGGTTGCTCTCCACTTTTCCACTTTTCCGCTTTTCCCCCGAGCGACAGGCGTTTAACCCATTAAAGCCTGTCTGTTTTTAGAATAATTCATGTCCTTTCCCCGTGTAAGTGCCCCAAAAATGTTTACGGTTGGCAATTTGGGCGCCGAAACAAACCCTTTTCAGGCCACCCGCCGGTGGTGGCGGTGGGTGGGTTTTGGCATAATAAATGTAAATTTAATTTCGAGCATTTAAAAAGATACTCCTCTGTGGAGGAATTTTCAAATTGTATACCATTTATAATAAAAAGAGCGCGAGTGGCGCATAAAAAATGTTCCACTAACAAATTGCAATATATTTTATAGATGAAAATGTAAAGAATTATTAAAGAAGCTTTAGAACTCATTAACTTGAGTATTATTTTATGTTTTCCTTTCGCTTTTTGTCTATAATTCCCAACTGGGTCTAACGTAAACCTAATTCGTTTTTAAAGAAAATCTGTGAAATAACCTTCTACACAGAACACGGAAAGCAATGATGATTGCTTGATACAAAAGCTAGTAGAGAGAATTTATATACATACATATATATTTTTTTAGGACTTTGAAAAGCCAGTATTAATGGGTTAATGACATCGTTAGGCCGTCTAACAACCCCACACACTCGCGACACGGTATAAAAGAGATGGAGATACTTACGTTTGTGCAATCAGCGGAATCCTTACAATAATGCCAGTCCTTGGATAGCTGCAAAGAGCGACAAGAGGACAAAGTTAGTTAGTGGGCGTGGCCTAATCGAATTTTAAGTAAGCTAGGAAAAAGTAATCAGGCACAAGACCCCGGGCTGTCGGCCTGACAAACAACAAGGAGTCATCAGCAGCCGCAGCCTCCGCCAGGACCTCCTCCTATTCCTACTTTTACATCTTCTTCTCATCCTCGTATCTTGTAGCCTCAACAATAGACGCAAATTTGTAACTTGTAATAAAAGGCAAAACGGGCAGAAAAAAAGGAGAAAAAAAAAAAACAGTCTATGTAGATAAACACAGCAGCGGTCAAAAGGATACTGGTTAACGCGCTTTATGCCTGAGGATTTGAAATCATTGGAAAAGTTTTTAAGTAGTCATTACAAAAACCGCCAAGGAGGTAGAAAAATCTATTAAAAAAGGGTCGAATGGTATTCCACAAACTTAAAAATATAGCCGAGACGTAATTTATATGTAAATATAAATATAAAGTAGATATTATTATTGGAATAGTTCCAAATCTAAAATAAATTCAAGTTATAGAATATATATATACTTGTGGTTTTCACAACCAACTTGTCCTACCCAAACATACATATTTCCAAAATGATGAAAATCCCCAGTTTAAGGAAAATTGGTAAACACAATATAGCAATTGCTTTAACAATAGTTGACATTGTCTGTTACTTTAGCAAATTTCTGTAAATCCCATTGCAAGGCTCTGCCCCGCATCCTGTATACAGGCAAATGACCACAAACGTTTTGTGTGTGTGTCTCTATGGCGAATTGAAAATTTCACGCTCCCGGCAATGAGGATAATGAGGAGGATTGCCATGACAGGACGAAGGGAAGCACGCAGCACGGAGCAGGAGCAGGAGGATCGGGATCAGAGCCGGACTGCATGCTTAGCCTTTGTCAACTGTCGCCTTAGTCTCAAAAACAGCTGAACGGAACAAAATAGAACAGAACAGCGGGTAGTATCCAGTAATACTAAGGGCCACAACCAGGACTCTCCTTTGGTGCCTGTCATGAATGGGATTCGGAATGGCAGACAGACAGAGAGACAGACAGAGAGACAGTCAGAAAGACAGATGAATGGGCGAACGAGCCGACAGCGATTAGAGATGCCTGCGTGACAAATTGTTATGACTCGAAATTTACAATATTAAAAAAGAGAGAGAGAAAAATAAAAAAGCAAATCGACAAGGCCGGGCATCACACAATTCTTTGCGCATTCGTTGTCGCTTTTCGGGGAGAGGGTGAGGCTAAGGGTTAAATAACCCTAAACTCCATCCAATGTTAAATAGATTTATGGTTATTGCATTTGCCGACGGCATGAGATTTATGAAATCTTTAGCCACACATTCCCCCTCATATTGGTCATGCATTGGTTCTTTTTTGGAACATTCCTGGGATTGAATTATCAAGTTAAGTTTGAAAATCTGATATATATTCTTAAGAGTTAAGATTTAAGAATATTCTGAATTTTAATTTTCCAGTATTCTTAATATTTTAACTCAACTATTTCAGTTTAAAATGTTACCTCAAAGATCGTTCTAAGCTACTCTGATCTAGATCTTTTTTTGATCAGCAAAAATCGTTTATCTCACTGAAAAATCCTGGAAGAAAACTACATACAATTAGGTATTGACTTTGAGTCGAAGAACAACCCTAGTTTAAATGTAGATACACAGATTTTTATCTCACTTTAAAATCCCTACTTATACCAAAAGCAACTGCTGTGAAACCTTCGCTCTTCTGAAACCTTAAATCCCTCCCAGCTGCTGAATAATTCTTGCTCAACCTGAAAGAAAAATCGTTTGCGATGTTATCAAATTCTTTCTCTAATCCTTTAAATGCATCTCTCTCTCTCTTTTTCCTACTTAAAGATCGATCATTCAGCACGGTGCCATCGCTGGACACTGGGCTGCCATCACCTTTTGGGCCAACTTTGACGGCGGCACTTTGTCATCATTACACAATAAGGCGGCCGTCGGAGGAGGAGCAGCAGCAAAGAAAAATCAGGAAGGGCAAGGAGCAGTAGCAGGACCAAGTCCAAACCAAACCAAGCAGTTGTGGCAGATAAAAACGACGAATGCCAAAAAAAAAAAAGGAAAGGAAAATCGCAAAGACAACATATTTTCCGCTCAATTGAATTTTTGGCCTCTGAAGATGTAGAGGATGTAGTTGATGTTGATGAGGGGAGGTTGAGGATGAAGAATGAAGATGAGGCTGAGGGTGAGGCTGAGACTGAGACTGAGACTGAGGCTATGGACTGGGAACCAGGACGAGGCCTGAAACAACTTGGGCGATAAGTAACAACAATAAGGCGTTCAAATGAATGAGTAAACGAATGAATGACCAAATGACTGAATGAAAACGCTGAACTGGCTGAAAATCTTTGCCAGCAGCCGGCTTTTCCGTTTCCCTTTCCCTTTTTTCCTTTGCTTCCCTTCTCTTGGTGTGTGTGTGTGTGTGTGTGTGTTCACTGCTTTTTCCCCCCCATCCATAATTCCCACTCTGTACCCTGGTACTCTACCCTACCCTACCTGGCCCAAAATGTGTCTGGGCCATATAAATTAAACGCAGGCAGAGCGACAACTTTTACATGCAATTGCCCTGGTATTTCACACCCCGGCCACTCCGTTTCTCTTAGCTCTTAGCTCTTGGCTCTTATACACACACTGAGCGCTCGAAGAAGAAGTGTCAAAACTCCCACATCAAATGGGAATATCCCACCTTTGGAGGTTTAGGCCTGGGTTCAGAAAAAAAAACGTGTTCTTCAAAAGAAAACAGAAGAAAACAGAAGGTGCAGTAAGCCCTGATATATAGGTTCCATTTGTTTGTTTTCTTAGATTTGTAACTCCTTGTTTTCCAAAACGTTGGAAACATGGCTTTTCCTATACTAAAATAAGGATTATTTAATAGGTTTTTTTTAAGTTAGATAAATAAATAAATTATTGCTTTCTGATTTTATCACATCAATAATTTTTCTTTTATCAGAAAATGATCTCATCTATAAATTATATATGCATAAAATCTCTCTTTAAGGAAACATATTTTATTGTCAACTAAATTTTCGAACAGTGTGTGTGTGTGCACATGACTCCTTGGGCCACATAAATTACCAAAAAGTTGGGTCAGTCAGTCAGTTTTTTGAGCGTCTTTTATGAGACACGTACGCATACCGTAGATATATTCGATGATTCCACCACCAGCAGTGTCCCAACTACGTGCCTGGCATACATATACATCAAGATCGAATCTTCCGAACCACCCGGAAAAATCCGAACCCACCATAGCACCCAGGCCGGACGGACATCCACCCGAAAAAACACCCACCCACCCAACGCTTAAGAAAAAGTCTTTCATGGTGTTAATTTGGCGCTGATTGAGCAACGTATTCTCATTCGCATTCCCATTCTTTTTGGTCCTAAGTTCCACTGCTTTTTTTGGGGGTTGTGCCAAAGGATGGATGGATGGGTGGATTAGTTCCAGTTAGTCCTGTGAGACGACCATGAAATTAGCCCTGCCTGCACCCCTAAGAACTTTTGACTTTCGACCAGGCATCTTTGGGCATGCAGCCCTTGTCGCCACCCAAAAGTCTCGCTCCTCTCTCACTGTTAAGGGAACTTCAAAGGGCATAGCGGATGGAGGTGATGATGATGATGGCGATCAAGAATGCAGGCACGCAAGCGAAAAGCTTAAGTATTTCGTGCCTAAAGTCTGCAATTTTTTCTTTTTCAGGAATAATCAACAATAAGGATTGGTGTAAATAAAGCCCAAAAGCTTGGTTCAATTTAAGGTTATTATGGGGATTCATTTTGGCATAGTTGATTCAAGAGATTCACCAAAAAATAAACAAGGGATTGTTTTTAATAATGAATTCTAGAAATTCTAGTTATCAAATGAGTGTTTTTACACCCTTACCAGCTATTAGTGTTGGATGAATACTGTTTACTTGCATAAATACGTTCACTTGTTCATTTTTGTTTTTCAATAGAGTAAACTTCCTTCTATTACTCACTTGTTTATTGCTCGTGTTCACTTTTCATATACAGGCCACTGCGTACTGAATTTTAATGATTACAAAAAAGACTTTTGAGGTGTATATACACCTCTTTATTACAATGGTTACAACAAATTCTATTGAGGTTTACATAGACATATCCCGTTACTAAACAAAAATAGGCAAATTAGAGAAATTGATGTCGCTCTTCGCTTCTTCTCGAGTTAATTCAATAAACTTTTGGTCTATATTTAAAAGCAAGTTTAGTGTTTCCCTGAAACGATTTGAAGTGCCGTAGACGTAGACATACACTGTGTTGTCCAAGTGCCTTTGGCCTCTCGAGTTTCATCCATGTTTCTTTGTAAGTGTCGCCACAGCACTCATGATTCATGTGCACTCCTCGAGTCAATTGGGTTGAATGTGCCTGCTGCTCAGGTCGGTCTTAAGTTCCCCCAGTTCTTGAGTTCCTCAGTTCTCGGTTGGCCAGTTTCGCGGTCCCGGTGCCGGTGCCGGTGCTCACTTTATCTCTTCTAGCACGAAACCCGTACCGTACCGTACACCTCGTCGCCGAGCTCAGCTCGGTTTACTTGGAAATCGGAGATGATATTTATACTCTTGTGTTTATCCCACATGATTTATGTGTATGTGTGTGTGTGTGTGTGTGTGTGTGTGTGTGTGTGTGTGTGTGTAGGGAGTTGGTCGAAACGAATTGATATGAAAATTTGATTTGATTTTGTTTGATTGAAATTTATGAACAATCCATGGATGTCAGCATAAGTAGTATTCCTCCCCCTCTACTTTGGTATTGTTTTTTTTTCCGATATCGCTGACAGATCAGCGCACCAAGTTCCAGGAAGTCACGCATTAAAAACTCAACTGGTAAAATCTTTGGGAAAACTTTGCCGTCTTCGATTTCAATCCCATCGGGGGACGTAACATATTCAAAATTATTTCGGCGTGGATCGTTTACACGACAAAATGCGGGGGGAAGTCCCAAAACCAAATCCCCGGGGGTTTCAAAGTTTGTTTTTAGGGGAAACATAAGAAAGTGTCGCGTCTTAACATACATATTGAATGTATGGGGGGGTGGAGTTCAATTGTAGTGGCATTTTCACCTCGGATTTGTTTGTCCGGAAAGTTTTGTTATATGTATTGATTAGAGTTGCATTTATTGGGTGACTACTTTGATATTTTGTTAACTGGGAAAAGTGTTAACACAAGGCTTTTGCAATTGTCGAGTGAGGGGATTTCAGTTGCTATTGAATTCCTTTAGACTCTTCCTTTTGTTCTCATCCGAAATGTATAAAGTGTTAATCTGTAGGTTACCCAAATATGGTAAATCTATTCTATGGTATATATATTTATTTATTTTTTAATTTTTCTATGCCAAGTTCAATACTTTGAAATGTAAAATTTCATTGTTTTGCTCAACAGAGTCGTCAATCTTTTCTTTTGTAGGTGGTTTTTTTCTTGTAATTTATTCTGTAGAAACATTTCTCGGGAATAAGAAAATTTATGGTTATATTTCAAATGAAAATGTTGATAAACGACCACTAATTTATATGGATTAAGAGGTTACAGTTCCGTCTGATCATTTTTTTTTTAAGCTGTGCCCTCGAATGCTGTGAGCTTCTTTGTCATCAAAAGTATAGCCTTTTGTTCTTGCCACCTGCCCCAATTATTTAAAGGCTCTGGAGTCGTCTTCGTCAGCGGCTTTTTCACAAAAGTTCTTAAGGAGCGACCAATTCAACCCATTCCTACATCCATCCATTCATCCGTGATCCCTTCAGCTTCGCTACAAAATCGATTCGAAAGCTTTGCCTTCCCCGGAGCAAGCCATTGTCTATGGCCGTCTCAAATTGAATTCCCGATCTCTATTAGCGACGCTTGATGGCCACCCAGTTGACATCTTTCTACTCTGGCAACTGGCAACTGGCGGCTACCTGAAACAACCTTAATAACCGACAACAGAAGCAGCAGCGGCAATGGCTGCGATGTCAACCCGTAGATAAAAGATAAAGACTCAGCAAGAAACCAGAGGGGGGAGCGGGTATAAAAAATGACATCGCTCTTTGGTACCTTTACCTCTACCTCAACTTCTACCTCTACCTCTACCTTTGCCTCAGCGGACCATTGTCATTGTCATTGTCAGCGTCATCGATTCCCTAACCTTGAAGGTCGGGTCGGTGCGACTGCTGGTCCCTGCACACAGAGAAATGGGTGTGTCGTTCGTCCGCGACTAATGTGGAATGACCTCAATTAACGTGATCTTAATCCCATTACATTTTACCTGAAGGAAGAGCTCTTCGTGGGAAGGAAGGGAAAAGTACAATTTGGGTCATGATGTATGTACATATTTTTTAAAATTAAATTTGAATATTTAAAGTGCCTTTAGAACAAACAAAATTTGTATTCGTGAATTTAATTTGGATGTAAAAAATTGTATAAAAATGTACAAAAATCCAGGGTTAAGGCAGAAGGATCTATCAGTAATGCCACAGACATTATTCATTAAATTAAAGTAGCAATTAAATATTTAAATATGTACATATCATATTTTACTGTTTAAAAATCCCCAGAGAATGAGTTTAGTTTTTATTATTATCCCATGGCGGATCTCAGCACTTCCGACCTTACGAAATTGCACAGGAAAACGCCTACTTTGGCAATTGGCTTGGATGATCATCAAGGATCTGAATTGCAGGTGTGCTGTTTGCCCTTCTTTGATACCTATTTCTTGCTGTGTACAGACAATACCATATATCCCCGCCTCCGCTTCGGCGTGTGTTTTATATATCGCCGGTTGCTCAGTTGGGCATACAACTGTCCATCAAGACGGTCGTCTTGGATCGAAACGGATCCGATCGGGTCTTATCTTGGGTATTGGGTTTGGGTTTGGGCTTCAGCTTGGGTTATGGTTTCGGAGGAGAGACTTGGGACTCGAACTCTTACCTGCTGATAGCAACTTTGACGGCATCTGTTCAACTGCTTGCCGGCGAAGGAAGATGGAGGAGACGAGGCAGCGGCGGCGGCAGCGGCGGCTGCGGAGGAGGAGGAGCAGGAGGGGCTAAGGTCTACGGATCCTGCTGCTACGGATCCTGGTCGCGGTGCCTCCTCCTGGGCGAGGGACAGGGCGGCAAGTGCGCAGACCATCAAAGCAAGTGAGTGGAACATGTTGTTGTCGTCGGTCTCCTCGTTGTTGCTAGTTCGCTGCTTCCGCTGCTTCTCGTCCTTCTATACTATGGCTGCCACTCCCTCCTTTTTTGCGATGGGCGTGGGCGTTGACTCGTGTGTCCTGTGTCCTGTGTATGTTGTGCCTGTGTATGTTGTGCCTGTGCCTGGGCCTGAGCCTCTGAGTCGATGTCGGTGCGCCCGTGGGTTGTATGTTTGAGTATGTTGTGTTGTGGGTGTGGGCGTGCTCAGCAGATTGATTAATTGATTGATTTTGTTTGTTTATTTTCGTATCAAGTGGTGTTGCGTTCCGCTGTTGTTGTCAATATAACTGCAATCTCTCCACACTGAATTTCTCTCGCTCTCTCTCTCTCTCTCTCTCTCTGTTTCGCTTGCGGTTCCTCTCCGACTCTCTCTCCTGTGTCACCTCTCTCCGCCTGTTTGTTCTGTTCTCCTGCGTGTTGTTCTCTTCAATTTGTTTTATTTGTTTTTTGTTTTTTGCTGCCGTGTTGTTGTCGTCGGGTTAAGGAGGCGTTTTGACAAAGAGGCGTGGCCCCAGCCCCCAGCGCGCCTTGTTTGACTTTGTTATTCGAGGCACACCAACTAAGAGCACACACGTGAAAAAAAAAACAGTATGTGTAATTGTAGCGCAGCGATAAATACGAAAGACTACACCGAAAAGCACACCGAGAAAGGAGGAGGAAAGCACACAAACAAACAAACAAACAACAGCAATAACAAACACTCCGCGGCTGACGACGACGCGAACACGAGACAAAAGGTCCACGGAAAGAAAATAATGTATGTTCGTGATAAATCGAGCAATATGTGTATACGACTATATCTCCGACTGAACACAACAACCAGCGTCGTTGAGTGTCAATGCTGCTCTGGCGGACGCAACGAAAACAGAGCGAATCCGAATCCCCGAGCTCAAAGCAGCAGCAACAAAACTGAGCCAACCGAACGAACCAACAACTGTCAGGCTGCGAGATAGCAACCCAAGTGCCAGCAACCAATTCAATACAGTCGACTATGAGATGCCCTGTACTCAAGGGTGCATATTTCTCCATAAGATGTACACATAAAACATTTTTAAAATTTTAATTGACCACTTGCGTTAGCAATTGCCAATTTTCCCTTCAATCTAAGCTTAAACCCGTTGGGAATCCTAAGGCTGAAACCAAGTCTGGCAGACTGCATGCCAAACAACTGGTTAAGAACAAAACAAAAAGAACTACTAATGCCGATTTTCGAGGTTTGCTTTTGCCTCACATCGAAGCTTAGGATTCCCAACGGGTCTAAGCTTAGATTGAAGGTAATGTACACTGGGCTGTATTCTCTTTGTTCCAGCCTTTTTCCAGCCTTGGTCCTTGAAGCTGAGAGCAGCATTGAGCCCGAGCAGCGAACATGTTCGCATCAAACACATAGCTGCGCAGGGTCACCATTTCGGTAGAAGTTGCATGTAGGGTTGTTGAATTAAAAAAAAAATATATCGTATCGATGATATTTTTTTATCAAAAAATATAATGATATAATTTAAATATCCCTGCAAAATATCGACATATTTGATTTTTTTTTTTTTTTGTTAAATAAAAATTTAAATTTAAAAAAAAATATAACGAGATATTGATATTTTGATATACTATCAACAACCCTAGTTGCATGTTGCAAGCGATGGAGTCTGTGAGTCTGATGGGGCCGCCTGTACCTTGTGGGGTGGGGTTGGGATTGTGGGGGTGCCCTGCCCCTGCCGAAGGTTGTGGTGTTCGTGGGGGTTAAGGTTGCACCGAGGTTGCCTTGGGTTTGGCTTGGTCGGTGTCTCACCGGATTGGATTTGGGTTTGGGTTTGGGTTTGCTCCGGGTTAGGTTCGCTAGCTAGCTCTTTGATGATAATGGGGTGGCAAAGGCGGAAAGCTGAAACCAAACGGTAATCTGCCTTGCTCTCCCTCTCCAGCTACTTCTCCCTCTGACTCTCTCCCTCCACTGCGGACATGCAGATGAATCAAAGCGGCCGCTGATTATAGCAACAATATGGAAATGCCGCTGCCATTAACCCCCTCCGGATGCCCGCTCGTCCTTGTATGTAGGGGCATTGTTTATTTATATTCCGTACATGTGTGTGTGTGTGTGTGGAGGTTTTTATAACCTCCATTTGCCAAAGTATAGTAAATTCTTTCAAAGCGTGTACTACATTTATTATTTAAGCCATGCTGCCCGCCTCGCTCCACTCTTCAGCTCTTCATCTCCTGCCTTTGCTCCTTCTCCTGCTCTTGATCCTTCTCCTGCCTCCGCTTTGTCCATTGTTTTAGTCTTTTCCTATGCCTGTTTTGCCGTATTAGCCGCTCCATCCGCAAGACACCCGTTGCCCATTTTCCCCTGCCTCTCCCCCTTTCTCGTAAGCCCCACTTCCCCTGTCCTTTGCTCCTTTACTTCAGGCGCCCCTCTCCTCCATGAAAGCGCCAAGTTTATTTGCATATTTTGACTTTTATGCGGCAAAAATATTACAGACTGCGCTGCCAGCAAACAATATCAGAACCTCTTCCTCTCCGAACACCACCAAAAACGTTAATAAAGCTAGAGAAAAGCGCGCGGGAAAAATGAAGCAAAAAAATTAGGATAATACAGTACGTCTTGCAAGAATCGAACGTGCTAATGTATATAATATGTTACTTAAAAATCGACTAATTTAATATATATAATAATAATGTCTGTTCTTTGGACAATTTGAAATCCGCCAAAGTAGTTTCTGACGATGTAAATATGTTTATATATTTAATTAATAAATTATTGTTTTTTTGTTAATTTATTTTGTTAATTTATTTATTTTATTTATATTTTTATTTATTGCAAACTACAAGGGTATAAACATAATGGCTTACTTGTTATTTACATAATTGTTTATTTATATAATTGCTACATTTGAGCGGAAAGTGGCGAATTTCTTAAAATTCTCAACTAGTTTTTGCAAATACTACATTTAATTATTTGAAAATTAGAGTTTTAAGGAATTTATTTCCAATTATGGGAGTTCCGACTGTTTAGGCAAAAAGTGAAGTGGAGATGGAAATGGAACTGAATGGGGAAGCAAAAACAAAATATTTTTTCCTCATTTTTTTCGGGAGCGGTGTCCGGGAAAAGTTTGAATTTTGGGGCTCTCGGCTTATGACTCCATTGCAACATGTTGCATGTTTGAAATTGCAAAAAAAAAAAAATAAATATATATATATATTAAAAAATAGACGAAAAAGAAACCAAAAATATGAAAAGAAATGCCGCAAAGAAAGCAGCAGAAAACCGACAACGACAATAACAACAAAGGAGAAATAAAGCCGATGTTGATATACACTTCAAGGTCCTTATATTTTATAATATAAAATATAAAATATATAGTAATCTAGTTTCTTTTGTTGACTGGCTCCGCCGAGCTTAACACTCGGTGCCCATGATGCTGATGCGGTACAAATTGCAGACCAAAGTCATGAATACCCTGCGGCGGGGTATATAGAAAATAGACAAGGTGGCTTCACAATTTATGCGCCCATGGCGAGCCATTTGCAGTGCTCAACTTTTTTGTACATACAACTCTCTCGTTTACTTTAACCCTCCATCCAACCAACCAGCCAGCCAGCCAGCTACCACCGCCCCCTGACCCCCCTTTCTGGCTTTTCCCACACCCCTATGCCATTTCCATTTCATTCCGCCGCTCTTTGAATTTCCATTTTCATTTTGCGGCTGCCGCAATTGACTTTGTTGTTGCGTGTGGCGGCCATCCAATAAATATAAAGAGGGAGGCAGAGTGAGAGCGAGAATCGTCCTGGGAGCCTGGGAGGGATGGGGGTAGGGAGGTAGGGAGGATGGCGCGAAAAGGCCGTTAAGTTTGCCGCAAACAACATAACGGCGATCGCGAGAGCACTACTTACCGTTGGTCACCATGTATAGGCAGTTACTGCAGTGGTTTCCTCCTGACTGATGCTTTTAGGTAGGGTTTTTTTTTTGTTTATCAGAGTCTCTTCTAAAAATTAAAAGCTATTCACGGTTTTGAGAGAATTACAAAAACATGATGCATCATTTCAGGAATAACCAGTTGTGCACACTGAGTAAAAGGGGGTAGGTTCTTAAAGGAACTGTGGTTTGAAGAGCCATCTTGTTATGCTTAATAATTTTAGGAAGTAAAGAAGAAATATTCGACCCTACACAGTTGTTGCTTAGCATCAACAGCCTATTCCATCTAGTCATTTAAAAAACATTATAACTTGTTTACTTATTATATTATTATTGGTTTTTAATTCTCTGTTTTGTTACTAAAACCATTATTGATTAAGCTAATTTCAACAATTCCTTAAATGTTATTAACTATTACTTGATATTTATGAAATATATCAAGTAATAATTGCAACCATTTCTCTTAGTGTATAAGCCATGCTACAAATACAAACATTCCCGCATTGCACTTGCTTTAGTTTCAGTTCGAGTTTTGATTTACGCACTGCGTAACGCATTTTTAAAATCACAACCGGGGAAACTTTTCCGTAGCTTCTTCTCTGACCATCTTCCAATGGTCTCCCCTCTGTTTCCACCAGTCATCTCTCTTGCCCAGCAAATCCAAAGTCCGGCAGCAGATGGGCGCTTCCGGCGGAGCATTAATGAGCGGGGGGAGCAGGGAGCTGGGAGCGGGTAAAAGGGAGTGGGCCGACATGTAAGTAGAAATGAAAATGAAGCACAATGAGCACATCCGGCTCTGGGAGAGGAACGGGGGAGTAAATAGCGATAGGGGTAAGCCTATATACACAGGAAAACAATATGTAGCGAAATGATCGATTTTAATTTAATTAAAACAACTAGAGAATAAGGTAAACTTTGGAAAGCTGAAGTTTATATACCCTTGCTCTTGGCAAAATTAAGCACAACTTATCATAAGCATTATATTATATATATACATCCATAAATATTTATACATTTTTGTATTCTTTTCGTATTAATTTTCGAATCTTTCCCAAAGTTTTTCTATGTCATATATATATACCTATATCATTCTATTTTTCAGAGTTAAAAACAACGAAGTTAGAATTTTTTATAATATTTTTCCACTTTTTTCTATATACATAAGTTATATAATAACTTCCAAACTGGTTCCTAAGTTTCAAAGTTTTATGTACAAAAAAGTTGTGACGAAAAATCTACTTAAACTAATATTCTTTTCGTTAAAAGGCACAGACGCACTCGCACAATCGGACTTGTCTAGATCAACTCTGCTGTTGAGGATGATCCAGAATAAATACTTCAGAGAAACTTCTATTTTGTGTTCAACTTGATCATTAATTATATATATTTTTTTTTATTATGTTTGTATTTTCATATTATATATATTTTAATTTATTACATTTTTTATTAAGCTATATGTCTTTTTATATTTATTTATTAAAATTATAATCATTGTACTTATTTTTTCGAGTGCCAACGCATGTCTGGGGGCAGGGGTTAGACTTTGGTGTCTCAGACAAACAGGCTGCATTTGGCCCCACTCGGAAAATTGTGTTGGAAACCCCCAATCCCCCCTCTCCCCCCACCGTTCGACTACCAGAAATCGCTGGCCAAGCGAGAGGCCATTAAGAAATTTCAAATTCTTGAAAAATTAGCAAAGAAGCTGAACGGGGGAAAAAAATATAAAAGAAAGAATCAGAGCGGAGAAGAAAGCGAAGCCGAACTCTTTGCCGAGTATAATTAATGGAATTTTTGAACTTTTAGTGCAAAATGCCTGGGAGACAACTGCTTGAACAGCATTTTCATTGATGCTCATTCCCCCCGCCTCGCTCCACAAAAATAAATTTGTCGTCGACTCTGGCAGATTGTTGCAAGTTGCAGCTCGGACACATGCAGCAGCATCCGTGTCCCCCAGCCCACCGAATACCAGCCCCCCAAAATACCAGTCGTTGTGAATGAAAATAGAGCAATTTGCATTATTCGCATTCGAGCAGATTTCGCCTTAATGAATTGCACACGACTTGCCAAGAAATAAAGATGAGCACAAAGTACGGAATGGTAAATGAGACACGTCTGCATCTGTCTGACTTGGCACTTTGTCTCGTGGCTAGGGGTTGGGGTTGGGTTTTGGGGTGTATATACACTCATAAAAAGTGTTGAATTTGTATGCCTTTAGATAATTTTATTGTTGTATTATTTTTAGATATTACAAAAAGAAATAAATATCAAATAAACTTGTCATAAAATCAAATCAGCTTTCTAGTTTATCCGATCGATAAAGACTAACAGAGTGCTGTTAAACACCGAATCGGATTGTAAAGAGCAATTACTATTCAAATAGCGTTATAATATATCCTAGTCTTCTGTCTGCAAACTATATCCAATCAGCTTTTAATTTATCAAGCCGAAAAAGACTTGAAAGGGTTTCTGTTAAAGTTGGTATAGATTGGCAAATGGAGAAGTTTTAGCATGCAGATTTTTCAGATTTTAAAAATATTTTTTAAATATAAATGCATATTTTTCACAGTGTACATATTTACATATGTATTTATGTATATAACTACATAGTAATACCCATACCCCCAGAGATCCCCGATGTCTGATCTGATATTGGGGTGTTTTTTTTTTTTTTGTTGCTTTTGTTTTTGCATGTTTCTGTGTCTGTGGCCCGGAATCCGGAATTCATCTCCATCAAAGTTAATGCGAAATATAATTTGCATTCGGTGGGCCCGTGTGGATCGCCAAGTGAAAAAGCCACCAACAGCTGTGCATTTGATTCGCCATTTTTCGTTGTCAAAAATAAATAAGTGAAACTAAAATTATGATAGGAAAAGTCGAAATTTGTGATACTCTTGCAAACTAAAATATTACTGTTCAAATTTTATTGAAATAAAAACTTTCTGTTAAAAAGAGCAGGAACTCTCTCTTCCTGTCAAGTCTTTTTCGGTTCGGTAAATAACAAAAGTAGTCAACAAAGAAGAAAAGCTCAAGCTATTAAGTTGAAAAGCACTATTTTGTCTAAAATTTTATTGGATTTCAAATCCCATTTCTGCTATTATCAGATTGTGATATGTACATGTGGTAGCTTAATCTTACCAATATGCATGTACTCGACTTTAAGGGTATCTGCCAAAAAAAAAAAAGGAGAACAAATGAACAAACGAGCAATAACTCATGTCAGCATGTTCATTAAATGTGCTACGTTTGTCCATTGACTGTCGAGGCCTACTGCTGCCGTTTACAGACTTTTTGCCCAATGTCAGTTGCACTTGCCTCCCAAGGGGGCGGGGCAGGGCAGGGCAGTGCAGAGCCGGGTGGGCGGGGTGGCAAGGGTAATATGTAGGCCGTCGTATTTTATTGTCTATGTGCGCATATGGTCAGCTCATTGTGCAGTCAGTTGTATTGCCATTATCATCTGCGACAGCCATCAGCGAGCGTGCTCATCGTGCGGCGATTAATGCAACCCCATTCATCCTTCGTCCTGCGTCCCTTATCCAGTTATAGCTACGTGTTACATCTATCACAACAGCTACGTTGCTTTGGGGGTGGGAAATCGCTGTGAAAATGTGAAAAACTGCCTTTGCTGACATTTGTCCCAACTGCACATGTGGCTGGTCCCTCGGGGGCCCAATGATATTAATGCCGCCTCCGAACAACAACGACAACAACAACAGCAGCAGCAGCAGCAGCAGCACGAAAAAGAACAATAATGGCAAGTCTGGGATTGATTTAAGCCAGCTGCGGCGGCGGTGACTGCATCAAAAACACATATCCAACACTCCACATAATTCCCGTGCAGCGTCCAGAGCGGAGCAATTTGCACTTCGGCCGGATTATGTTTCGGTTGAGAGATAATGAGTCTACATATGTAAATATTTATGTGCTATGGCACAGGGAAAGAAACGATATGAGCATCCGATTTTTTGTTTTGTTTTGTGGGTTCAGAGCAAATACATATGTATGTACGTAGTTTCTATATAGATAAAAAGGGGTACAGAAGGTTTAGTGGACGAGTTTTAACCAAATTTACCCTAGAAACACTATCACTATTTTGTGAACCGGGTTAGCTAGCTCTGTACAAAAAGAAATAAAAGGTGGTTGACATGAAAAATTTAAATTATAGTATAAATATTATATCATTATTTTACTTTTACCACAAAAGGTCTTCAGGTGTTGTACAAATACAAAAAAAAAAAACGAGGAATTATAAAATCTAACCAAAAATGAGTTGATTAGAACAAACAGATAGTCTTGGTCAGGTGTAGTTTGTGAGATTCTCCGTTTTTTATTTTTATTTCGCTGGTTTGCTCATTTAAATGTATAAAAACGATCTGGCAGCCCTAAAAATTGCCGTTAGCTAGCTAAGTTCGCCACCTATTTATCTGAGACTCACACTTTCTCTTACAGAAAGAAAACAAATAATCAAATAGTATTCTAAGAACAAATTTTCATTTTTATAAGCTTTTTATCAACTCTACATACTTGTTCTTGTTCCATAAAAAAAGTGTTACATTTCTTAACAGGAAAAAAACAAAGTTTCAAATCGGTTCTCCAAAATAATATATCGATATATCGCAACTCAACACACCGATGAAACATCGATTGAATAAACGATTTTATTTGCACCTCTAGTTCCAATTGGATCTGTCGTCGCATGTCGCATGCAATTTGTTTTGTTAATTTTCCAAATAATCTCGGGCTTGGTGCTGCTGCCAATTGTGATACACTACATCTATTACATAATAAATGCGATTGCCGGCGATTTGTGGGAGCAAAAGAGAGCCCAACAAAGGCAATTGCTGCTGCAGAAAAGTGTCGTTAGTGCGGGCGCCGCAGTTACCGTTATAAGCCCACCGTTGCCTTTGCCCACCTCCAAAGTACCAACAGCCGCAGCAGCAGCAACAACAACAAAAGCAGAGCATTCTTCAACAATGCAAACAAATGATGACGCCAAGTTTATTAAAAAGTGCGTATGTATACAGTGCCCAGTGATTGTGTGTGGGTGTATGTACAAGTGGCAGAACAAAAGAAATAGCGAAAAAAGAAGCAAAAAAGAAACCAGAAAGATACACTAAAACCCACTCACCTTGCCCTGTCTCCCTCTCTCTCTCTCTCCCACTCGCGTGTTGTTGTTATTGATTTTCCACTTGCCGCAACCTTTTGTTACCCTGTCTGTGTGAGTGTGTGTTTGTGTGTGAGAGAGAAGAACACCAAAAATAACAACTTGCAACGGGACATTACTCACTCAGAGGAGAGAGACAAGGAGCACATTATTACCTCATTACGCATTGACCGCATAATTTATGATTGATCCAACAACAATTTCTCTCCAAACAACAAATGAAAAACGGATAAACAACAACCAGGCGGTGGAAAGGCGGATCCATTGAGCCTCATCCCACGGACAAGGCGCTGATTGTCAACTACCAATTGGAGGCCACTGTCTTTGGGGAGCCCAACAACCCAATGATCGAGGAGAAGAAGGTAAGCTAATTAGTTTTAGATAGAATATATATATACTGGCGCCACAAGTTGGGTATTCCGAAATATTGCAACGAAGAAGATAAAGCATACAATCCCTGCTCTTAGCAATTGAGTCATGGAAGCTAATTGGAAAATGATCTTCTAATTCGAAAAACAATTCTAAATTAGTTTATATTCGGTTAACAAACAAAGCTAAGCAGTTTCAAATTTAAATGTTTTTGTGTTTTACATTTTGACAATTTTAATTTTAAGCCTTGTAAAATTTATAAAATTTTAAATTAATTTTTAAAATATTTTATTAATGCTTTACTATTTGGTAAATCTTACAGAAACTATTATTTTATAATTAAAAACAATAGCAGCTTAAAGAAACAGTCGTATTTAGCCATTTTCGCTGTGTAGGGTTAAGGGTTGTGGTGGGGGGCAGGGGGCAGGGATGACATTGAGCCGGGGGGCCAATCGATAACGTAACGGGGTCGATGACGGGTCGTCTCAAGTATCGAGTAGTGGCGACTAAGTAGCTTGTAAATGAGTAATCGGACGATACCCAAAAAAGGTTGGCGGGTCGGGTAAATAACCTCAATTCACGTTTTCTTGCCTCTTTTGCTTTTGGTTGCTTTTCGTTGATTGTTCATGACCAAAAATACATAAATAGTTACTCAAATACATTGTTTATTTACCTGAAATCTTGCCAAGCGTTAAATTGTTATGGAAGATTTCAGAATTCGATAAGCGAAAACTATTTCCTGAATTTTCAAACTAAAATAATCATAATGATACAAATATAATAACTTTGGTGGTAAATCTATATGTTTATAAATACCTTAATAGGTGAGCAGGGTTTGTTTAAATATTCAATAATTAAATGCGATATTTTTCTAAATTAAAAAATTTCGATTATGTACAATTTTTTCGATATGATATTTAGGGCGATATTATTTTCAGATCTATAAAGAACTATCTATAAAATCTATAATGTAAATCCATATATAATTTAAATTATTTTATTTTTCGATTTTAACCGAATTTAATCGAAATTTTTTTGAATTTTTTTGAAAAAATCGATTTACAGAGATAGAAGCTTTTATACTTATTAATAACTGTACCTAAAAATAAAAGAAAATTGCTTTTCCGCTAATATCTATAATATCTATATATTAGCACTGTCAGAAAATCATTCGACTTCGATCGCTGAATGCCAAAACGGATCCAGCGGCTTTGGCCCGCGAGGTGGTAGAGAAATGCGATCTCATTCACAAGTCCCAGCTAAATGACGTCGAACAGATTATCTTTTACCTGAAGAATCGCAAGGATAATGCCAGCAATGGTAATATACCAGCGAGTTTATACTGGGAACTCAACTAACTTGATATTCCCTAGATATTCCGGACAATAACACTCACAGCCGAAGATCGGCGGCGTTGCACAACTCACATACGCGCTCCTCGGCCAGATCGCACAGCAGCGTGGCGGCCATGACGAGCAGCACTGGCGGGGGCAGCGTCACAGGCGGCGGATCAGTGGCCGTAACCACCAATGGCGGTGGCTCCAGTGCACTGAACGCCGCTCCACAGCCCACAGCGGATGTGTCCATCAACAATATTGACGAGTATGTGGAGCTGCTGTACGAGGAGCTGGGTGAACGGATCAGGGGCTCAGCCATGATCCTGCAAATGGCACGAAATCCGGATAATCTTGAGGAGCTGGAAAAGAATGGTTAGATCTTGGCAGATTTATTATTATTATTATGTATTAATTTAATATGTATTTTGTACTTGCAGAAGCCTGCCTCAGCGCCTTATCGCGAGTGTTACGCGAAGACTGGCGCAAATCTCTGGATCTCTCCACCAACATTATCTACATTTTCTTCTGCTTCTCCACCTACACCAAGTTCCATCCACTGATTGTGCAATACAAGGTGAGGAGAGGCTTGAATATATATATTCATATATATTGATATTTGTTCTGTCTTAGATCGGATCTCTTTGCATGGATGTGATCGACTATGAGCTCCGTCGCTATGAGACTATGCGGAATGAGCTGGATGTCCGCAAGCAGCCGAATGGCTGCTCCACTCCGCACTCGGCAAAGGCCAGCAAGGAGAAGTTGAATCGCAGCACCGACGACTTTCTCGACATTATGAACGAGGAGAAGCCCAAGGAGGTAAGTCAAATAATTTGAATTTAATAATGAAATTTTAAGAATATATTTTAAAAACATAAAACTAATAGTAAATATATTTAATTTTCAGATGGAACCACCGCGTCGTCGCATTCCAGAGCTTAAGCAGCGTCCCAAATCGGGCAACTGGAGCAGCTTCCATGGCTCGATGTCGTCGTCGCTGATCAAAAGCCAGATTCTCAATAGCAGCTACCACGAGGCTTTGTGTGCCGGCGCTGTCGATTCGCCCGTAACAGCAGCTCCCGCTGCGGTTCCCGCTGAATTCAAGGCGGCGGCCCAGAGTCAGAGCAACGAATCACTGGATCGTAACGATCCCAAGGTGAAAAAGGAGGAGATTGATCGGCTGAACAAGCAACTAAAGATCTTCGCCAAGAAGCAAGAGCAGCTACTGCGCGTGGCCTTTTACCTGCTGCTGAACATGGCCGAGAATGTGAAGCTGGAGGAGAAGATGCGCCGCAAGCATATTGTAAAAATGCTGGTCAAGGCGCTGGATCGCCAAAATATCGACCTGCTGATGCTAGTGAGCACCTTCCTCAAGAAGCTTTCGATTGTTGGGGACAACAAGGACGAGATGGGCGCTTTGAACATTGTGGCCAAGCTGCCGCGATTGTTTCAGAGCACGCACATTGATCTGGTGCAGGTCACCCTGAAGCTGGTCTTCAACCTCTCCTTTGACGGGGGACTGCGTCGCAAGATGATTGCCGCCGGCTATCTGCCCATGCTGGTGATGTTCATCAACGATGAGAAGCTCCACGGCATCGCTGTCAAGATCCTGTACCACATGAGCCTGGACGACAAGGTGAAGGGGATGTTCACCCAAACGGAATGCGTTCAAATGGCCACCGATGCCATCATCCTAAACCTTAATGTCAAGGTCGATCTGGATCTCATTGCCCTGTGCATTAATCTGTCGCTAAACCGTAGGAATGCCCAGATCATGGTCGAGGGCCAGCGCCTCCATAGCCTGATGGATCGAGCATTCAAGTACCAGGATGCGCTGCTGATGAAGCTGCTGCGTAATCTCTCGCAACACGAATCCCTGCAGCCGCAGTTCATCGACTATGTGGGCGATCTGGCGCGCATCCTGACCATTTGCGACGACGAGGCCTTTATTGTCGAGTGTCTGGGCATACTGGGGAATCTGGCCCTCACCGATTTGGATTACTCGCAGATCCTGCAGAACTTTCAGCTGATACCCTGGATCCGGCAGCTTCTGGTGCCGTGCTCCCGACTGGATGATTTGGTCCTGGACACCATCGTCTATCTGGGTACCTGTGCCTGCGATGAACTGTGCGCCTTGCTCTTCTGTCGCGCCAAGGTGGTCATCTCGCTGATTGAGCTGCTGAAGGCCAAGCAGGAGGACGACGAGATTGTGCTGCAGATAATCTTTGTGTTCCAGCAAATACTTCGCCACGAGAGCACCAGGGAGTACATGATCAAGGAGACCGAGTCGCCGGCCTATCTCATCGATCTCATGCACGACAAGAACGAGGAGATCCGCAAGGTGTGTGACTATTGCCTGGACATAATCGCCATCAGCGACAGTGAGTGGGCCAAGCGCATCAAGGTGGGTTGCCTGGATAACCAGTGGGCCAGAAATACCCATTGCCAGTTTCTATATTCTCAATTGCAGCTGGAAAAGTTCCGAAATCATAATTCGCAATGGCTGTGCATGGTGGAGTCGCAGCAGGATCAGGATAATGAGCAGGACTATGCCGATCAGGAGGATGAGTGTGACAACGATCTGGACACGTACCTGCGATCCGAGTATTTGGACAACTGCAACGATCTCTACAACAATGACAATGCCGACAATGACAGCAATAGCAACAATAGCAACAATAATCCGGCCAGCCCGGCCATGTCCACCTACAGCAGGCCACTCAGCACGTGAGTTTTGTGCAGTTTATACATACATATATACATATAGATTTAACGATTTTCTGCAAACTCCATCTTCATATTCAAATTTTTGTAATATCTATTTCCCTATTTCCCCAGTTATCGGCGCAGTCAGGATCTCGATGATCTTTACAACATGACCTCCAGCTCCAAGTCGCAGGGCTCGTCCAGTGATAATAACTTTATGTTCAAATCGAACAAATCCCTGGATGCCGACGGGCTGCATGAGGAACTGTTGATGGCTTAGAGCGCCAACCCAAACCCAAAACCGAAACCGAAATCGATCAAATTTTGAATTAAGACGCTTCTGCAGATGTTCGTTCCCATTGTACATGTTTAGTCACAAGTCTTTAGGCTTATATTATACATGCGACTTTTAGGATATATATATATATACACTATATATATGTACTATATATGCACGCTTTGTTAGTCATTAAAGTTAAATGGTTTTTAGCGACGCGGCCCATTTTGTACTCAAGACATTCAAAATCGAGTGACGAGTTACGAGTCTTAACTTTAATCTTCGGTTACGCTTTACTCATTTACCTATTGTATACTGTTTATTTGTTATTTATTAGTGCATAATTTGTAATTTATTGAGGCCTTGTGACGCGCTTTGCTTCTCCTTAAGTCATCATCACCCGCAATGCAAATGCAACTATTGTGCAATATTATCTCTCACTGAAAAGTATTACGTCAAACGTTTTTTAGTTGTAAATACTTGGTTGTTTTTTTACTGACCGCTCTCCTTAATTTTTTATGTTTATTATTGCTTATACACCTAACCTAACGAACGAAAAAGTCAAATTGTAATATTATTAATGGGTGGCAAAAACTAAAAATAAAGCCCAAATGGAAAAAATATACAAAGCTGTACTGTAAATGTGTTTTAAAAGTTTAGTTTTATTTTTGTCTAATTCACCTGTTGATAATGGGTAAGAAAAAGAACACAATGGCTCAACAAACTGCCTTTCCCTGAGATCCGTAGAGTATATATAACACTTTTCAGACAAATACGTAACTGCAATCTCAATTATACAGATTACCTATATATTTTTAAAGCTGTTTTGCTAGAACCAAGTAGGTAACACACCAAAGTGGTTAATGGTTTATTTGTATGTAAGTATCGGAGCTCTTAAAACGGATTCCACCATTCCTCTCGCAGAGCAACTAATTAAAGACTAAAAGTTTCTCTCTTTTGACAAAGAATCGGAATTTCCGCATTAGATTCGCTAAATGCTCAAAAACGGACGCGCAAACGGACGAATAGTATAATGAGTATTGCATATTCTCAGGATTATACCCGATAATGAGAAAAAAATAAATAATAATAATAGATTATCCAGCAAGGATTCACAGGGTATTTCCTCGATAATAGTTAGTTTCGGTATGATTATCCCTTCTAGTAAAACACCTGTGTTTGTTTTATGCATTGATCTTTATTTTGTGTTACACAATAAGGAATATTAAGTTGCAGTTCGTGTATCCGAAACATACTTATATGACAGAGGCTAGACCGATGATAAACATGCATGTAAATATATATAAATAGAAGAATATGCTCTCTAGTTATTGTTGGTAATATACACATAAGAATACACAATTACGTTCACTATATGTCATCATGATGGGTTGGTAGCCATCAGGCAAGGCCTTACAGCGTACATGCAATGTTCTCCTAAAACTAGAACTCTCTTCTCACTTCTCTTCAGCATTCTTGGCATTTGTTTTGTCCCCTTTTCGATTTAACACGATGGTATCGCTATTAATCGCTTTGATCGATTGGATATTACGTCTTATCAGCTTAGCTTTTGTACAAAAAAGAAAATATCAGAGGGGAGGAGTGTAAACAATTCTACAAAATACATAAATAAATCCACCTAATGACTACAAAACAAATATCGTTGGAGGATCGTTCGTTGACGAATCACCGTTGTTAATCCAAATAGTCCATTGTTTTGATGAACTTCACCACAGATCCAAAAAGTGTCCAGTAGAACTCATCTTCGCCCACGAGCTTCTTACTGAGGAAACAGCTAATGTATTCCACGGTCGACAGTAGATAGGGGGGATTGGCCTGAAGAATAAAGAATCATGTAGGAACTTTCGTTGGGAAACTCTGGGAACTCTGCGAACACTTACCATTATTACAACATATATGAGCACGGGCAGAAGATCATCAGCAGCGGGTACGCGATCGCTGGACATGCGCAGCAGGCTCATGATGCTAGAGATGCAGCTGAAAGGAGAAGAGGATATAACAGAATATAGATAGTGTTTGGAACCAAGAACCGGAGTACACTTTTCCGATAGTTTTTGGAATACTTTTCTACTCACTTGATGATGCACTGCAGCTTCTCGCGTGGGGTCTTGTAGGCAGCCATGTGACTGAGCTGCTGTTGGGCAAACGTCCATGGTGCCTCGCCTAAATACTCCTGGGCGATGCACAGCGACGGATGAGCCGGATGCACGAATCTCTGCAGCTTGCCAATGTGGGCCGATAGCACTTCGTCGCGTGACACATCCGCATCCTCGTTGGGGAACATCACCTGCTCGTACATCTGCTCGAGGAGCATGCGTTCGATGGCCACACGTGCGGCATCCAGCTGCCAGTCATCCTGCAGATCGGCACTAGTGCGCAATTCCTGCAGCAGCGACTCTACAAACTCCTCGGTTAGCTCGACCCGCTCATCGCTGGCTCGTAGCTGGGCGAATTCGGCTTGGAACTCCTCCAGCTTCGCCTGTTGCCGGGCCCAGGCCAGATACATGCGAACCAGTGCCTGGAGCAGGCAACGTTGGCAGCTGCGCGCCTCTCCACTCAGCCGAGCCTCAAGCTGTTCCAGTTGCTCTGTCCGGAGCAGCAGCTGCTGCCGGTGGCGCATCAGGTACTGCAGGTAGCTCTGTCGCCGCTCCAGGTCCCGTTGCAGCTCCGTCAGAAGCTGGCCGTGCTGCGGCCGCTCCAGTTGCGCCAGACAGCGCAATGCCTCGGCCACATGCGAGATTTGCGGCAGCCGCTGCATGCTGGTGCACTGCGCCAGCTGGATTTGCAAATAGATTTGCAGCGGTGTGGCCATCGTCGTCGTGGTCGTGGTAGAGCTGGACGTCGGCCTAAAGTCGCCGCTATGTAGATCAGTCCGGGACAATACTGTTCGGAGCTTCTGCTTCACGCTGCCAAAAACCACCCCCGGGAGATGGCCGACGCCATTCATGTGCTTGTGCAGATCCCCAGACGATCCAGCTGCGGCGCTGCCTCCTAGACGAACGCCATGACCATTGTTATTGCCCATGGAGTCCGAGTTGGTGGCCTCGCTGGAGCTGCTCACCTTGCGCCGGTACTTGGCCAGGATGTCCTCGCTCGTATCACAGTAGTGGGTGCCAAAGTGGTGGCTCACGCATCCGGCATTGGGATCAAAGCTCACGCTCCGATGATCCGCCTGGGCAGTGGCGGCAGAAGCAGAAGCAGATGTGGATGCGGATGGAACCACCGGGGTATTGGAGTGACTTTGACTTTTGGCACTGGCGCTGGTTCCCCGGCGATTCTTGAAGATGCCCTGCTTCAGTTTATTGAAAATCCCAGCACTGTGGGGATGATGATCTCTATCGCGATCTCGCTCCCGCTCTCTCTCCCTTTCTCTGTCTCGTTCCCGCTCCCTGTCCCGGTCCCTTTCCCTATCCCTTTCTCGATCCCTTTCCCGGTCGCGATGATAGGGCTGCTTCTCCTTATCGGCACTGGCATCGAAGCTAATGCTCTTTGGTATGGCTCCGGTGGCCTTGTTCGGTGGCTTCAAGCCAGCGGCTCCAACTCCAGCTGCTGCTGCATCTTCCGCCTCAGCGGATCGTAGGACAACGCCTGCCCCGGAGCCAGCCCCAGCTCCAGCTCTCTCCTCCAGCTGCAATTGCTGCGTTTGCACACATAGGAGCATCTCCTGTTTATCATCATCGGTCTTCGGCAACATGGAGTTAAGCATGATCTCGTGGTTTTCGTAGTTTAAGCTCTGGTGACGCCGCATGCTACCCGCCAGGATGCCGTTTCTTCGGCCATCGATGATGGCCGAACGCTGCTCAATGGAAATGCGACGATGTTCGACATTGGGCGAGGCCCCGCCTCCTGCGGCAGCGGCCTGTTCATCTTGATTAAACATATCCAGGAGCTGCTGCACCAGTCCGGGAGGCTGTTCCAGCTCCCTATTCCGCTCCAGCTCTTCTTTATCCTCGCTGCAATCGCTGAAATCGATTAGATCCCGATGCTTCTCCTTTTCCTTCTCCTGATGGTGCTTCTTCTTCTTTAGAGCCGACCTCTCCCGTTCCCGCTCCCTCTCCCGGTAATGATGATGATGCTCTCGATGATGGTGCTCTCGCTCTCGATCCCGATCTCGGTGATGATGGTGATGGTGCTTACCCATTGGCGGCGGCGGTGCCTCCTCCAGGTTCAGGCTCTGATTGCTGATACTGCTCTCCGCCGATGTCTGGCGACGCATGCAGGATGTGCCCATTAGGGGCGTGGTCTTGCGCCCACTGGAATCAGCTCCACTGCATTTGTACTGCTGCTGGAAGCTGCTCTCGCCCCCCATGACATGGTAGCTGGTACGCACCGAACTCCTGGCCAGAGACGAGGCGCCCATATAGAGATTGGCATCGTCGTACGAGTTGATGGCATCAAAGAAAGCCGAGTCCTCTTGGCTCCGCTCGCTCCCGTTGCCCCGATCCGGATCCGGATCGGGTAACTCGCCGTCGCCACTGCTGCCGGGTGTCTGCTCATCCTCGTCCTCGTCATCCAAGAGCACGGCAGCCTGCGGTGCCGTCGTATCCGATTTGGCCGTAATGGAGACATTGTCATCGGTGTCTATCTCGGCCAACTTCTCTGAATCACTGGCCAAGACATCGGTGCTCCAATTACTCTCCGATCGCTGATCGGAGGCATCCAGCTGGGGTCCACCGCCACCGCCACCGCCGACAACGACCACTCCACCAGCTCTGGCCAGGGCTTCGACCACAAAATTATTATCGCCCGGCAGGACAACGGCAGAGGGTATCAGCGGCGTGGAGAAGTTCCTGTTGTTGTCCCTATCACCAGCGCCACCCCTCTCACTGCCGGTGGCATCCAGCGTGTTCTCCGAGTCCGAGGCCAGCACATCCGTGGACCAAGTGTCCGATATGATGCTCACATTCTCGTCGCCCTCGAACTTTTTCAGCTCAAACTTGCAGAACTTGTCATCGATGTCGGAGCGGGCCTTGGAAAGTAGCATCTTTTGCATTTGCGGATTGTTGGCCGCCGCCCGCGAGTGAACGCCATGGTGGTGATGATGATGATGGGCCAGGTGATCGCCGACAGTCCCATCGCCGCCATCCGTTACCTGGGACGAGGGTGTGTCCCGGCCACTGATATTGGGCGTTCCGCGACCAGAAACATTAGCCGACACCATGTCCGATAGGTTATCCTCATTCTCATGGACATCTCGCTCCTGCTGCTCCTCCAGGTCTAGGGAACTGGCCACTGAATGGGCCGCCTCGCTGATTGCCTCCAAGTTATCCGAATTCCCAATGGAGGCATCATCCTGGGGTCTTCTCATTGCCTCCAGACTGCTAACGTCATCGTTGTTTGATGACGGCGCCAGGGGAGCGGTGTGCGTAACCACTGCTGGCAACAGATTGCTACCATCCTGCCCGATGCAGTTCATCTTTAACACTTCCTCCTCCGTCAATGGCTTCAGCTTGGACTTGGCGCCGGCATTATAGAGGCTGAACAGCAGCACGGGATCGGAGCCCGAGGATCTCGTCTCGTCAAGGGCAAGGTGCTGATCATTAGCTGCTGGGATCGGTATGGTGGCACCGCAGGAACTTAGGCTGGTGTTGCTGCCACTGTGCGAGGAGTTGCTAAGCTCGAGATCAGCACCGCCGCCTCCATTTGCAGTTGTGGCATTGGCGGCGATGGCTTGGCCGTTGGTCAGGGGCGGTTCCACCTGCACGGTATTGTGATTACTGCTGAAGCTCATGCCCTTGGCCAGCTTCTTTTTGGTGGCCTTGCCCAGCCTCATGAGGTTGGCCTTGTTGCTGCTACCGCCGCCCTTTTTAACCTTTTCGGGGCTCTCGCGGGACATGTCCTGTGCCACATCCAGTGGCTGTTGCTGCTGCTGCGGCTGCTTGGGTATCCTGCTGAGAATTCTATGCAGTCGCTGCCTCTCCTCCGCAGATATATCGTATTCCTCGCGGGAAATCAGTAGCCGAAAGAACTCCACAAACTGACCCAGTTCCCTTTGATTGATGGCCAGCTGGGAGCGTTCAAAGTCGCTTTGCTGCGGCAATATGGCCACCACATCCTCACCGGTTTGTCCCAGCATTAGGAGATCCATTAGCTGCACCAGTTCGCTGTCCTCGTCGTTCAATGCCAGCCGCTGGAGCAAGCGAACAATCTGGTTGAGATTATGCCGCATCCGTTCGCTAACGTTCACATCGATGATGCCCAGGAGATCGGCACTCGCTATTGCCGGCGAAATGAAGTGTGTAAACACCAGATCCGTCAGCAGATGGCGGATATCCTGTTCCTCGTGGGTTAGCGATTGCCTCAGTTGCTGGCTAAGCGTTTGCAGCAGCCACCTCAGGGAGCTGGGGAAGAGCGCCCAACTCTGCTGGAGACTCTTCACAAACACCTGGACGTGTGAGTGGAGTTTGCCCAGAGTTTCCGCATGGAATCGAGCGACATTTCGCTGGTACTCCTCCTTATTCTCATCCCCTTCCAGGCCAAAACGCTTCTCTCGCTCGCGCGGTGTAAATGTCTGCATCAGCTTGTGCGGATCCAGATCCAGCCAGATTTCATGCTCACTTAGCACACTCATTAGCGGCGCATGGAGGGCGGCGGTTAGGAATATCCTGGCCGAGAAAAGACTCTCCACCAGCCGTTGATACAGGCGGGCAAAGGAGCTGCTATTGGTTCTCAGCAGACGTCGAGGCTGCTCGCTGGTCAGCAGCTGAACTTCGATCAGTTCTCGCAGCAGTTTCAGCAGCAGCTCCACATCCTTGGTGTTGATCGCATTCCCGTAAAGCCCCGTGGCAATTGTATTAATAATCTGGCCAAGAGCGCTGGCTGAGAGCAGCGACAGCCGATCCGCGGTAGCCAGGGAAAGGGCCAGCAAATAGGGTGTGTTGTACAGGTAGTTGAACAGATCCTCATAGGCCAAGGCGTGCTGAGAGATTATACACACATATTTATTTTAGATTATGCTGATTTGGATGTCTCCTATGCCAGTACTCACTTCATATGGAAGCAGCTGCTTGGCGTCCACAAACTGGGCACTGTCATAGGCACTTGCTCTCCTGCAGGATAGCAGAGGATCCTGATCCGTCCTAGCCAGCAGCATTTCGTTGAGAATCTGCCGCTGCTGGGCACAAACAAAGGCCAACTGTTGGGGGAGAGAACACAATTAAATTATATTGGTAATTAAATCCCAACTAATTATTAAGAAATTACCTTGGTAATGGTCCCCGCATTTGTTTCCAAGGCCGATGTGAGCTGGGCAAAGGTCGCCTGTTCCTGCTGTATAAAGAGCTGCTCCTGGCGAAGAGTGCGTGCAAGATCCATGATCTCCAGCAGATTTCCAGCCGCTGGGGGCTCCATGGTGAAGCCGCTTATCCTGACCGGCTGTAAGTAATTGAGGGAAATTAAAATTGTAAATTCATATTTAGTGCACGCGAAAATGGAAGCCCTGCATCTCAGGCACAGGGGGAGAGAAAAAGAGCATGTGACGTAGAAGCTTGCACTAAAATATGCACTGGCATGTATGTATGCATGTACATGCATGTAACTAGCCCGCCTTCCTTGTTAGATATTGTCATTTTAGCGTTGAAAATAAGTACTTACATATGTACTAATACATGTACATACTTTAAAAGCACAAACAATGGGGTGTTTTGTTTGCAATCTCGGTTTTAGTTTTCGGTTTTGCCTTGTTTTTGTTTTTAGGCCTTGGTCAAGGGCAGACATCAATTACGAAAGCCAATGCCCTACCACTAACTAATACAGGCATGCGCTATCTCCCTCTTTCGTTCATGTGGTACTGCAACACATGGAGCCGCAATCAGGTGGCAGCCGAAAGAAAGGGAGACAGCAACACAGAGAGATACAGGGAGAGAGAGCCCAAGCGGTAGAGATGCCCCGCAATGAGACAGCAACAAATATTTGCGCCTCAATTAACGGCTGTTTGTATGCAACTAAAGTGGCGGTCAGATTAGTAGTAACTACAAAATAAAAAAATAAAAAACTCCTATTACAAGAAATACACTAAAAAAAGTATAGCATTATTAAAAAAATTATCTTAAAATTATATTTCAAATAAAAGCATTCAAGAAATTATTATTAATAATTATAAAATACAGCCAATAATAAAAATACAGTCCATTATCGCCAAATAAAATAATTAAAGTTTTAAACATATTTATATACTAATTGCACCTGTGATACTCTTTTTTAGGCACCTGCTGTAAGGTTTAGGAAATGAGACGGGGGAGCGACAGAGAAAGAGCAGTGGAAGCGGAAAGTATGTACAAATGTACGCATATGAGCCATTGTATTTGCTTTCAATTTTATCTTATCGATAGGTGTGTGAAAGTCTTAGGAGGCGTTTTCAGATAAACAATAGCTCATAGCTGGGAATATGCAGTACTAAAATTTAAATTAACAACGGGGCTGACGTCGTTGTTCTGTAAGTGTAATGAACGGGGAAAAGCAAAAAGTTGCGGAATGTGCAGAAAACAAAACAAAACTGATTTGTTGCGCTCATTAAACACATCCGAGCGAGAGAGATAGAGAACGGGAGGGAGGAGATGTGGGAGAGGAGCTTAAATGGGGGGTGGACATTGGCCGTCTCGCTTGCTCTCATTTGATATCCGTACATATATATGTGTGCATTAATAGCTTAGGTTATTTGGTTATTTGCCGTGCCAAGCACTGAAAATAATACAGCGAATGAGTGGAGAATGCACCAAACAAAAACAATAACAACAGCAAATAAATGAAAAGTAAAACCAAAGCGTAGGTCCGTTATGTGGGCGATATTTAAATGTGTGTATGTTTGTGTGAGAGAGCTAGCAATAGGCGAAGGCCAAATAGAGCTTGTTGTTGTTATTATTACGAATGCTACTCCACATCTTCCTCTTCTTCTTCTTCGTCACCTGCCTCTCACTTCACAAACACTTCTTCATTCACCACCTCCCCCTCATTGTTTTCTTGTTGTTTCTTATGAATGAAAGTCTCGGTTTTTGTAAAATTGTCGGATGTGGTAGCCGCAGGCACTCACACGTTTCACACACACATATATGTATTTTGCTTTTCACCAATGTTTTCTGTTTATCGTAAAAGAAGATTTTTGTTCAACTTTTACTTACTGCAACAATAAAAAATACGCGTCTTTGTTTTTGTTACGGGAGAAGGGGAGGAGGAGGATAAAAAAGGAACAACAAATACGTGCTGGTCGCGAGTCGCGTACTTAATGTAGTATTTTTGCAGTATATTTCGAGCTCGGGCGTTGCCAGATGTTCGAATGTTAAAATAACCGCACAAGGGACTTTGGAGTACAAGTTTCTTCTTAGTATTTTATAGTCTCGGTATATGTTACCGTACATACCCTTAATATGTTATCAAGAAATATACCGTTTTAATGTAGTATTTCTTGTTTGTGCGCCTGCAGCCATGGCCACACTGACACCGACCTGATCAACAGTTTTGTTCATTTTTTAATCCGGCCCGCAAAACAACAATTCGCTCTCTTCCAATCAGTTATATTTTTTTTATTTAGTGTGAAGAATAAGAGCGAAAAGAACTAATTGGAATTGAACGCATCAGTGCAGTTGACGGCCTTTGTTGTTGCTGTAGTTGTTCCCGTTTCATGTTCTTGTTTTTGATTTAACTGCGTGCATAGAATTTGTGAAAAGAGAAAGTTCTCCACCCGCCATCTCTCCACACCTCTTTCTTCTTCTGTCGTGGGCTCCTCTCTTTCACTCGTGCGTCTCGTGGACGGACAGACAGCTTACGGTCGTGGCCCAAAAACTGCGCCTGCGCAGCGACAATTTCACAACTAATTGAGGTCGATCAGCTTGCAAGTGAGTATCACCTGTTGAAGTAAATAAAATACGGTCAGGATAGTGTTACTGATCGAACAATTAACCAGAAAACATTTTAAAAATACCATATTTATTTTAAGTCGTGTAAAAACGGACTTTTAAAAATAAGAATGGTCAGATGATCAAGAAATACATATAATATAGCTGTTAAAATGTATGTATGTACATATAATACTATGTGCTATTAAATAGAAAATATACATAAAACAGTGAAATTATATTTAAAATCCCCGGATATCGGTTTTGTTTGTTAAAAATGTATAAAGTTAATTTATAAAATTCATGAAAATATTATAATACAAAACTGCATTTCTTACCTCTAATCTTATTATGCAATTTCAGTACTCTTTTTGGCATCAATTCAAATGGGCACCAAGCAGACAGTGTCCCCTGTGGCAACAAAAAATTCCTCACACGGATCACCCTCTAAACTAAAGGCTAGCTCCACATCATCATCATCCGCAATGGCCAATGGCAAGCCGAAGGAGGCGAATGCCCTGCCGCCACAAAAGTCGGTGGTGGTGGCCTACATATGCTGGCTGTTTGGCGGTATCTTTGGACTGCATCATTTGTATCTGCATCGGGATCGCCATGCCTTCATCTGGTGGTGTACTCTCGGCGGCTACATGGGCATCGGCTGGATGGGTGAGCTCTTCCTGATCCCGGAATATGTGAGAGATGCCAATGAGGATCCGCAGTTTGTGAAGCAGTTCGTTGCCAAGCTGCAGGCCTATCCGAAGCCACCGTATTCCTCGAAGCGATTCGTTGGTCAGGTGATGATTGGCCATCTGTTTGGACAGGTGTGCTCGATGGCCATACCAGAGACTCTAGTTGGTGGCTGGGACCTGAGCTTCCTGCACTGGGCGATACCCATCTTTGTGTCCCTGGGCGTCTGGCTGGTGGGCAATATTGGCCGGGAGCAGGGTGTCTGGTGGCACTGCCTCCTGGCCGCTTGTCTGGCCTATCCGGCCAGGTATCTGATATACGATGAGACCTACTCCCTACTGCTTACTGGACTGATTTCGGCGCTTACCTTTGACGGCATCTCCAAGCAGTGGCGGCGCACACCGCCCAGGCGCGGCAGTCCCGGGGAGCGGACCTTCAAGCTAACCACCGCTGTGATCATTTACTGCGCCTTCTGGGGTAGCTTTTTGTACTTCAATGGCACCATTTCGGATGAGGATGGCGGCGAGGTGCCCATCCACGAGGCTCTGCACAACTTTTTGGCCTCTGCCTGGTGGACGGATCTCAAGCAGGCCCTGCAGGATACCTACAATTATGCTCAGCACCATGGCTGGTATGAGACCTGGAAGGAGGTGTTCGAGAGCATGGATGTGGATGGGGAGCGAAATTCGTACAAGGTGCTCGGCGTTAGTGCCACAGCCTCGCAGGCGGAGATCACGGCCGCCTACAGGAAGCTCTCCAAGGAGCACCATCCCGATAAGGTTAAGGATGAGGCTTTGAGGGCCCAGGCTCACCAGCGTTTCATTGAGATCCAGCAGGCATACAGCGTGCTTAGCAAGATCAAGTCGAATCGCCGTCGCAAGAACAAGCAGTACCAGCAGGAGGACGAAGCCATTGTCCTTTGAGAACGAAGCGGAAACGGGTCTCCGCTACCCCATTTATTTTTAGATAGCATGTAGATAAATATATAGTTGCATCACGGTCCAGTAAAGAGACAGAGAGATACCACTCTAAACGATTTTGTTGGGCTTTATAAAAAAAATCACACACTGATTCTAGTTACTTAACTAAGAAGAGAATTCCCTTACAGGGTATATTCAAGTCGCTTAAATAGCATTTCTACTTTTAAAAATCGCTAAATTGTTATTAAAAAAAAAACACGCCGACTCTGGTTAATCAAAAGAAAAAAGAATCCCTTTACAGAGTATCGCCAAGTCGCTTAAATATAATTTCTATTTTTAAAAATCTCTAAATTGTTATAAAATAACCCCCCCCCAACTTCTAGTTAATTAAATGATAAAACAATTCCTTTACAGGGTATCCATAAGTCGCTTAAATATCATTTCCACTTTTAAAAATCTCTAAATTGTTATACAAAAATCTAGTTATTAAAATGAAAAAAAAGTATCCCTTTACAGGGTATCCCCAAGTCGCTTAAATACCAACTCTACTTACACCTTTGCCTTCGTAGGAAAATAAATGTATGTATATTAGCTTCGCTTACGTGGGCGATGCTTTTAAATAATTCCAAATTGAAATAATTGATGCGTGACAGACGGCATTTCCATTTTATATTTATATTCATTTATTTATTTTATTTTATATATTTATTTTACATAATATAATGAACTACTTAACAGGCTAAGCTCAAAAAAAAAAGTGTATTTATTTTTTTCCTTTTCTTCTCACAAACAATATTGATTTGCGTGTGTGATTGGATTGTGTGTGTGTTTTTTTTGCACTAATATTTAGGTAAAACGTTTAAATAAAAAACAAAATGTATTTATAAGTATATCTTTTGTTGCTTTTTATGGTTTCTTATTAAGTGTGTCTTTTTTTTTTGTTTTAATCTTAATTGCCATCGCAGGGAGTTTGTTTGAAGAAGAACAACAACAAATCGAAACTCGAAAAAATCGTAACAATATACATACAATATATAAGGTTTACGGGGAGGAAAAAAAAGAAAAAATATATAAACAGGAAACAATAACTCGCTTAAATGTAGTTTAAAACATAATACTGAGCAAAAAATGTGTGTATATAACATTTTGCCTACTAGATTTTTTGCTTTCTCTTCTTCTCTTTTCTATTTGTTTTTTTTGTTTTGCTTTTGTTTTTTTTTATTCTTTTTTCTTGTAATATTTATGTTATATTAAGTAATTGCATTTCATTTTTGCACTGCTTTTTCGATATATATACACATATATTTTTTAAATACACATATATATATATTTCATTAAGGCCAGTATGTGTATTTTTAAAAACTTTACAAATTTGACTATTTCCATACGAATCTTGCTTCTTTTTTGTGACTGTGTTTCGTGTCTGTGTGTTTGTGTTTGTTTGTTTATCACGCTTTCTTTTTCCTTTTTTTCTATTTTTTAACAAAAAAAAAATGTACAAAAAACGGAAGTTTATTACAATTTCTTTTAGTGTATATACTACAGTTTAAAGTACGATTTAAAATAAAATAACAATTTATTAGGCATCGTGGGCACGCACACTGCTACAGTGTGTGTGTCTCGTTTGTGTATGTGTGTGTGTGCTCGCGTAGGTGTGGCTTTTGTATGGTTGTGTGAGTGTCCTTACACCTAGACTAACACACAATAGGTTTTGCTTTGCATCTCTTCCCGATATCTTCACTTTGTTTTTTGTTTTTGTTTTTTTTTTCGATCTCTTTCTCTGTATGTACAAACTAAAGTAAAGCCAAACTCGCTTGGTCTTTGAGCTAAATGGGGTTCTTCCGGGTGGGCGGAGAGGGTAGTGAAGGGGGAATTGAAAATGTTCTACTACAAAACTACAACCACAAAAGTATGCTTTCTTTTCTCTCGATCAGCGCCATTTCTTTTTGATTAATGTATTTCTCTTTTTTTATCGATAACGCGATTCCCGGCTTCTCTTAGCTCTCTTCTCTTTTCCTTCTCTCTTTGTATTTGACATTTGCCACTTTTTTTTTCCAGTTGGTCTTATCCTGGCATTGCTCTCTCTTTTTTCTCTCTCTATCGATAACTTGATGGAATGTAGAAGTTTGTGTGTGTGTTTGCGGAGTGTGCAGTTAGGGAATTAAACATTTACAGGCGCGTAACCACAATGTCTTCCTCGAGATCGTCCAGCTCGTCATCGGTCTCCTCAACGCCATCGGGCCCTGATTCGGCGGCGGCCAGAGCTGCAGCAGCTGCCGCGGCAGCAGCGGCCTCCTTCTCCTTCTCGGCCGCCTCGATCTTCTCCTGCTTCTTCACCTTGCGTTGCTGCAAATGGAGAAAATTTACAGTTAGAGAGTGATTTTCCAACGAAAAGTAACTTAAGAATTTCTCAATGCACTTAAAATCCTTTAAAAGAGTGCCCACTATGCAGCTTTCCAATCTAAACTTCAGGTAGCATACTTTTGGGCACCTTTCAGTTGAAATAACTGCCTTAATTATTAGCTTAGCTCACCTTCTTCCTGTACAGGATCTCAACAATCACATAGCCGATGCAACCCAGCGTCAGGACCGCCAGGAGGATGTACAGCTTCATCTGCGTGCAGAGCGTGGTGGCATAGGCATAGGCAATGACGAAGCCGGCGGACTCCCAAAGGCGGTAGTTGGAGAAGGCAGCCTCCTTGTTGCGCCGGAAGAGCAGACCATACAGACCGTTGATCTGGGTCTGCCACACGGCATCACCGACACCCCACAGACCGGACATGGCATAGAAAATGATGGGATTGTCCGGGTTGGGACGCCAGAAGAGCTCCACGGTGATCAGGGTGAAGTGGACAACGGCGCCGAGCACGATGATGGGTGTGCGGCCAATGTACTTCATCACGGAGCCAAACAAGATTGAGCAGAGGGCATTAACCACACCGAAGCAGATCATCACAAAACCGATCTTGTTCACGCCCAGGGCACAGGCCACATAGGCCTGGGTGAAATCGGCACCAATGAAGGCCTGCTCCATGCCAATGAAGACGGTGATGGGGATGAGGAGCTGCAGATTTGGCTTCTTCATCTGACGGAAGGTGGCGGAAAGGAGCTGCAGGCCCGAGAGTTCGGCAGCCGAGTTGGAACCCTTGCGCTTCTCACCATACCGCTTGAGGGGATCCAGGAAGAAGGCAATAATGCAGACAGCGGCCACAATGCAGGACAGGTAAATCATGGAAATCTCAAAGATCTCATCCTCTGGGGGACGCTCCAAATTGCCGTGTCCACCGCTGCCGGTGGTGCAGAAGTTGGCGCCACAGAACTGCAAGTCCTCCTCGCTAATGGTTGAGTTCGAGCTGCTGCTGCCACCGCCATGGGCGCCGCTGGACAGGACTGTATAGGTTAAAGGAATGTAAACATAAAGATTAGAATTTTTCTCATAGAAAGCCTCAACGTTTAGTGGAAGATTCCAGCCATAAAAATTCCTAAAAAAAAATTCTGTCTAGCTCATTTTATGATATTCAGTAGCCAATAATCAGAAAGTGTTTTACGGCCTTCGATAGCTGGTCAGAAAGAAGAAATCAAACGCTAATACTTTATTAATTTAAGGGTCTTGGCAATCTTTGCCATCGATTATTACTATGACGCGATAAGATTGTCTATAGCAACGGAAACATGACTGTCAGTAATTTCCCTGAGAGAGCCTCTTGGGGATAATGAACTCTTTAAAGTTTAGAACTAAAAAGTATAGATAATAGAAAACTAACTCACCCAAGCTGGAGATGAGATTGCCCCAGAGCTCAGCGGATTGCCAGGCCAGGAAGAAGAAGCCAAAGAATCGCACAATAATGGCATCCACTGCCTGTTCGGTTATCTTTGCATACACCTGTCCGACCTGCGTCAGGTAAGTAGCTTTGGACGCCCACATGGGGGCGGCACCCATACCGACCAGTATGCCGGCTGGCACCAAAGTGTAGAAGCGCGGGAACAGCTGGAAGGCAATGTAGGGGGCATAGCAGAGCATGCTGCAGACCAGTGTCCACTTAACGGTCAGCTTGCGGATAATCAGCGTGGGCAGGAAGATGCAGGATACCACCAAGGCGGCATAGATTGCGCTGAGCGAGACCGTACCCAGGCCATCCTTGGAGTTGATGGAGGATTGCAGGTTAGCCGTGCCCTAAAATAATACATATATTTTAAAGTTAGTATATTAAATTAAAAATCTATTATTTTTGTGAAAGAATATTAAATATTTGCATTATTTTTAAGATTTCTGAGAATTTATTTATAGTTTTTACAGTTTGGAATTGATAATACTATTAAAAGACCTAATTTTTTTTAGAAATATATTGATTGGAGCTGGTAAGAATTGATGTTTAAAACTTGAAAATCGAAGATTATAATTATTTTCATATTTTCTGATATAAGTGAAATTATTTTACCGTTTGGAATTTATCAACTGTTTTGATTTTAATATTGAACTTATATTTATAATATATAAATAAGATAAAATATAATTAACTATTTAATGCAAAAATATCGAAAAATATCGAAAATGTTGAATATATGCTTTTATGATAATTATTCAATAGTATTTACTTTTGGAATTAATTAAAATAATAGTTCGATTTAAATAATTAATGGAAACTAATTAAAATTCTGAATTTAGGTTTTTTTTGTATCATTTTAGTTAAAGTTCAATAGTATGTTAGAGATGATCATCAATGGTCCCAGCAGGTACTCACCTGAAACGCTGTAAATTGCACCATAAAGGCTATTGAGATGATCGAGATATTCTTTAAGATGCGCCATTTCTCGGCCGGATTCAGCACAACTTTCTCTCGCAGCGAGGCGGTGTCGGGCTCGAAACCAGCTTTTGGCTAAAAATAAAACGTAAAAAAGGCAAAAGAAAAGACGTAAGTCGTAAGCAAAGTGGTAAAGATCACCAAGCATTCGGATGATCGTTGGTTTTTTATTTTGTATGTTGTTGTTTTTTGTTCGAGAGACACCGAGAAGTGCATCCTACTTTCTTTCTTATCTCCTCATTTTCGAACAAGCTTAAACTTTCATATTATTCGATTAGATATTAAACAAGTTTATGATTAATTTGGTTAATTATCGATCTCAAATTTAAATGGCTGATAATTAAGACAAAATGATTTAACAAGCTTATAAAAAAGTGCTAAAAATAATATTTGAATTTCAAAACTAACATGTAATATTTTTTATTATTTTCTTAATTTTCCCAGCTTGGTATTTTTTACTTTTAGCCATCGTTTAAGCCTTGATCAGCTTTCATTAATTAATTATTTATGTGTTACGCATTTTAGTTTCTAAAAAAAGCCAAACGAAGGGGGGTAAATAATTTGAACTGAACTCAAAAACCGAAAAATCAATTTATAAAGCCCGCACGCGTTTTGCTCGCGTTGCGCATGCGTGGCGCGACGCAAAGTTTGTTTTTTTTTTCTTTCTGTTTTTCGGTCATTTTAATGGCCATCAAAATGCCCGAGGTGAATTCCATCGGAGAGTCCCCGGGAAAAAGGCCGCCGAAAGTAATGTACCCACCCCGGGCGAGAACTGAACCCCAAAGCCAAAAAATGGCGATTTCGCATGCATCGCACACAGAGGGCCAAGAAGGTTACATCGCGGGGTAGTGGGTGGAGGAGGGCTTAACCCACACGCGTCGTTATGCAAGTCCCCTCCAATCGATGTGATCACTCGCACAGTACATATACAATATATTTACAAACTTAATTACAGCACATAATAATGCGTTTGCTGTTCACACGATTTTAGTTTGTTAAGGAAATCGTTCAGATACTATATATGCATAGATATATCGTTGAGGCTGTAGAAAACCCCGTTTTGTTTGTATGCAAATTGCAGACGGATTTCAGATTCCAAGCTAAAAAAAAAAAAAAATCCCCTTGCTGTGCTTTTATCAGCATAATAAAATTGCATTTAAATTGTTATAAAACAAAAACCATTAACAGCCATAACACCGAAAAGGAATAATACTTGGAACACTTAAATTTCTTTATTTTTTTCTTGCATTTAATTAGCAAATAAAAAGATTTAAAAAATAAAGAAAAAGAAGAACAGTTAACGTGGCAAAATTCAGTAAAAAAATCTCAAAAGAGGCCAAAAAATGGGAGAGCATAGCTATCGAAAACGCTGGAAAATATTAAATATCACTCATACGCCCGGTGTACAACAAAAAAACAATAGTAAAAAGAAGCTGGATTAAAAAGATTATGAGGATTATATATATATTATATTATATCTTTTTATCAGTTATATATTTGTTATCTATATTAAAATAAGGTTTTAATTTTTAACAAAAATATATTTAAGTATTACTGAAAATGAAGAATTGAAAAACAACCCTCTTCAAGTAAATATTTTTAAATATTTTGAGAAATTAAGAATTTAAAGATCATATTTTTAAATTTTAATATTTTAAAATAAATTGAGCAAAACATTAAATTTTAGCCCTAAAATAATATATATTCTATTAATAATATAAAAATACCCTTTAGGCAGCTAAAGACTTTACTTAAGGTATTTTTTTCAATTTCTTTATATTTATATTATATTTATAAATATTCCAAATATATATGGGTTAAATTAAGAAAAAATCATGACTTGGCCCAAAAAAAAATTTCTGGAAAACCAAACTGTGTTGGCAAGTATTTTTCTTGCAGGTTATTTATTTTCTTTTTCTCTCATTCTTTTTGTTGTATTTTTTTTTTTTTTTTTCAAACGTTTGTGCACTTGTTTGTTTGTTTGTTGTGCGCTTGCATGTGCTTTTCTTGCTAAACAGCTGATGGCTGCGAATGCGGGTTGAGCTGATGTTTATTTATTCCCCCATCCCAATTTTTTTTCTAATTTTTCTATAGTTTTTCTTGGCAAGCGGAGCTTTAAGACAAGTGCGCGTAATAATAATGCCAGTGCACACGGGCCATAATGATATGCGAGAGTGTTGGCAGCGCAGCAGCAGCAGCAGCACCTGCGGCGCCGCCGTCGCCGTCGTCGTAGTTGAGACAAACAAAAACCGCCGCAAACCAGTTAAAAGCGGCCAGGTGAGCAAACTGTCTCTTCGAGTGTGGCCGCAGGTGTGTGTGGATTTTGTCTTATTTTTATTTATTTTTTATTTATTTTTTTTATAGTGTTTGTGTGAGTGCACAAGGCGAAAATAAGGTATTTTAGGGAATTTAAATTCAAAAAAGAAACAAATACTGAAAAACTTTAACTATTGGTTGTTTTAAAACTATAATTCATTTTTTACATTTAGGTTAAAAAAATAAATTCAATTAATTAAAAAGCTCTTTAATTATTTCATAAATATATATATTTTTTCAGTTTTTAAAAATCATATTTCACATATTAAATTCTTGACCCATTTTTCTCTGTGTAAGTCGCTTTACTTCTGGCAACATGTTGCCAGCGACCTACTGCCTGCAGCAGCCTCTATATGCCTGTATATGTGTGTGTGTGTGTGTGCCCACGCGGCAACATGTTGCGCACGCGCTGTGCTGCACGAGATTTGCGTTTTATTTTTAAACGCGGCACGTTTCGTCTTTGCTTTGGTGGTTTTTACATACAGCAGCGGTGAGCTATTTAGCTCCAGACTAGCTTAATAGGGAAATAATTCGAACATAGGGTAGAAAATAACCACTAAACAATTTATTAAAAAATGTAGGTAAAGTTAATAACATATGTTTTTTAAAGTCTAGAGTCGTTAGACAATACAAGGATTTATTTTCGTGAGAACAAAACTATAATCAAGTGGCTAAATATAAGATAGTATATAGTAAAAATGTACTTTAATTAAAACAAAAATATAAAAATAAAAAAACCATAAAAGATTTTACTAAAAAAAGAAAATAATTAAATTAAGTGGCTTTATTAAATAAATTGACTAAAAGTGTCTTTAAGAAGCCTCAAAATTGTACTGTTATGTGCAAAATTATAAAAATTTCAAAAATAGATTTTAAGAATTAAAATTTAAAAAAAAGTTAACAAGGATCTTACGCCAAAAAATATATATTATAATCTATAATGTGACCGTATTAGTATACCCCAATTGTAATTTAAATTAAACCTTTTTATACGATTTTTACAAAGTATTTCCAATTGAATAGTTTTTTGTTTTTGTTGAGGCTTAAGTTATTTTGTAAGCTTTAGTTATTTTTTAAACCACCTCGGCTGTCTTTGGTGTTTGCTGGACGTTCTCGGGTTTCTTTTATTACGTTTTTTTTTCTTTGTTGCTTTTCCTTTTGGCTGCTGCGGTTCTGGGTTGAGGAAAACAAGTTTGGTTTCGATGTCTTTCAAGAACCGAACCGATTACAGGGCGCGGCGGTCACTCCTTCTCAGCGGTGGGGGGAGGTGGCAGCGGGTGGGTATTGTAAATTGGCAATATTTTATTATGAAACCTTGTCGGTGCTTTAATTGTGCAATACCTTTTTTGTATTTATTTTTGTTTCTGTGTTAGTTTGCGCCGTTCGTTTGCCTCAGTTTTTCTTGTGTTACCTTATTTATTGCCAAATTCGCTGGCCATCATCACCTGGCTAGGCTATAAGCTGGCTAGCTAGCGGCTGCCTGGCCGGCTCTCCGGTCAAGTTTGTGGCTAAGACATATCCATAAATAAGTGGAGAGGAGGAGGGAGGCCAGCCAGCGCTTTCTGCTGTCACATTTCTTTTCTGATATTTTATTTTTTCTTCAGCTTTTCTGCATTTTCAAAGTCTCTGTGCCTTTCCGCTTCTGCGTGTGGGCTGGCTTTGGCTTTGGTTTTGAATTTCTGCAGGTGAAATTTATTTTGCCTCATTAAAAGGCCAAGGAGTGGCTAACCAAATGCTAATGATCATTGACCAGCTGAGCTTTTTTTTTTCGCTGTTCGATTTTTGGTTATTTTTTTTTTTTTTTTTGTGTTTTTTGACTTTGGTTTTTGTAGTTTTCGGTTTATTGGGCACTTCCTCCCCAACTGGGCCATCATAAAAGCTGTGACGCGTGTCATTATAAAACATGATTTCTTTGGCCGAAGGCAAACACAGTCATTAACACACACACACACTTAGACTAAGGTGCTCTCCCAGACACCCAATGATAAGTGTAATCCGGCCTATAAGCTATATGTTAGCCATATCTATTGTCCATGCATGAATGAATGGCAACAACGGCGACAAGTGGCCAAGGCAGCAGCCGCATTATGGCCAGTTATGGCCATTTCGATGGCTCTCCCCGGTAAGTTCTAAGCGAACCGATGGGAAATACCCAAGCCATTTTGATTGAAACCCGATTTTTATATAGCATAAAGCCTATAAGCTCACGGAAACCTATAAAGTTTACTAAATCTAACTAGGAAATTATTTTGCCACAAAAATACATGGGTTTTATTATTTAATAAATAAGTATAACTGTGGACTTTAGTTAAATTTAATTAAATTTTTATTTGGCTTTCAGAATTATATATTTACATTTAAAAAAGAGTTGGGACAAAGAAATCATAATTTGACTCGAAGAGTCTGGGCGAACTTCTCTGCCAAAAAATGTACCAAAAGAACTTGCCTACCGCCTTTTCTTAATTATGCAAAATACATACATATATGTATACATATGTACATTTGAATAGTGACTATAACAAACCCGGAATATAATGAGTCTCTTATACCGAATCTTTTTCGTGATTTTCTCCTTCGCCTCTTCCTTTGTTTACAGATGTTTTTTAATTATGCGTACATTGACGTGTCCGACACTTGTTCGAGTTAAATGAGGAGGAAAAAAACCAGGTAAAGCACTTACACCCCCTCCGCCCCCCTCCCCTAGGAGGGGAGAGAACGAACTGAACTACTTGGGCAATGATAAATATAAAGAAGTAAATAAATAAATAACAACAACACTCACCTTGACGGGCTCATCGTTTTCGAAACCGGCGTTCGTGAAACCAGTCATCTTGCTGGCTTTTGTGTTCTCCCGGGATCTCTTTTTTTTTTTTTTTTTGTTTTAGGCTTCTTTTGGGCCTGGTTAATCAATTAACCCAAGGGAAAAAGAGTTAACTGCAATGAGAAAAAGAGAGAGAGAGAGATAGAAGCAACCATTAGTGGATCTGTAGTACGTAACAGCCTGTGCGGTCTCGGCCATAACAATAATAGTAATAAAAGAATAATATATAAATTATCATTTCAATACAGGTAACTGAAAGATTTTCGTTTTCGTTTTAGCTTTTGAAAATTGCATGAGCCCAGCCATAATTGTCGGAAATTTTGTAGAAAAAAAAAAAAAACATTAATAGGTATACTATATAGGTATGTATACACAGAGGTATATAAAAGTCAGGAACAATTGCGAATCCGTTCCGAGATTCAGAAGCTCGCCGGCAAAGTCTTCCCCCATTCATCTGGCGGCGGCCCCCCATCATCATCAGTTCCCATCGGTTTGTTACCAATTTTGCCATTGTCTAATTGTTTATAATTGACATCAGCTCACACACACACAAAAACACACACAAACACACACACACACAAACACACACACACACTGTCCAAGTTCATGTCCAATTAATTGCATATTAGGCGGCATATCCAACTATTATTCAGGCCCCTCAACTGAAGCGACAAAAAAACGGCACACAATGAAAACCCTGGTTAAAAAAAACAGTAATGATAATAGAAAAAAAAAAATTTGTTAAACTTTTTATGACCAGACATTGGCATAGAAATTCTCAAAGGAAATAAACACAACGCAAATTAATGATAATAACAATGCCAACACGCAGAAATAAAGACTAAATTACAACATAAAAATTAACAAAAAAAAAAAAAAGGAATAAAATTTATATGACTTATAATCGTGGCTTGTTCGGTTTCTTTTTATAATCCTACCTAATTTTTTTTTTATTCATTTATGCTAAGTCAAAGCAAAGGTCGTAAAAATTCAATACGTAGAACTTGAGATGAACCAAAAAAGTATGGGTATATGTGACTGGGATTTACCGTCACGTGCTAATCAGCGAACTGTCACGAATTGGCGGCTCATTAAATAGAATGTAATCGGGTCTGGGTTTTATTTGTACCCTTTTTTATATGGAATATAGGTGAACTAAAATATATAATCCCGAGTGTTCTACTAGTTTTAAATATTTTATGATTGGCTGTAAAATATACAATTGATTAATGTTAGACTTCGTAATACTTTTCAATAGGTAACAGTTACTAACTGTCACTTTTTTTTATATATTATTGTGGTGACTAATCTTAGAGAGTGTGTAAAAAAAGAGTGCATTATTTAATATAAAAGTTACTTAAGAAACTCGTGCTATTCGTTAAGAGTGACTTTAATCTTGCTGTTAAATCTTTTCCGATTAACAGCTACTGTCAAGACGACGAGAAAGCTTGCGCTTTACAGCACAATTAAGTAATACATAGGCTTTACAGCACCATTCTTTGCATACCAGCATTCTGTTGGGGTTTATCGTTCGGTTAAATTAGAGTGGGAAGTTTGCAAAATTTTCGATTTCAAACATTTCATAAATATTTTGGTAATATCATTACCTAAGTTACTTTCTTAAAGCCTTTCTTCCAACTTTTTCACTAGCGACGCGAAACTTTTTAGCATGTTATGACACTAACCGTTGGACTTGTGGCTTGAAACTTTAACAGAAACAGTGCCTCCTGTGAATGATCAAACCAAACAGCAATCTTACATAAATTCAAGTAAATAATTGAAAGAATTTCGGTTAAAAAATACAGAAAATTCTCGTATTTCTACTAAATACAAAAAGCTAATGATGCAATGATCATTGGGCCCTCCCAAGTATCTCTTACGGCGACTATATGTACTTATATTCGATTTTGGCTCTCAATTATTATCGCAGATAATACGTTCGATTACGGGGTAAGTAGCTCGAACCCGTTGCCAGAAACAAAGTCACCAAAAACGAAAAAAAAAAACCTGGCCATAATTAATATTAACTCATAAAGAACCTGCTACCTGCCCGACTGTCTGTCTGCGACTGACGTCATCACAACAAAGCACGGCGCCGTCTAATGCTAATTATCCTCTAAAAACGCCAAACAGCTGGGCTGTCGCCGATTGATACAATACTGTGAAATGCCAGAAAGAAACACTATAATAGACCCAAGGAGCACGTGTTTGCTTTACGCTTTTCAACTAACCAATTTTTCACCAGAAATGAAAACGAAACCAAACAGATTATATAAGCAAGAATATACAGTATGTATTATATACGAGAGGTACGATTCCCCGTTTGAAAATGGAAGTCGCCCTACTTGGTCTGGTCAATTGACAATTTTCAAGCCAAAGATTTTAATGACTGCTGCGTGTGAGTTAAATTTTATACATATATCTCTATCACTCTTTTTATATATTTATTTATATATAGAAAGAACGACACGCGCCAAACGTCATTAAAGAAAAAAATAAAGAAGCACTTCAATTTCAATTTCAATTTCAATTATTATTCTAGCGAAATAACGCACTCATCAAAGTCGGAAGGTCTATAACACACGCTTTATTTCGCTTTATTTTGCTTTATTCGCTTTATTCGCTTTATTTCGCTTTATTTCGCTATCCAAATTGTTTCGAAATCGGCTGTAGACAATCTGCATTATCTTCGGGACTTAAGTGGCCTACAAATTGGCCGCTGTCCCCCCTGTAACCCACTACTCCTCCTCCATTATGTATTTTTTATTATTGCATTTTTTATTTTTATTTCCATTTTGCTTGGCCCTTCACTTAAGCCAACTGTCTGACTTTTTCTGTTTTTTTTTTTTTTTGCATATTTTTTGTATTTTTATAATAAAACTTGGCTAGTATAGAAAATACTCTTATATTTTGAAAGTTTTTAAGAAATGTGTTTCGTTGTTTTTAAGAAAATTAAATAATAAGCAAAATATAAGCGGAAAATATCCTTTAAAAAGAAAAAATATATTAAAAAGAACTTGTTTTGGAAATTCTATATATCCTTAACAAAAATTAAAAACAAATATATATATTAAAAATTTATATATTTTTAGAAAAGGTTTAAAAAATGATTTCTTTGTTTTTTTTTTTTGCACTTGTTAGATTTTATAGAGTAACCAAGTCTCTCTCTTATTATTTTATTTATTAACTATTACTAATTGTTTTCAAATATATTTCGTTTTTTTGGTTTTTGATTTTGTAAAACTTTTGAGTTATATTTTGTATTGTTATTTCTGTCAAACACATTTTTCACTTGCTCCTTTTGCTTTTATTTGTTTTTCTTTTTTAATTTTTTTATAGATTTTAAAGGATCTGCGAGATCTGCACTCTCTGGTTACACTCACAAAAAATTATAGGTCGCCGCCACAGCTCCGGTTATCCTTAAACCTGAACTCGAAATCGAAATCGAAATCGAAGTCGAATTTGAACTCGAAACTCGAAACTCGAACTCGAAACGAACTGGCCAAGTGGCTGTCTCAGAGCCTCGCAGTACAATGCCAAGAAACTGCGACAACGTGCGAATTTTAAACGAAAAGCACTTTCTAGCTAATTGGAGTGATTAGTGGCAGGCGTCGCTGCCGCTGCCTCAGTCGGCGTTTGGGCCGAAGATATATTGTGGGCAAGGTTATCGCCTGGACGGAGCTAACTGTAAATAATCGGAAAGAGATAGAGCTAAGAGAGTCAGAGCCGTATTTTCCTCCTCCTTATTTTTTATGGTTTTTTTTTGCATTTATTTATATTTATTTGTACGTTTTTTTTTCTTTAGTACTTTTTTTTTTTGTTAACTCATTTTGGCCAGATTTGATTTCGGTGATAACCGAGGAGCAACGGCAGCTGTACGACGCGCGCTTTTCAAATCTTCAGTTGATAGCTGACAATAGGGGCGTGTGGCAGGATACAGGAGCGGTTCAGGGGGGTGCTACCAACCTTAAGAATGTATTTTTTTTATTTTTTAATTAATAAAGTAAAAAAATAGGCAAAATTCTTTAACCATTCAAGGTTTTATTAGTCAATATTAAAGCTCCTATCAGTGATATTTGTCTTCTGATCTTGATTAAGGCTCACCAGGCTTGTGGCAGGATCTAGGAGCTGTTTAGTCGTATCCCATTCCCATCCATTAAAGCTCTATTCATTGATAAATGCTTCCCGATCTGCGTTCAGGGAACTGAAAGCCCTGTGTGTGCCGCTCCTGGTCGATAATAGGAGCGTGTGGCAGGATACAGGAGCGGTTCAGGTTAGGATAAGCCATTACAATGAATTATCTTATTTCTTAATTATTAAAATATAATAATAGGTTAACTTCTTGAACAATTAATCAAAGATTAATGATTAAATTTATGCTGTAGTCCAAATGCTTCTTGATCCGAGTTCGAGAACCGCTCCTGGTCTCGACAATGGGGGGCTCTTCACCTGTCGAAAGGAGTGAGGGGCTGCGATAAGATTATGGTACCTCCAACAACATATACAATGGCTATTTATTGTCTCTATATGGACGCGGCTATTGCCGGACCATAAATTCTAATTAATAAACGCGCACGGGCCGAAGCGAAGGGCAGCGGTGGGTGTGGTGGGTGGATGGGCTCATCCTATCGCGGCCAGAATGGTGTAGAAGGAGGAGGAAGAACTGGTACCGGTAGCCATTCTTTTACTGCTAAAGCTATCGCGCTTATTAGCGCGTGATTATGTGGACTGTGATTCAGATTTCGATTTTCGATTTCGATTTCGCGGGGATCGTAAATTTTTCGGCCAAAAAGAGTGATTCGATCGCGCGGAAAACTCTGGAATTAGGTACTTTTTTTTCTCTTTCCCTTTGTCTTTCGGGGGTTGGGTTTATTTATTTTTATTACTACTAATGCAAAACACATTTTCCAAGGAAGTTTTGGCTGTACAGATAGCACAAAGCACAAGTGTCTATGACTAAATGTCGTGATCGTGAAGGGGGATATAGTATTAACAATTTTGGCCACTCGAGAATCGAGACAGGCGCTAATGAAGAATGACGGATGAAATTGGCCAAGGAGGATATGGCTATATCAGGGTACACAAAGAGAAATAAGCAGGGAGAATTAATTAG